CCGTTAGATCCTCGAGGAAGAACTGAGTGGGCAGGACCACATTCACCTTGAAACCACTTAGAAACTACCTTTTCTTCGTTTTGAGTCCGCGTCACTGTGTGGATAAATTTGTGTGCAATGATCGGCGTCCTTGTCACCACTGCTGCCAAAAAAAGCTGTTGTTGCGACACATTGCAGGGATTCTTCCGGTTAAAATTTCTCATCATTAAATTAGATTTGCTATCGAATTGGTTATTTCACTGTGTCCGATTCTCTTGATGATAATAGTGTGTTCGTCTACTTCAGTCGGTGTTGTTTACGTTTATTAAGCCTGAACTTCAAAAGTCTCCTCAAGCGACCTTTTATGCGGGAGACGTACTGTTGAAGGTTTAACCTAAATCAGAGAAATAAGCCTTTAGCGTTAGAGGGATCAACCACAGGCATATGGAGAAAACATCTACAGATATCTTTATGAGTCCTAAATAGAGGCCAAGAACAGAAACCATAAGATGGTATCATATGACATCCTGCGACAGCTAACAGACAGGAAAGTCAGGGCAAAGCATAAGCCCCTTTTTCCTTATAGAAATATGCGGATACATTTATACAAAATAATTCTGGCAATCATAAATTGATCAGAAAAGGGTACAGAACTAGATGCAGTGATAGTGTGAGCCGATATAGCTAGTGTCAATATTTATTGTCTCACTTCAGGTTCTAATACAGAATGCTACTTTAATCAGACTTAAACAGTTAGCAAAATTTGTTAGGATAGGGAAGCAGAGATAAATGGGTGAAAAGAAGTGTAGAAGACACCGAAAAACATTTCAGTTGCCTTTCTAGTCGGGTCAGTTTAAGCGAGATTGCTGCTCTGTCCAGTAGTAAGTGGAAGTTGCTGTGCGGCTCGTAAATCACGGCCACTATGGGGCATGAGTAGCAAGCATGGACAGAGCAACTCCTAGCTCATCATTCATTTCTTTTGTCGTGGTCAGTGATCAGGGTCTTAGCCGAACTGCTAAACCGGTGACCGGTTTCAGTGAAATGAAAAAGTGATGAATGAAAGTCTGCACTCATTCTGCCACCATACATGGACTAACTGTATTAAGTGATCAGTAGCAGTTATGATGCCGATAACAATAGCATTAGAATGTATACGTGGCATTCTCGTGCCGACTAAGCACCCTGACTCATGATTTCGTGGGCCCGGCAGACGTATGATAGTGTCTAGCAGTGAAGAACTTCTTTCAGCTCCACCTTCTGGTGAGACTTTCCTAGCAGGAAACATTCAACAGTTAGCTGTATGGTGACTGATGTTGAGGGACGTACTGTGACTGCCAGTCAAGTATCACTGTTACAACCGTTACAGTCCCAAGCCTACTATAGGGTCTTTGACTACCTACTTCTAACAAACGCACAAGGTGAAATTAACTAGTCACCAAAAAATGAGACAGCAACAACAATCTTGGAAAGCTTAATCAGCAAGCTAGTGAAACCAGGCATATAACTCTATAGGGATGAAGAAAAATGCTTGATGAAATATTATCATATTGAACGGAGTACCTGATAAGTTTGAGGTTTGATTTGGAGAAGGTTACAATGAGGCTTTGGCTATGGACAGGTCAGAGGAGATATTTGGGTTAGCCTAGAGACAATTTCGTGTCAAGTTTGGTCCAAGGAAAGTTTACGGGTAGGGCCAGAAGCCCTTAACGAATACATTTATAGAATGTAGTTTAGTTCTTTTGACACATGCAAGCTTAAGAGGTAATTTCGTCACACCTGAAAGAAAGCTGTTCTTTGTAATATTTTCATCCTTTTTTATTCGTTACCTTCTTAGGATATGTATTTTATGCGTTCAAGTCGCCTTTTTCACTTGATTGGTGCGTCTAAGATAATTTGTGAGTTGGGAACTTTTGGTGCCTAAAGTTTAACTTAACCATCCACAGTAATTCGGTAAGATGCTATGTATATTTGCGCCACGTCACATAAGCCCGGTATCAAATTTACAATGTAGTAGTGAAGGCGTTTTTAAAGTTAAAATGTTAATGAGAAAATACACAGTGAGTAGTGCTACTGTAGAGTCGTACAAATATTGATGACATTTACGGTTTTAGTAGGTCTTTTTACTAAATAATGAAGTGCTTAATACAGCAATAAATACTGGAGAACATATAAAAATTCGAAGTGTAAAATATACTCTGTTGCAAAGTGGAACTAATCACAGAAGTCCTCTAAAATTTTCTGTGACCTGAGCTATATAGCCTTAATGAGGAGTTATAAAAAGAGTGCTTCGCTACCTGGTGCTTTTCCAGTTGCTGAAGCATGAACTCATATTTGTCTGTGTTACCCTCCTTTTGATAGTTTTCTAGCGAAAGTCTGAAGAGAAACGTATAAGGTTAGAGTAGAAACACAAGCGAGATGAGGTGCTATCTCATCGTGTTTAGCAGTGTTAGAATGTTCACAGAGGCGAACATGATAATGAGCCTGGCTAGATATATATGTAAAGTAATTTGGAAGCTGGAAACCGGAATAGATGGAATGTACATATCTGGAGTAATTTGCGTATTACCATTATTTGTCACTCCGCACAAATTTTGGAAAGTCGCAGAGATTCTATAAATACACCGCATTACTGCTCTAAAGATCTGCAAACACTTGCGCACAGTTCATATATCACTACTGCGTCCAAGAAAAGGACTCCTTGTTCATCTGCAACCTGACCTCAATTGAGAAAAAATTCATGTATCCAGGTAATACTAGAAAGTTCATATCTTTAGAAGTAAACGACTGAATTCATAGTGTGACCTAATCAGACATGTCCACGTCCACTACAACGCAATACATTCACCTCTCCATCAAAGATAAGATTTCATCTTGATAAAATCACAGTGTTGTGCAGTAACATTTACTGATGACGTTTCGAGAACAAACTATTTCTCATAATCTATCAAGTCACTAGCAAAACTTGGTCATCAGTAAATATTACTGTATAACACACTGTGTGATTTATCAAAATAAAATGTTATCTATAATGGAGTTATCCTTTACCACAGTGCCCAAATTTTATACTTATATCACCTCTCACATTTTTATTGGATCATCACTAGTTGTCTGTGGATATTTTTGGCATGACGAATCACCCATGAAGTACTCAAGAGAAAAGACGCATTGGAAAAGACAAGATCCTGAAGTTACAGAGGTAGCGCACGTTAACTGAGGCTTTGTAACGTTTTCCTGTTGGGCAGTATCCAATATTGCTTTTTACGAGCTAGTATAAACCAATTTGACTTCTTTGTGCTCGCCTCTTGATCAGCTCCAAAAAGAGTGGTGCTGGGATTAATTATATGTGGTTGTACCACGAGGTGTGTTAAGATTGTTGCTGCTGTGAATGGAGTTGATTCCTTCACCCATTAGTCCTCCGGTCTCGTCGTCAAAAGAAAAAAGATACTCATGATTGATATAATTAGTGAAGTTATTCAGATTAACAGAAAAAGAAATAGAGAAAACGTAAAAACAGACAGCTGATTAAATTTAAAGCTGATATATATATCTGTAATAATAATAAGTGTGATTAGAGTTGTCAGGAGAGTAAGACTGTAAAGAAGTAAAACGATGATCTTAGTTGTCTTGTGTGTGGAATTTTAAGGAGATAGGCCATTTGGATGCAGTCCTTGTGTCGCTGCATGATTGTCCAGCCTTCGCTTGAAGGCATCCACAGAGGGTGCCATATCTAAATCTGTCGGTAAGCAATTCCAGGGACGGCAAACCATCAGTGAGAAGAAGTAGGAGCGCACCCCGATCCCTTCCATCTGGTCAGTCATCCTTCTGGGATTTCCACGAGGAAGCCTATGCCTGCTCAATGGCAGAACGCCTTTGTTTGGGTGATTCTGCTCATTTGTTATTTTGTAGGCAGTAATCAAATCCCCCTAAGCCGATGGGAGCTAAGTGTGAATAGGCCTAATTTCTTTAGCCGTTCATCATATGGTTCGTTTCGGAGACCAACGACTCCTTTTGTCGCCTGTCTTTGGACTCTTTCCAAGAGGTTGGCGTCTCTTCTAAGCAGTGGGGGTGCAATAATATTATATACTCCAAGGTGTGGTCTGAAGTATGTTTTGTACAACCTTAGAAAGAGCTCAGGAGTGAGTACACCTAACTGTTTATGTGTAAAGTGTATGACCGCATATGCCCTCACTACGTTCCCCGTGTAATTTACGCTTGTGTTCATTAGAACTGGACCTAAGTCGCGCTCTGACGTTGTGCAGGACAAGCTTTCATTGCACAGGGTGTAACTTGCATTCTGCAGTCTACAGGTGCGTAATTTCACTACTTTGTACTTTTTCAGGTTGAAAGTCATGCCACTGGCCACCGCCCAGTCTTCCAGAAGGTTTAGATATGCCTACAGCCTATCTGAGTTCTCCGGACACTTTATCGCCCTCCATATCTTTATGTCGTCAGAGTATAGGAGAGTCGGGCATCTTAGATGGCATGGTAGATCATTGATAAAAATCAAAAACATCAGTCGTCCTGGGATAGAACCCCGCAATAGTCCTGATGAGAAAGCTGTGCCAAGATGATTAGACTCGATTGACCTTAGTGCAAAATTGCCTTTCAGTAATATGCAGACCATTGATTATTCTGTTAATCATGCTGAACGGTCGTCTTTGAAAAGCGAAACAATAAGGTCCATGTAACGAAGAGAGATTTCAACGTTTTTGCGGTACTAGGATCTATGTACAATTTGTTTTTGTTTTCCGGTGTTATAACAACAAACAGCGAATATTTAAACAAGTCACAAATATGAGTCAACCCCCACCTGGTTTTCCGTTCTATCCTCTTGCGAACCCTAAAGGCGTAGCATACAGTTGCGAGATCTGCTCGAAACCAGCTTATATACAGTGTTCCCTATGCCGCGTCACATATTACTGGTTTGGTTATGCTTACATGGAATTATTTTTACATTTAGTGGCACTGAACACCAAAAAATTGACTGGGTAGGCATACATGAGAAAATATGTGCAGATTTAATGTCGCTCCGAAAACCGGCCCCGTTTATTGTTTCAACAGATGAGAGGAAAAAGAAAAAAGAAGAAATTCAAGACAAAAACGTATGTTTTTCTTTTAGACGAATTTCACACTTCATAAGATTCCGGAGGTCTATTAAGCAAACTGAATAAGTTGTGAAGTAGTGCCTTTCATTCACATTATGTGGCTCAGAGATGCATCGATGATGTGATTCGATATATTTATATTTCATGTGAACCTTTTATTCCTTGATATTTAGAAAGCTTATAGATTTTGGGTGGATTCCGTCGCTTACCTTAGCGTGATGAAAAGACAGAAAATGAACTGGTAAAATGTATTTAAGGTAAAGTATAATAAATATATATTGGAGGGAAAAAAGCAGACAGAAAAGAAATTACGAAAACTCTAAATAAGGAGATGATATTGCGTGGACTACTGCAATTGCGGTACAGGTGCATTCAGTTGGCCTGTTCCCGCAGCAGAGACACGTATTCCATGGGAGTTTGCATAATAACCAAACGCCATGATGCAGTCGATGGCGTGGCGGTATTCAATTTATCTGGAAAGTATTAAGGAAGAACTAGTCAGTAACTGTTAATGGGCAGGCTGTGGTGCAGGTTGTACATCACAGAGTCAGACAGTCTTATTTGAATCTAGAATATATTCATGCTGTGTTTTTATGGCTTTGTACAAAGCTGCACGTGTGGTAACTGTATTCAACAAATCTTTAGATGTTTGACCTTAATCCAAACTGAAGACTTTGAATTCCAAGTTGCACTCACTCCCTGAGTTAAGTAAGTAAGTTAAGTTACTGGTCGTTTCTTTAGTTAATGATGGTGATAAGGTAAAAGACATTTCTGCAAATACTAGTGGTCTCAATCAGATCGGAAATTGACATAAATGGAACGATTATCAAATATTTAAACCGTTTTAAGATCTATCGCTACTTCGAGTTCGCGGAACGAGAAACATTTTATCAACAGCTGTAAATGGTACACCATCAATACTCCTCTAACTATGTTCAAATGGTTATCAAGTGAGATCTAATCGTCATATGCTGTTCCACTAACAACGACCTTTAACTACATTCAACCGGCAATTAATTAATCTCCTTTCTTGATACCTGTACAGTTTTCTTTGCCACGCGCCTGTTCTCAACAACTTATTTATTCGTTTATACATTCATTCAGCTTTCCTTTCATTTCGTTCAAATTTACGGCATTTTTCCTTGTTCAAAATTATTATCTCATTTCCTCTGGTTACACGGAACTGCTAACACAAGCTAGAACAAGTTCAAGGTCTTCCAAGGTATTACTTAATTTAGAAAAGCGCCCACCGGTATAGACTTAGTAGGTGAGTGGCGGAACGAACAAGTAGATATCCTACGAATACCAAGAACTATTTCCTCAGTATCATGAAGCAGAAAACATATAGGAAACTCAGTTTATAACTGGTTACCATTAAAGAATGTCTCATGTAATCTCACCCTTCCCTTCATAACACATGAATTCCCTATCTAAGTGTATATAGTACATTCAGATGATGTCATAAACTTTGAATCATATTTTTCCCAATTGAAGAAGCCACACTGGAGTAGACTTTTTCCTTCACTGGGTATAAAAAAAGCAACACATGGAAAATGTTACGCAACTTCCCCCTAAAGGCAAGTGCATAATATTGGTATCAGTGCAATATAAAACCATTACTTACTAAGCTGGGTGCTTTAGAAGCCAAAATAAATGTGCCAGATGCATATTTTTTGCACCTAGTTTTTCCTTCCCTATTTGTGAGCGACCGTAGAGATATATTACAAAAGGATAATGTATAATGTCTGCAAAGCAGGATATCTTGTGTAAAAACGAAAACCCGGAGTTTAGTAAAAGATAATCAGTAATCAAGAACATTGTTTCAAAATTAAAACGTTGAGCCTTTAAGTCTATTTATTTTCTCATTCAGCCGTTGGTTAAATGTTTCTGCTTATACTTTTGCTAACCGTGATTATTTGAAGTGCTGTACTTTAGTATCTTTTCCTTTTGTGTGATTTCTTTTATAAACTGCTCAGTTTGAAATGATTCTGTAAGCGACTGAATGACGTGCCCAAATGAATGGGCTATTTTGTGTCAGAATTAAAGTATAGCTCAAACAACACAAAATATCTGGACCAGTTTTTGTGTATTTTTTTATTTAGGTAGATATGGTCAGTCTCACACAGCTTATTGGCCAAAAGTTATTATTTCAAGGCAAACCAGAAGAAGCTGTACCAGCAGCACTGCAATGTCTGAAGTTTACAGCAGATGCATATGGACTAGCTAGTGTCGAACTGGTATCCCCATATCTGATTCTCGCTGAATCCAGTATTGGTAAGTAATTGCCACACCAAATATTTATCACTCCTATTTCTGATTAGTTCAAAAATTACTGACTTTAGGCAAATAGATTATAACGCAAGAGTCAGTGAATGCCTAACAACAGTTCACTGAGCGAAAACTAGACACATAAAGTTATCTGACTTGTTGTGATGGAGTTATCTCACAGCTAGCTGGTCGGTGAAGGCAAAAGCTTTCAGTGTGCTTATTGGAAAACAACAGTGATTTAATCTCATATTTCAGGTTCTAATCTTTCTGAAAGAATTTATATCGAAAGATTAAAGTACAGAACATATCCCTGAGGTTTGGTTCCAAATTCGACAATGAAATCAAAGGCATCAAAGTCAGAAGGGTTTTAACGCTTGCTTAGATCGCCTTATTATCACTAATCTGGTCGAAAATTTCAATTCTAAGTTATTTGTGTGTTTTCAAAGTAGGCTCAAGTAATTGCGGTAATTGAAGAGAAAAGTGGTCAAAGAACAAATTTCACTGCACTACATTAATATTTTGTGGAATAAGACAAACAGACAATGAACATTACTTGTTTTATACTACCTGTTTCCCTAGAATGGGACATTGAATTCCCAATTTGTGGCCTAAAGAGACCTCAAAACTCTGAATTTCAAATATATATCTAGTTCAGGATCTCAATGATTATTTTTGATTTTTTTATTATTTTTGATTTACAGCTTGATTCCACACCGTATTTTCAGTACAAGTATGGAATTTTCAGCATGGATATCGGTAGCCCAAATTCAGGCCGACCATAGATATCGGGTGTGCGCCGGCAGGGGATCGAACCCCGGACCATGTGCATGGTCGGTGAGAGTCCTAACCACTGTGCCACCGACGCACAAAGATAATAAAACTGTTCCCATGTGTTTCCATGTATGCTATACACTAAAATATATTGAGTAGTGTTATTAAGAGAAAGACAAACATCTGTGCCTATAATAATTAAGCTACTGTTTTACTGATCTAGGTCTCGGTAGACTGAATCAAGCTGAAACATACCTTGCGCAAGCTCAATGGACAATACTTAAAACCCAACATGAGTGCTCTAATGGTATACGATCGCAATTACATCGTAAACTTGGTTTGTTGTACGCTGCTAAGGGTGACTATGAGCTGGCACTTGAAAGCTTAGCTAAAGATGTAAGTGTCATTCGTTATATTTTTGCTGATTATTCGTTATTTATGTTTTGTGCTTGTAACAGTGACACAAGATATATATATATATCAGTGAAATTGAAACTAAATAAACAGGATTCTAGCGCAGTAGAGAGGTGATGGTCCAAATTTAATCAAAATGACTTAGGATACTTTTTATCCCTTGGCTCTGTATTAAACAGAATTTTAAGGGTTGATCATAAAGAGTAATTTCACTTTTTCAGAGGCTTACTTAGAGTTAGAATCAAATGTCAATTAATGACTGCAGAAAACAATGCTAGTCATAAAGGGATGAAAATTCACCACATTTTTTCATGCATTTTTTTTTGCTATTGACTTAGAAAATTCAAAATCATCTATATTAATCATTATACTCACATTATATCCGTTTGTTTTGTCTTGCATCGGGCTTTACTGTTCCATGTTATTACACTGTAACTATTATTTACAGATATTCTATGCATCGTGTGAATATGGAACTGATCACATTCGCACAGCAGGTGGTTATTTTCAAATGGCTGAAGTATTTTATGCAATGCATCAAAGAGATAAGAACAATGAAAATTTAATAAATCAGGAGTCGTCTGATAAACCGTCAACATATGTTTATCCTTCAGTAACACCGAGATCTCTTGGAATGGTTTCAACTGGAAAAACTTACGGTTCATTCCTTTGTGAAGAAGCAACAAAGCATGACGTTAATTTATCAAAAAACTCTGAGTTTTCTGTTCAGATGCCTATGTCAAAAGCCCCAGTTGCAGATGATTTATATGCACGCGTTGTTAATATATGGGCTGCGTATTTGGGCGAATTGGTTGAAAGTCTGTTGTATAAACCAGTGATACCTGAAGGAATTGGAGCAGTTGTGGCTGAAATAACTCAAGAAACGAAACAGACTCTAGGTAACAGCTCATTTATAAACTAAAGTATCTAACTTGACAATGTCAACCCCAAATCAGTCTCATTGCATCAGTGTTATTCATTCTTTGTTATCTCAGGAATTTCAGGCATTTTCCCTAATGTCCATTAAACTCTTTCCTTCGCCCTAACATACAAATATGGTGAATCAAGGTAAAACATTTTTATGGAAGGCTGTGTGCACCTAATGTCACGAAATCCTGAAATACTACGTTTAATGTAAGGAATTATTGGAGATCAAGTAATCAGTATTTTCTAACATTGGGATGTGCATAATTTCAACTGTGTCTTCCAGTGTTTTTTGCTTTACTTTATGTGCAACTGGAGCGAAAACTTTTTATTAAATTTCAGGTTTTCAGCAAAATAAAAAACAGATATGTTTGTGGCAGACTGTAGTTATACTTATACGTTCAAAGGGTTTGACATCCTCATCAGTGCTGCATTTAACTTAGAGTAAGTAGGCAATGCAACTCTGTTAGGCAAATCCATAAAGGTTTCGCCCATTGATTTGATTGACACATGAAGTACCAGGCTAGCGTCTTCGGTATACTTAGAAACAAAGGCTTGAAAATGTTGTTGATTTGGTTCAAAATTCCTTTCCAGATCTGTTCACTCCTTATAATCTTCCAGATTTTGAAATCTCACTGATTTTTTCCTAACTACCCTGTCTACCATACAATTTCATTTCTTTGTTTTTGTGTGCTTTTACAAAGTTTAGCAAGTTGAGGTGATGCACTTTTTTGCAAGTTTCTATATTGTCAATTCACTTCAGATCAAATGAAAAGTCTGAGCACAAAATGACATTTTTAGAATGCTTAGGATGATTTCCTCACTTCCTAAAGTTCGAATTCAAGTTCAGGGCAGGTTCGCCAATTTTTTTTCAATAAATTGCTGTTAGATGTTTACCACAATTTCAGCCCATTCTATTCATTTATGGCTAATATCATACATACCAATATCAAGACAAAATTTAAAATATACCGTGAATAAGTCAATCACCATGTGTGTCGGTGGCACAGAGATTAGGACACTCGCCAACCATGCACATGGTCCGGGGTTCGATGCCCGTCAAATGCATTCCTTTACCTACCTAAGCCAGAGATAAAGCTAGTAGAGAGGAAAGGTTGGGCATGAGGCTAGCAATCCCATCCTATAAAAATAAACACTGCTACAGAAACTTCAAGCCTCTAGCTTGAAGCCCTATGTTCCACTGGAAACTTGACGGAATAAAAAAAGTCAATCACCCTAAAGCGGATAACCGCTGGGAGTTGAAAACATCAAGATATTTCCTTTCATAATGCAAATATTCTTCTTTACAACCATGTGACTGCAAATGCCATAAACCTTACGTGATATTGATTTCTTTGTCGATATATCATCAACTGAATCGCGAGACATATCAGTAACTTTTTATCTCCATTTATTTTTGACCGAAATAACAGTTAGATGAACATATGAATACCTGGACAATAGCACTACAGTACCCGACAAATATGTTTAAGCTTTGGAACTTTTGATATTCATCGCAGTCAAATGGCTGTGACTTTTGGAAAGTGAGGTATAGAATAAAAGCTACTGAAAAGGCAGAAAGGTCATAAAAATAGCTATTGAGAAATAAAGTGAAGCGATCCAGAGTGATCTCAAGTTATTAAAATATAAAACAAGCAACAAACGTTAACAAAGCAGGATTTAATGAATTCATCGAATTCCGGTAGAACTCTTCAGCTGAATACTCTACATACAAGGATATATATATATATATACTGTTAGAATTACATTAGGAGATATAAGACTGATAAGTAAATAAAATACATTGAACCAATCATGCAAAACAACAGGTGTGAATATTTTCCAGGTCATGTTCAAATAGATAAGGGGAAGGGAGTATGAGAGGTAAAAATTATATCAAGAATGGCAAGCTGAATAATACTGATAGTAGTGATGGTAATAATAGGTGTGAAAACTAGTTAAGATAAATTACTGATAAAAGACATTTTAAATGAATCAGGAATACTAATAACAATAGTAAAAGGTAGAGTAAAACATACAGTAAAAATATTCATAATAGTAATAACAGTTAATAAGACAGACATATTACCATGGTAGATTCAGTGTGAACACCATTTCCTTGTCCCCGAATTCTAGGCCAGTTTAGGTTTTCTGTTCTTAACTAGACTAGTAATACATGAACAATTCTATAAACAAACTTTATGTTTAAGATTTCTTTTGGAACATAAGAAACACCCTATCTGGATTTTGTTTTTCCCTGCAACTGACTAATAAAGTGGATAATGTGATACTTACCTTCTAGAAAATGAAGAGCAGCACTATTATTATTGTTCCCTTGGGTTCCTAGTGAAACATAGGGCTTCAACTGCACGTCTCCACTTGCTTCTGTCTTCTGCTGTGCTTTCCACTTGCATTCATGTCAGTCCATACTGTTTCAGCTCCTCTTCACACGATCTCCTCCATGTCACCCTTGGACGTCCCACTCGCCGCTTCCCTTTCGGGTTCCACTCGAGCTATGGCCTGACGCGCGATGTCACCCAACGGCCTCCTCAGCGAGTGTCCAATCCATCTCCACTTTCTCCTGCATATTTGTTGGGTGATTGGTTCTTGTTTTGTTTGTTCCCATAGTTTCTTGTTGGTGATTCTTTCCGGCCATCTGATCTTGAGTATAGAACGAAGACAGCTGTTGATAAAGGTCTGCAACCTGTTGGAAATATTCTTTGTGACCCGCCAAGTTTCTGATCCGTATAGAAGAACTGACTGACTTGACGTTTGTATTGAAAATCCGAATTTTGTTGTTGATGCTGAGGTGAGTGACGAAGATTTCCAAATTGGTTTCAGGTTGATGAATGTGTTTCTCGCCTTCCCCATTCTCGATTTGACATATTCCTTCTAAAAACATGTATTTATAACTTTGTGAATGCTGTATTAGTCTGTAATCGTTTACCACCTGTATCTATACGAACACATTATTGGTCATTTAAGTTCATTAGATTTATAGTCTCATAGTTGCAGCTGTTCTTCGTTGCTCACCTCTTTGAAATTGACAAAAATGGTCGTGATTTTTCTTCTAGTCACAATGTAAGGGTATTCCGCGTATTTTTAAATTCAAACAGTAGACATATGAATCCGACAGAGTGAGTCATCTGACTTCCAAAGATCAGCATCACTTAAATTTATAAACTTCAGCCAGTAATTTTGATGATGGGCAATTATTTGTAACAGTCATTTATAGTCGACGGGACTTAAATATAGGGGAATAACTATCTTTGATTTGAACTCTATTTCTTCCTGTGATTGAAAAATCATTGTGTTGAGGTATATTCACTTACCATCTTCTTTTTTTTAAAGCCTGAATATCCATAAATCTGGAAGTGTTCCTTCTACCAATATGTTTTTTGTCCTGTTTTACTAAGTACCCGTGTAAATTGGTATAACTAACGACAGATTATTTTTTTGACATGAGTGTCGTCTTTTCCTTTGACTCAACATTTTTATGCTATATCGTGTGATTTTCTACGTTAGTGTCCAATATGTAGGTCTCAAGTGTAAATGGTAATATTTTGCAGAAAATTAGCTCAAAATGTCAAATATTTCTGAGCCAATTTGTTAAAAGTTCTATTTTCTCCCAAGCTTTACATAACTATGTTTTGAAGCCATACATTGTATACTTGGAAGATGTGGCATATCATGCTTAGTCGCCTACCTCAGCACCAACTACATTAAAAGTGTCAACTATAACTCCCTAAGGAGAAATTTTGTGATTAACAGCTGCTGTCAACCAAAATCATGTTTTCTTCCTCTCTTATAAATAACCTGATTTAACTAGGTCCCTTTTGCATAGCACTTTCTGTATCGTCGAAGAGATAAAAATAGTGAAGACGGAGATATATTGTTAGGTGTGAAAGAATACTACACAAGTATCAATTACTTTTTTCTGAAAAATAAACGAATATACATTTCTGTACAGTTCCCCTCTGGTAAATATCAGCAAGGAAAAGACAACAAGTATGTAAATTTATTGTATTTTCCGAATAACCTTAAATACAATAAACAAAATTCATGTTTTTGTACTGTGTATGTCGCTTTTGAAATTCAGCATTATGTTCACGTTACAATTTTGTTTCCTTCTTACAACTAACGCAATGACTATGTAAATCAGATGATGCACAAAAAGCAGAAGCTGAGAAAATGTTATATGCCATCGAGAAATATCGTCAACAACGCATCAGTGAGGATGGAACAAACGCGATTATGCATAATCCAGTTAGACCAGATCCCAAAGTTCGATTATATTTAACCCTATCGATGTTGAATTATGTTTTAGAGAGAAAGCAAAAGGTAAGCGTTCGTAACTTTTAAAACCAGTCAGACTTGGATATGTTTAAAAAAAAATAATAAGCAACTCGGTTTGTGTACGCAGGACTTGGACACGAATTTCTCATTTTCAACTACAATCTGTAAGTGTTTATGAGATAGAAAAGTTGGAAAGATTTATTTCCTAATACGAATTTAAAACAAGCAGAAAATTTTAATAAAGCAGGATTCGATGATCTATGCTGTGTTTTTGTAATAACAGAAGGCAAGACACCGAAGCCAAGGTATATTTTCAAGTGATCAAACTGCTATATATATATATATATATATATATATATATATATATAGCAGTTTGATATTCTCTAACCAATCATTGAGTGTGTGATTTTGGATTATATGAAACGACATGAAATAAATTGTTCAAATATACATAGTGTTCTGTTGCTAATGCTGCATTGAACTGAGGGAATATGTGAGAATAATATACCGTGAGAACACATTGTCTGAATCACACCACCACATTATGTGTAAGATTTTATCTACAGCACTTAGCTATGGTGTTCTAGCTACATTTGATGAACACGTTAAATCTTGCTTTGTTAACATTTGTTGCTTGATTTAGGTACATAAGGGGCAAAATTAAACGGTTTACTTGCTGCTAAGGTACGGACTTCAAACTAAGCAATCAATCAAAATTTTCGATTGACAGCCCACCGAAATTAGTTTTATGGATGTAATAATTCAACAAACAAATTTAATATAGGATGGTATGAGTGTAGTTTTGGGACTGAAGTTAGCGCAACGACGTGAAAAATATCAGGAAGCAATAGGGTACTTGAAAACCGTTATTGTTATTATTCGCATAACAGTTCAAACTGTCATACCTTACGTAGGAGGTAATAGAAGGGAAGATAAATAGGTGGAAATGACTTAATCATGTGCTGTAGGAAAGCCACTTTGCTAGTAAATTTAAAAATGAAGGATCTACATTTCACCCCGTATACATCTGTAGTCACCTCAAGAGACCTCACATAAAAAATAAGATAGTAATGATCATTATTATTATTATCTTACGGGTGCATTTTTGAAGAGTGACAGCTTGAACTAATATATTTGCTTACAAGTGTTTACGTTAGTGTTCAGTCTGTCAGTTGTCTTAACATAAATCGTTGTAAGTATTGTTCGTATCATTCGACTTTTAGTGTGCTGCATATATAGGTCGAAGTATTAAAACTAATAGGAAATATTTTTAAAATCAATGAATGACAATTTAAAATAATGTTTATTTATTTATTTATTGAAGGCTATACAATATTTAGCTGAAGCTAAGGTTGCTGCTGAACATGCTCCAGAACATCCAAAAATAAAAGCCGACATCAACTTAATGGAACGTGCACTAGAAGAAAAGACTCAAACAAGTTGTATAAAGGTCTCGCAATAAGTTATACCCCTCATTCTCATTGTTTCATACTTCACCTTATGCTTCAGTGTCTTCCCTGTTCATTTATTTTCTTTCGCTTTTTAATTCCACTAATGGTTTTGTAAGTAATTCTCCTCTTATCGATAGAAATTACCTGAAAATTTTAAGAGTTTGCCAAACAATTTGTTTGGATTTTGTGATCATTAAATAAAAAATGTCAATAAAACCGTCAGCAACAGCTAGACCAACAGTGAATAAGGAACAAAAACATGTCATCCACGCTGTGTTATAAACATGCCAATAGAAAGCTACAATTTATCGTTTTGATTTGTAGGTGTTTTGTTTTCTGCTTTTGAAATATTTATGGTTGATATGGCAACTGTGTAATTCAAGGAAGTCGAAGAGTGAACTACACGTAGGCATTACCATAATGCTACAATAGAATAAGTGTATTCCAACTTATTCAAAAAAAGATTCTACTTTATTTCTTTGTATTAAGATTGTAGAAATTAACTATTTATGAAAACATAAAGAATTTTAAAATAAAATTGTTGAGAAATAGCAATGAAAAATATGCAGTAAGAAGTGAGTCACTTTAATATTCTTACTGCTTGTGTTTTACTTTTTTGGGAAATGGGTTTGGGAAATATATTAACATCACAGTGTGAAACCCTGCTCAATTCAGAAACAGTAAGTAAAAAGTGAAATATATATATATATATCATACGTCAATGGGTATTCAGCGTGATAGTTATATATAGATTGGTTAACCTGTTTAGAATTTCAACGATGAGAGATGTAGTTTCGTAGGAAAATATATTTTAGGAAAGAAAACAAAAAAGAAAGAATGGTCAGTGAGAGTTAGCGTTCACCGTAAATACGATTCAGTAATTTCCAGTGTCCTTTTTCTACATTAAACGCCCTAGTTCTACGTTTTGTAGGCAGTACTTTACCATTCATTGGAATGACTAAAATACAGTAACTAAAAGTTTTCAAATTCATTGGCATTCATTTTGAGGTAATCAAGTTCACAAAATCTTCAATCTGAATGTATTCTAAGCAAGCTGTAGTGAACGTTAGTTATTCCGTAGCATAAGATCAGTTTACATGATTTTATGAGGCTGGAATTTAAAATCAGACGACTTTAAGCTTAAGTGGAAATTACACAATGAATGTTTAATCAGTGTGTTAGCGTATAAAAAAAAAAACTTCAACTCAATGGACTCATTTTTGTAGGTAATACGATCATAGGCAGTTAAAGAAAATGTACACTTACGTTGAGATACACACTTAAAGACAAATGAATAACCCACAGTTTTCGGGTTACCAACCCAGTACTAAAAGGCTCATTCACTGGTTCATTTTATACATTTTCCACTTATGTGAAGTAGAGATACGTATCTATCGTCTTATCACATGTTGACTTATCGTAAAGGTACTATTTAACATCATTGTGTGACGCAAGTTTCTGTCTCACTTCCGATGATCACTTCATCACATTGAGTTACTCTTCTACACTACATATACATGGTGCAGTTAGTTATTCATTTCAAATTCAAAAATACTATTATTAAGCGTAGACATATATTTTTAAACAAAAGAATATTGTCTTTACATCCTCATTGAATATATAAACTAAATATTTTCAATCAATGGTTCACTGATTGGCACTTTAACAGAGGCTGAAACTATTGAACTAGAACTCCTGTTATTGACAATAGAAACCTGTCAAATGAAACAGAAAGAGAAACAGTGCTAAAGTGTTGAAATGAAAGAGAAAATTTATTTAAAGAACAATAATAAGAAAGCGATGTAGAATGTTTTCTAGAAAATATGTGCAAAGTTATACGTGCCAGTCTGTCTGCCTAACCCTAAATGTTGATCGAGTGTGCATTGTGGACAATACGCTAAGTTACATAACAATGTATAACAAGAAACTTTTGTCTAAGCATTGAATATTGGAAGTTAGTTAAGAGAGATTACCCAACCCAGTTTGCATACTTGTTGGAACTTATCAATGAGATATACTGGTAAACTTAAGGAAATGAGTTTTTCCATTCCCGAAATCTACGTTACTAATTGAATGAGTCAGAGACTCTACGACTAAACGATACAGGTAAAGAATGAACATATATGGAACCAAACTGTATACAGATTATTCATTAGTGTAGCTGCCTGTTTCTAAGTAAAAGGTGTTTTGAAGAATGGTTCACGTTACACATTTAAGCTTTAGTTACAATTGTTCCATCTAACAAATACTATTTTGTCATATTGAAAAGAAACATACATAAGCAAGAAAGCTGAACTTATAAACACAGCAAAATTGTTTGCTAAAAAGAGCTGTTATCATCATAAGAAATGTATCTGTTTCGATGATATATTTTACTCCTTTTACTATAATCCAGAGTGGAAGTAATGTTAACATTCGATAGCACTGTTACTCCCTTCCTAAGAGTAATTACACAGAGGTTATGTATGTTTAAATGTTAATTAATGAAATAAAAAATATATTCCAAAGCAGCGAACCTTTATTTCCTCTTCAATGAAGGTTTCACGTATTAAGGAAACAGAAGATGTGTAACGGTATTTTAAAGAAGGTATAACTGTCGCCAGCTGAAATTACAAGAGAAATAAAACGATACACTGAGGTAATGACTGCGACTGAAAGAAAACATAACTGAGTAATGAGACAAAACTCAAGATGGCAGCCCATCCCATCCATTAATATGAGCAATAGTCACAACAGTTTTCATATGATCAATAAAACTACAAATGTTCGTATTTCGCTTTGAAAACTATTAACTTCTTACCTTTTTGTTTCAAATAAAATAAGCAGAACAGTTTTAACTACAGAGTTCTGTATTCATTTTAGGGTTATAAGTGGAGTTTATTGAAAAACTGAAAGTTCGTAATCTGATAATAAGTCTCGCTAGGAACCAACTCCACTTCCGATGGATCGTTAGAGGATAGAAAATTCCCACCTTCCAACTATGAACGACTACTGTGAATGTGTGACATTGTACATTTAGCATATCCCGTTTAGTTAAGTCAATTTATAAATATTTTTATCTGTAGCCATCAGTTTTGGCTAGATATTCAAAGCTAAAGTAATTTGATAGTCCTTTTAAGATTCTTCAAAGAAAATGTCTGCAAAAAATATCAGTTTCCTGAGTTATCTGTGCCCAGTAGTTTTAATTCATAGTACACTTTGAAGCCGATTCCGCAAAAAATGAATTACTAAGAAGCTGTTGTCCACATTAAAAAAACTTTATTCAACAGAAACAACTTGTGCTCATTAGTTCGAGAAACAAAATTTTTTACCTGTTTCCCACACTAACTTTCAAGACTTAAACGTAACCGATAGCTTGATATAAGTATAAGACTTGGGCACTGTGGAGAGTATAAAAAGTATATAAAAGCAGTTACCCAATCCAATCCTATGATTTCAAATAAATCACAAAATATCATGCCGGATCGGTCGAGGCCCGGATTAACAACGACCGCGCTTTCTGCTGCCGTGTCACAGGGCAGAAGTGATAAATACGCTACTGAGACACACCAAATAAAAAAGAACAAACAAAAACAGGCCGTGTGTGACCGGCCTCAAGCAGTTGTCCCCTGGGCTCTGCGGTCATGCAACCAACTTCCACGGTGTGGGCAGCCGGGAAGTAACAATCGCCCTCACAATCCGAAGTGCACGCGAAACCTCTCTAATCCTCACTCATCTTTGTATCCATCTTCATCTCTATTATCTTGCCTTCCTTCTACCAATGCAACCCCTCTACGTGTTGGCTCTTCACTTCCTCTTCACTCTGTGTGCACTGATAACGATGGAAGCCAAAAAGCCACCACCGATGGTCTCCTAAAACCACGCCACCAATTTTATATAGGAGCATTTAATGTTAGGACACTCTGCCAAATAGGACAACAAGCATCACTAGCCAAGACTCTGGCATCCCGAGCCATTGATGTATGTTGTGTTTCAGAAACACGCATACAAGACCCAAGTGTGGTTATTCACCTAACCCCACCTGGCCAACAGGATGAATCTGCAAAATTCACCTTGAGGGTGTCAGGAGATGCCACAGCTAGCTCACGAGGATTAGCTGGTGTTGGGATAGCTTTGAGTACTACAGCAGAAAAGACATTACTTGACTGGATCCCGGTAGATAGCCGAATGTGTGCTGTCCGTCTGAACGGATCAGTGAAAAGGAGAAAGGACTGCAATACTCGCCGATGCCTTTTCGTAATCTCCGCCTACGCCCCCACTGACTGCAGTTCAGATGAAACGAAGGATAAGTTCTACCAAAAGCTGTCTAGTTTGCTGCGAAAGGCTAGACGCTCAGATATAGTCGTTTTAGACGGTGACTTTAATGCTCACGTAGGGAAATTGTGTCAATCTGAGAAGAATGTCTGTGGCACATACGGAATTCCGTGCCAGCGAACCGACAACGGTGACCGTCTCCTACAGTTCTGCTCAGATAATCATTTGTTTCTTGTAAGCACTAACTTCAAACACAAGGACAGACACTGTTTGACTTGGCGACCCCCATCATCAAATCAACGCTGAACACAAATAGACCACATAGCAATAAGCTATCGTTGGCGTGGGTCGGTAGGAGATTGCCGCTCCTTCTGGAACACGTGTGTAGATACCGATCACGCAGTGGTCCGCGCTCGTGTGTGCTTACGACTGAACGGACGTAGAAAACAGCTGGCGGTAAAACCATCACGTCCCCAGCTCAATCAGCAAACTAAGTCCCTATTTGAGGAAGAACTAGCTAAACACATCTGAGTTCGACAGCTGCGCTCACCCTGAAGAAGTCTGGAAGAATATTCAATCATCCATAGATACAGCTGTAAAAGCTGTGAATAAGGTAAATCCAAAGGTGAGTAAAAACCATTGGATTTCGACTGCCTCATCCGAACTGATAGATGCTAAAAGACTTATTCCGGCGAGCTCCGAATTCAATGAGGAGCGAAAGCTGCACAAAAAGAAACTTACGAAAAGTCTCCGCAAGGACCGTGAACAGTGGTGGTTGACAAAGGCGAAAGAGATGGAAAAAGCATCGGCGATAGGCAACACCAGACAACTATTCAAACTCATCAGGGAAGCAGGTGGTAAAAGGTAAATGATAAGCGAAACAATCTCCGAGAAAAATGGCACCATAATTACCTCCCAGGATAGACGTCTGGAGCGCTGGAAAGAACACTATGAGGAGCAGTTTAATTGGCCCACAGCCACACTTAACCTGCTGGACATCCAACACCTCCCTGAATGGGATATAGACACAGGTCCTCCGTCCTTAACTGAGGTTACTAAAGCTGTCACCAATCTGAAGCTAGGCAAAGCAGCGGGACCTGATGGAATGACTCCAGAGGTATTTAAGTACAGTGAAGACAGTTTACTGTCTGCATTAACTGAGGTTCTAGGCAGCGTCTGGGAATCAGAGGAAGTCCCATCGGGTTGGTGTAAGTCACTGATCATCCCGATATATAAGAAGGGGGACAAGTCTTCTTGTGATAATCACAGAGGGATTAGCTTGACTAATACAGTATCTAAAATCCTAGGCTCAATAATACTGCGTAGACTAAGTGGTGCTCGGGAGACTCAAACACGAGAAAACCAGGCAGGTTTTAGGCCAGGTAGAGGGTGTATTGATCATATCTTCACCCTTCGACAGATTCTAGAACATAGGCATTCCTACCGGCGTCCGACAATCATTATATTTCTTGACCTAAAGGCGGCATTCGATTCTGTCGACCGGGAGGTTCTCTGGCGATGCTTGACTGTAAAGGGAATACCAAGAAAATACATTGCACTGATTAAGGCACTCTACTCGTACTCATGCAGCCATGCTACCAGGGAATAACCTCGTTGACTTAGGATATGCACATGATATAGTCTTTCTAGGCGAGGACTCTGACAAAATGCAGAGTCTTATGAACACCTTGAGCAGCAATCTTCGTATGTTCGGCATGCAATTCGCCCCTGTAAAATATAATATGATGTTGCAGGATTGGACTTCATCGACCCCTAGATTAGAAATAGGAAGTGAAGTGGTAGAACACGTTGACCGCTTCACTTACTTGGGAAGTACCATCAGCCCCAACGGGTTGATCTCAGACGAAATTTCAGCACGAATACAGAGGGCTAGGTTCGCATTCGCCAGTTTTCGCCGTCTTTGGCGTAGACGCGATATCCGACTATCGACCAAAGGGCGTGTGTACTGCTCAACAGTCCGCTCCGTCCTCCTTTATGGCTGTGAGACCTGGCCATTGAGAGCGGAAGACATGAAAAGATTATCTGTGTTCGATCATAGGTGTTTGCGTTCTATCTCCCGCGTGAAGTGGTATAATAAGGTGAGCAATATTGCGGTTAGGCGTCGAGTGCTAGGTAAGGCGGGGAAATCAATCGACGAAACGGTGAAATTACTTCGACTGAGATGGTTAGGACATGTGCTACGTATGCCTAGTCATCGCCTTCCTCGACGGGCAATGTTAGCTGATATAGGGCCAGGCTGGAAAAGAGCTAGCGGTGGTCAAACGAAAACATGGCACCAGTCGATGAAATCTACAACAGTTAGTCTGAGCCACGTAGGAAGGTTTAGACTTCCTGGTTGCGGTCCTCGGGATGGTAAAAACCAATGGTTGGGAACAATTGGTGACATGGCTCAAAATCGTTCTCAGTGGCGCAGATGCATCCACTCCTTGTGACTAATGATTTCCAATGAAACTGTTTTGTTCTCCGTTATTACTATTCCTTTGTCTCACACCTCTGTTTACTGTCTCTAATATGCATTTCTTCTACTTCCTTCTCTTGCTTTGCGTGCTACACAGATTGTGGCGACTTGGACTGCCGCACATATGTGCAAAGTTCTATGTCGAAAACCGACCGACCGACCGGAGAGTATAAATCTATTATAGATAAAATTTTATTTTGATAAAACCACAGTGTTGTATAGTAATATTTACTGATGACGTTTCGAGCACAAATTATTGCTCTCAATCATATCAAGTCACTCGCACAATTGATACGATGAGTAGTAATTTGTGCTCGAAACGTCATCAGTAAATATTACTATACAATACTGTGTTTTTTTTCCTTCACGTTCCCAGTGGAACATAAAGCTTCAAGCTAGTGGCTTGAAGTTTCTGTAGCTGTGTTTATTTTACAGGATGGGGTTGCTAGCCTCATGCCCGACCTTTCCCCTTCACCAGCATTATTTCTGGCTTAGCGAGGTAAAGGAGTGCGTCGACCGGGGATCGAACCCCGGACCATGTGTGTGGTCGGCGAGCGTCCTAACCGCTATGCCACCGACGCACATATACAATACTGTGTGGTTTTATCAAAATAAAATCTTATCCATAATGGAGTTATAACCGACAACTTTGCTATTTGTACAAGATATCCCTTCTGTTGCTTAATGAAACATAAGACCCACTTATTTAATTATGAAACCGGTTAAAAAACCAACCTAACATAGCTGCAGAGTGTGTACTTAGTCAAAAGAGTTTATGAAAATTTTGTTGCGTAAACAACCAAATTCTCTTATGACATTCATGAAACCTATAATATTTGTAAAACTAAATATTAGGCTTTCATTATCTCCTTAAATTATACAACACCACGGGCATGTATTATAATGTAAGCTGACAGCAAAATGCGTCGGTAGCATAGCGGTTAGGACGCTTGCCGTCTGGGGTTTGATCCCCAGCCAATGCACTCCTTTACCTCGCTAAACCAGAAATAATGCTGGTGAAGAGTAAAGGTTGAGCATGAGGCTAGCAACCCCATCCTGTAAAAATAAACACTGCTACAGAAACTTTGAGCCTCTACGTTGAAGCCCTACGTTCCACTGGAAACGTGAAGGAATAAAAAAAAAGACAGCAAAATAATTTTCAAATTTCACAATCTTATTTTATTCTATAAAACAGGTATTACTTACTGGAATTAAAACTGGATTCACACGAAAAATTGAAGCATTGAATGATATCAGTATGAACAAACCGTTCACAGGTGATACATGTTCACCCTTTATCTGAATTATGTCACAAATCAAAATATACGCAGGACCAAGACCCTGCACCTAAAAACAAGTCATTTTATCCCCGTTTAAATAATGAATTGAAATAAAAACAAGATATAAAAGTATAGTGAAAGAAAAAAGAAAGTAAAAGACCGGGTTTAAAAAACCTGTATCATTTCAGTTAGACATTTATTTTTATTATTTCCAGTATTTAATAGTGCAATATTAGTCTCCAAAATACTACCTCGTTACTTTACGAATGTAAACAGTACTACCTACACAACAAAGGAATGAATACTGCATGTTAGAAAATACGATGTTCAAATTTCACCAGAAAGCTGCTTACTCAATTGTGGGACTTCGAATTTCTGTACCCTAACTCTTCATACTTCAAAGACAAATCATACTCTTAAATGTTTTTGGAAGTAATGATCACATAAACATAATGTAATTCTTGGAAAAGTTATCAATAAAGATCATGTAGTAAATTTTGAAAAGAGTATCATTTCTATTATGAAGAAATATGCCCACAGCATTTACACACATCACTGAATAAGCACTACTACAAAAAAACAAAATAAACATATATATACGTAAATGTTAGAACTTGAAGAGAAGTGTATCAGTTTAAGTTAACACAGATCACTGAAGTGCACAAAAGGGAAGTCGATAAAAACTGAACGATTAACTGTGAAGTGAATGAGTATGAGATAGACGGTATTTAAGTAAATGCCAGTGAACGTAAGAAAATTTCTGATCACAGGTAGTGAACAAACTTACGGCTCCTTGAGCATTTACTTTCCGTAGCACCAGGAGCCTCCAAATATCGCTCCTTAATATATTTAAAGACAGGATTATCATCCAGCTGTCTTACTTTTTGGACTGACTGACAGAGTTCTCAGCGTAGAATTCTGCACAAAAGTGCAGCAGTTCAAGTTGACGTATTCCATACAGTGCAAAAAGATAAAAACTCAAAAGGACTATATTAAGAATAAGAATCCACCTTGGACAATAGTGAGCATCTTATGGATATAGGAGATTACAAAGAATGAATGTATCTGTGCCACTGACAATGATTTTGAGCCATGTCACCAAAAGGCTGAAGCCAATAGTTTCTAGTGTATCCAGGCAATCAGCCTACACCCGCCCTTAAGTGGCTGGTTCGAAGGGACAGTCAAGGACTTGATGCACTGGTGCTAGGTTTTGGTCTGACCAAATTTAGTCCTTTTCCAATCTAAGGCAATGTTGACCAACATCGCTCGACGAGGAAACCGGTGGCTGGGCATGCGTGGCACGTGTCTTAGCCATCTCAATTGATATAGCTTCACGACCTCATCGAATTACCTCCCCTCTCACTTAGCACTCTACGCCTAACTTGAATATTACCCACTAGGTTATACCACCCAACATGGAGGACAGAAATTAAACATTTATGGTCAAAGATAGCTAGCGACTTCATATGTTCTACTTTTAAGGACCACATCTCACAGCCATAAAGAAGGACGGAGCAAACTGCTGTGCAGCACACAGTTCTTTGATCGATAGCCGGATATCACGTTGAGGTGACGAAAGTTGGTAAACGCCACACCAGCCTTCTGTATCTGTGCTGAGATTTCGTCAGCAATCAGTCCACTAGGACTGATGAGGTTTCCCAAATAGGTGTAGTGGTCAAAACACTCAACCACTTCTGTCTCTATCTTTAAACTAGATGATGCAGTCCATAAGCATCATCTTGCACTTGATAGGGGTTTCATTCTTTAGGGTAGAGTGACTTGGTTGACATAGTCTTAGGTTTAAACCTTCATCACTCGTTTTTTCTAAGTAGTACTCTGCACTTAACATCAAATATCACAGATGTTACGAAGAGATAACCAAGTTTCACAGAAAAAGTCAAAAAACGAGAGAAGTTGGCAGAGTCCGTCCACCTCACCCTGTTGCCAATGCCTAAACTTCGGTCCATATTAAGTCATCGTAACATTAATAATTAGTGATTACACTTTGAGCAACATCAGTAAAAGATTCGATGACTGAATTTAGATAACGTGAAATTATTACAAGGAAATAATTTTACAATAAAAAAAGCATTTACCAGGACATTTAATTTGATTTGTTCACCATAGCCAGAAATTGGAATTGGGGTGGAATGACTTTCTAAAATGTTCAGGAAAGTACTGGCAACTGAACGTTTTGTGAAACACATATCATGTATAAACTGACGGTACATTTCTAAAATGGTTTAAAATAAATAGATAAACAATGAACGTCCCATTGAATGCAATGTAAAGTGAAGTAATATTAAGGTAAAAAATGAAGAATTGTTGAATGATTGCTGAAGTTTGTGATTTATTCATATTTTTCAGGCTCTATATTCTAAATATTAACGTAAATCGATATCAGCGCTAAGTTGCTATATAAACATATGGGTTAACTTCGTGAAATAGTAACTATCAATAATGTGTATGTTCTTTTTGATAGGGAGGTAGATCACTTACTACTAGTTTGTGACAATAGCTAATGACACTAAAGATGAATGTTTCGAAAAGGTCTTAGAGTAGACATTACGTTGACCAGATGTGAAAAATGGATGGTTATTCAATTTATTTTTTTGAAATATACGTATTAATTATTTCAATGTGTTTCTAAGTTTCAGTAGCGATGGGGTTGCTAGCCCTACACACAATCTTTCCTCTCTTCTGAGTTTAGAAACAGCTAATAAACTAGCAGTAAGACAAGACTCCCTACTATCATCGATTTTCTTTATAACTATAGTGGACTGGATCATGTGGATGACGGTGGGGAAGACTGCACAAAAATGGGAGAAATGGGAGGATGACTTTACAACATTAGACTAATAGAATATCCCATAATTTCTGGATTTCAGGGAGGATTTGTGTCTGATGCTGGTAAATTTACAAGCAAAAGCCAACGAATTGTTAGAAGAGGTAACGAAGACAGGGCTTCAAATGAACACAGAGAATACTGAAGTGATAATGATACCTAAAAAAATGAATAAAAATTACACATCACCGTCAACAGAAGAAAGTCTTCCTTTTTACTCATCAAAACTATTTACAAAAGACTACAGCCTTTCGTCAACAAATGTTTCAGTTCAACAATAAGGAGTACATAGCCGGAAAGAATAAACAACAAGTACCTATGGCAGTGAAGCAGTCAGCAATCTGTCACCAAACAAATAAGCAAAAGGAAATGAAGACAGACCGGGCACCGTATACCAATATCACACGCTGTACAGTTGACAGAAAACCTAATAAGCAGCGATGAGTTGGACTTCCGACGGTGACATGGAGAAGATCATGTGAGGCGGAAATGAAATCTGGTGACCAGACATGGAGACGGTTGAAAATGATAACAGAGAAGAGAGTGCAATACAGATTTACTACTGAAGCTTTATATACCATTCGGAATCCAAGGAATCAACAACAGTAATATGGTGATTATGCAGTACGTGTAGAAAAATCTATCTGAAACGTTTAAATGCTTCTCAGTATTTGAAGCAATAATTTCTTTCTATTAATTTATACAATTACCAAGACGTAATTCTAAAAGATAACGAAGGATTAGTTGCCCGTCAACATGTCATTTGCTAGTATTGACTGTGTATATTCTCCTTACATCAGCTACTGACGCATATATGTGACATTCTAAATAAGCGGCTCTATTAAACAAAACAATAAACTTCTACATTGAGATATTACACTACCGCCAATAGCTTCCATTTCGCTATATATATATATATATATATATATATATATATATATATATATATATATATACATAATTTGCTTTATTCCAAAACAGTACTTGTGATACAGAATGGAATTCTCAGCATTTTTACTACAGTACTGCATCCAGTTAGTACATTATCAATAAAAAGAATTCTACATAGATTAAGGAAATCTCAGTTCATTATGACGACAACATATTGGCATATCGGTAGCAAAGGTAAAGCTGAACAGTATTTGAAGGTGTTAGAAAAGTAGGTGCTGTCATATTTACTGGCGTAAGCGGAAGAAAAAAACAAAGCAGCACATAACGGAAAAAGAAAAAAGAGAGAGAAGAAAGGAAAAGAAAGAAAGAAAATGTTGTACCTATAAATGATATGAGTTGGAAAGACGAGGTCCCGTTGTACTACTGACTATTTAACGAATTATAGGTGTCACGCTTACTGCTTTCTTTATCGCACAGAACACGAGCTAAGTAGGGTATGGTTGAGTTTTTGTACTTGCTGGTGCGAGCATATAGTTTCTTATATAGGCTTCTGGTTTTGCCTGATGAGATGCAAGGGGAGAGTTGTGAGTGAAGAGGGTGGTGTGAGTTAGATAAAATGGATTTGGCCCATTTTTCACATGAGTCCATGTGCCTGTCGACCAGAATATTAACAAGCTGGTTAAGTGGCACGTTGCTTACCCTACTGACAACCTTTAACATCCTGTGTAATATGTTATAGTCTTTCTTCAGTAGCCCGGAAAAAACTAAGGGGGGATAATAGAGAATAATAGGCAGAATGCGAGAGTTAACGAATTGTAGGAGTAAGGGTTGGGTTATACCAGAATATTTTAACTTCTTGATGTAGAAGGTAAGACGGAATATTTTCTTAGAAATCGCCAAGATATGAGACGACCAGGAAAGATCAGCAGATAGAATGACGCCTAAGTATTTAATTTCCGACTTGGTTTCTATTTTAGTGCTATCTATGTTGCACACCTCGTGAGAGCCAACCAGTTTGTTTAGGTCGGATTTATGCCTAAAGGTGAAATTGACTGTTTGGCATTTGGAGGGGTTTAAGGTAAGACCGTTTTCCTTGGACTACTGGCTGATTTCTGACAGAAAGCCATTAAATTTAGAGCAGTCGCTTTGACATTTGACAGGCAAAGATACTGTCAGGTCGTAAGCATATTTGAACAAATTGATGTCATTTGAAGATGGTAAGTCATGTAGAAATCCGTTACTTAATGAAATCAAAATAAATAACACAATAAGGCTGACTTTTGAACTGGCACTAGCTGTCTGAATTCAATTATCATCAACTTATTATTTATTATTATTGTTTCCCTTAATTCCTAGAGGAACATAGGGCTTCAGCCGTGCATCTCCATTGCGTTCGATTCTCTGCTAGAGTCTTCACCTGGCTCCAAGTCTGCCCAAACGTTTTCATCTCCTCTTCACATGACCTCCTCCAAGTCACCCTTGCACTGACGACCAACTCGCCGCTTCCCTTTCGGGTTCCACTAGAGCAATGGCTTGTCTAGTGATGTCACTTTATGGCTTGTTTCCTCAGAGTATGGCCAATCCATCTCCATTTCCTTCAGCATATTTGTTTCACAATCGGTTCCTGGTTGGTTCGCTCATTGCCAGAGATCTCTGTTGCTGATCTTTTCTGGCCATCTGATCTTGAGTACTGAGCGAAGACAACTATTAATGAAGGTCTGTAGTTTGTTTGAGATGCTCTTTATGACGCGCAGTGCAAGTCTCTAATCCGTATGGTGAGTAGCATTGACTTCACATTGGAGTTGAAAATCCGGATCTTATTTTTGATGCTGAGTGTTGTTGACCTCCACACAGACTTGAGAGTAGTGAAAGCTTGTCTTGCTTTTCCGATTCTTGCTTTGATTTCCTCGTCAGTTCCGCCTGTAGTTGAAACGATGCTTCCCAGGTAGGTAAAAGAGGTTGTTTCTTTCAGGTTCCTCCCATTTGTACTGATTGTTGTCTGTTGTTGTTGTTGCTGTTGGTAGTGTTGCCCAGGAATCTTCATCACCTCTGTCTTCTCTATGTTCACCTGAAGTCATATCTTCTCTGGATGCTTCTTCTGCCAACTTGTTGCTTTTCGCTTGCATATCTTCCAGTTTGTGGGAAATCAGACATATATCATCGGCGAAGTCCAGATCCTCCAAGTTTTTCGTGTGAGTCCATTTTATGCCTGTTTCCTCATTGCCCACTGCTTGTCGCATTATCCAGTCTATTGCAATCAAGAAAATCATTGGCGATAGTAGGCAGCCTTGTCTTACTCCTGTCCTCACTTCGAAGGATTCCGTAAGTTTCCCGTTGTGGATTACTTAGCATGCAGCATTGTCGTACAGCTGTTGGATGAGATGTATAATTGTCGGTGGCACCCCATAGTAGCGTAGTAGTTTCCAAATCACCTCTCGATCGACGCTGTCAAAGGCCTTTTCAAAGTTGATGAAGTTGAGATAGAGAGGTGACTGCCATTCCAAGCTTTGTTCAATGATGATCCGTAATGTGGCGATCTGATCAATGCATGACTTGTTTCTCCTGAATCCAGCCTGTTCCAGTCGAAGTTTTTATCCAGGGCTTGTTTGATTCTCTCCAGGATGATACGGCTTAGTTAGTGGTTATCCTATGGGTGACCGGAGTAGATCACTGACTCACCCGTTGACAATTTGGTGAGTCCATTCCCGTTCCATCTGCTTTCACATATCCCCAGTACTTGAATTCCGCACCTTTTCATGTCGTTTGCGATCTGGGCAGCTTTGCCAATGTCGTACATGGTGCGGACATTCCATGTCCCCACACAGACTTTTTCTTTTGGCTCGAGGAGATTCATCGTGCTGAAGTTTCTATAGCAGCTTTGTTTACAGGGTGGGGTTGCTAGCCTCACGCCTGAGAAGGGGATTGTTACATTGAAATATAGTTTAGAGAGAAGCGATCTTGTGGGATGCTCCCCTTAAAACCAGGAAAACAAGGAATAAAACAATCAGCAGAACACCAGCACAGAAAATTAATTCACAACAAGAAGGGTAACAAGCGACAACAACAATAATAATATTACAGTCAAGTACAGTTAACCAAAATCATAGACTCACTGACTTGAGCCAACTTGAACATGTAAATCCATCAATATATACAATTATACATATTAGTTAGTGTTAAACAAGCACAGAGTGGCAAGCAGATAGTTATAGGTATTTTCCAACAACAAAGTTTATATATCCAAAGATTCAGTGTTTCAAAGGCAAATAATTGCAATAGTTTTTTTTGCAACTTTTTGGCAAGATATTTCACAAAACTAAGAGTTTTAGGTAACTATGCAAATGTAACGTAAAAAATAATTATCATCAACAGTCACAAAAAATCTAATTTTCGCCTTATCAAGAATCAAGTGAAACAAGATATAATTAAAAAGCTTCTTAGGTGAACAGATGTGCATATCAGTTAAGAATTGAACCACACTTACGCGACGCATTCAGTTGTTCACGAGTTGTTAAATCCATGAATAATTTCGATTTTTTAGGAAAATTTAAATGATCAAGTTTGTTTAACGTGCGACAGGAGATCACATTAATTGGGATAAAATTAGCTGAACGTTTGACAATCAAGATGAACATATGTCCACCTACATAGAAAAATTTACAAATAATCACAATTTATATAGATTAAGGCACCTGATTTAACTGGTTAAACTAAATAAACGTATTTTAAAAGTGTTAGCACTATATACATGTATGCTTGGTACTAACTGACAGTTAGAAACTATGAGAATAATGGGCAACTAAGACAAGCATCATTTTTAACTGTTTTGTAAGCCTTAACTATTACGAGATTTAATCTGACAAGTGTAAACGGTTCAGATATAGTTCACTCATTGGTGCATCATAAAACCTTCAAAACAGCTTGTTGCTAACATAAATCACCAGCACTAGGACACGATATTTATAGTGAAATAAGCACTTGATATCCAGGTCCTGCAAGCTAACGTGATCCAAATGGTGAAAAGTCGCAGTTAGGTTCTCAGAAGTCTAATAGGTCTTACATACATATTGCATCCAGATAGATACAAATTTGGTTTCAACAAGTAGACCGTTAGGATAGTATTAATAATACATATGTTGTATACATGTTATTACAATATGAAGATATATGTTAATATATTTGGCCTTAATAAATACTTTATGTAATCGGTTTTCTCCACAAATAGCTGACACTTTAAAAATACAGGTTTTTGAAAACATCTGCACTTAAGAGTAAGTGAATGAAAAATGTAAACTACTAAAGTATCACATTTCTTTGAGATATATTCAAAATCTGTTGGGTTGCTAAAAGTTCACTTCAAATCAATGTCTGAAAAAACTTTCTGAAGAAGGTTATCTAAAGATGAAAAACATTTATGCGAATAGTTTAATTTGTACCTAATTTTCACGCTAAGAAGAATAAACCATTCGACTTCAATGTAGTAGAATAGTTCGGTCTCACCATGAGACCTGAAAGCTGTGGGTTCAGTTCTTCAGGAAGATATGAGATAGGCAATGTTTGTGATGGTAAAATCAAAGTTAAATGACTGTTTAATGAGTTGTAGTACTTTTCTGTTTAGTGATTGTGACTGATGAAACCCACTTTACTCTAGTTTAATTGGACTCAGTTTCAGCTTTATTTAATAATAAAAATTGCAGTAGAAACTTAAGCATCAAAAGTTTTTCTACCAGCGTTGACAGAGAAGGGGGTGCTACGATTTTCCAGTGGACACTAGACATGGTACGTAAAAATAAGTTCTTTTAATCAACTAGTAGATTTCATCTACATCCACTGAGTGATTTTAATTTAGCTCCTGAAATGAATTGCATTGAAAACAGTATACTGTAATATCAACAATGAAATAGTGAAATGAAATAGCACTTTTAAGAACACAAAATATACTTACAAACCTTGTGATATAAGTACTAATGTATTTAATTCTCTGTCATACTTTCCAAAACAGCAAGCAACAATTGGATCGGGTTTGGCTGACTGATAATTAATTAGTTTGTTCAACTGACTTTTATTCACTTCTTTCGCCGGAATACCTTTGCCTATGGAGTCATTGTCTTTATCATCGTTATTATTATTTTCAGCTAATGGAATCCAGACAATGCACTGGTCGCATAAATGTTGATCACAGTAAATATTTACCGAACCATCAGACAAACACAAGATATAATAAATCTCATTATTTCTATTGTTTGAACTCATAAAGTTCATTGGTGCCAAAGTTAAAATTTCACATGAATGTCTAACCCTCCAAATAGGTCGACCCTTAAAAAGAAGACAAATTGTGAGAGAAATAGCTTTAAGGCGAAAAAGTGGTGTATTATTATTATTTTATTTTATTATTTTCCTTCTTATGGAACAAAGGGCTTCAAGCTAGAGCTTTGAAGTTTCAGTAGCAGTGGTGTCTATTTTTACGGGTGGGGGTTGCTAGCCTCATGCCCAACCCTCCCTCTTTACCGATATTACCACCGGCTTAGAGGGGTTTAGGAATTCGTCAGCCGGGGATCGAACCCTAGATCACATGCGTGATTGGCAGTCATTCTACCGCTGTACCGCCAATGCACAAAAAATAGCTTTAAGGCGAAAAAATGATGTATATTTTGAAGATATTATTATGGAACTGTTACAGACTGTTACAAAATAATCTTGAAAGTAAGTTCAGCAATATTATCATTCTATTAGAAGTGCACGTTGTCAGGATCGCTGGAGGATTCAAAAGCTTGTAGCTTATTCATGTCTCTTCCCACTAGCTGTTAAATACAAATTAGTGAACAGCTGCGCTACATACCAGGCCGTTGGTAAGGAAGGTGAAAGTGGAAGTGCGTCGGTGGCACAGTGGTTAGGACTCTCGCCGACCATGCACATGGTCCGGGGTTCGAGCCCCTGCCGGCGCACACCCGATATCTATGGTATGCCTGAATTTGGGCAACCGATATCCATGCTGAAAATTCCACACTTGTACTGAAAATACGGTGTGGAATCAAGCTGTAAATCAAAAAAAAAAAAAAAAAGAATATCAGCTGAGTTTACGTGCATGATAATTCATGAAATCTGTTAATATATCCAGTGAAATATTAGAAGGAAATTCAAGGGGTGAAAAATCAAAAGGTTAAGTGAAATCACTCGTAACTAAGTAATAATAGATACCTTTAATGAAAAGCCTTTAACTGTTTGATCCATGCAGGCAATAATAATGACTTTGTCTGTACGAACTAAGCCAATGATTTGCGATCCAAGGTCGATAAATGCCTTTACATTATCTTCTCCACTTGAATTCATGAAGAGAAAAGGATAAGAAAGTGACAGTATTACTAATTTGAAAGCAGATAACAGTAACAACAAACAGCGCCACTGGCAGCTTGTTTACAGTTCTTCAGTTTAAAATATTTGGATTTATCGAAGTACCTTGAATGAAGACAAAAAAGTAGTTTGTGTGGCCTAAAAGTTTTACTGGTGCGGATCGAATCAAGAGAAACTGGAGGTCAATAAGTGGAAAGTAACTTGATTTTGTACACTTATCTCTAATAATTATTAAGTAAAAGGCTAAAACGCCTTAAATTTCTATTGCTACACATTATAGGTATACAGGACACGACATCAAAATCTTGAATGCACTTAAAATAATTAACCGACACATCATCCGACGGCAAAAGTTGCAATAGAAGGACAAACAATCATCCATTTAAAAGAGATAACTGTTGGCTTTCAACTTCAACGAAAGTCATTTATACTTTTTGAAGGAGTAAATCTACTCAACTATTTCGCTCACTACTCTCAGATTACTTAATAGCTTTTTATTGCATAACTGTGTCATACAAACTACTAGTGAAAACAAATACTTCATAAATCAGCTGATCAGATATCAGCTTCCACCTCCTCAGTAAGAGGTTACAAAATTGTTGGTATGAGTTTCAGATAGGAAACTAGAAATGGTGAGAAGCGTGAATGAAAGGTCTGGTGAAAGTGTCTACTTCACTAAATTCTAGTTCTGCAGACATTTTTAAAGTACTCTCCTTTTATTTTTATCTGATATGCTTCATATATGGTTCTTCTTCTGGTATAACCTTTTACATGTAATGCACAACGAATTCTATAATACAAGAAACGTATATACATGATTTTACCGTTTAAAGAAGCCGTAGCAACTGAATCTCTGGCATCAAAACTCCAAAAAATTTTAGTTAAAACATTCCTTGCCGCAACATTGCGTTTAAAATTCAACACTCGTCGTATAATTACAACGCAGGTGAAGGATACGCTGCCAAGTTTGGTCACTTCAACGTGCATTTATAAATTCAGCTGTTCATGTGGAGACAGTTACATGCGTAGAACGACTCAGCAAGTCCATCATCGCCTTCTGGATCATTGTCCAACGCGGTTAGGTAAAGGAGTCATAAAGTTGATCAGAATTTCCATACTGGCACACCTAGTGGATAAGGAGCATAAGATTGACAAAAATTCAGCTTTATAATTCTATACACGGTGCCACCTTAACTCCCTAGGTTGGTACGTATTCGGTTGCTGAGCATAGCTGAGACATTGTCATAAGAATTTTTGACCCAATCTTTGTGTTCAGAAAAGTTTGTTCAGTCTCCCTCCCTCCTTTGGCTTTCACTCTCAATCTAAAGTAGTTATCTCTCCCGCTGACACCGGATAATTGTAAATATTACCTAATCGTATTTTATTTATAATGCTAACTGCATAATGGGTATCATGTTGTGCCTTAGTTGTACATTTTACTCTCCGTTTATTATTATATTTTCAAATCGCTAGGTGACAATAGTTATTTTCCCCTGTACCCCTACTAGCATGCACATTCTACCGATACACTCACCGTTGCCTAGATTATATAAACACTTGAATGAATTTATCCTTGTTAGTATTATTACTGTGATCACCTCGATTGTTATCCATTACTTCACACCCCTAATCCTATATTTTATAAACCACATTAATTCAAATGCCTATGAATAATATTTCATTATGTAAATGTAAAGCCTGATGAGAATTTACCGAGTATGTGTATTTCTTTAAATCGTGTTCCATAATTATCATTATTGGAATATTTAAATTATTCCACAATATTCGCGAACCATCATGGTTATAAATGAGATAAATGAAGGATCGTTTGCAGTTCCTCACCAGAACACCATTCGAAAAAATGAATGCATTCCTAATAGCAAGAAGTTGTTCCGACATTTATGCGAAATTTCACTCTGTCTTTTGGATTATGAGCTGACTAATTGAGGAGAAATGTACAGCGAAGCAAGCGAAGAGTGCTCAAAACACTTAAATGCTTAACAGAAACAAATGGGAAGCCAACTAATAACCAGAATGAGAATACTTCGCACAGAACGAAAGTCTATTAATAGAGAACTAACTAAAATGAAATTATACTTAGAGATTTTCTTGAGCACAACATATGCTGAGAATTGAAAACATTTATTTACCGATACGAACTTAAAACAAACAATAAAGGTTAATAAAGCAGGATTTAGTGAATTCATCAAATTTCGGTAGAACTCGTCAGCTGAATACTCCACATACACGGATATATATCTCCCAGTGTAATTGCAGTGGTATATATATCAGTGTATGTAGAGTATTCAGATGACGAGTTCTACCGAAATTTGATGAATTCATTACATCCTGCTTTATTAACCGTTATTGCTTGTTTTATATGCTGAGAAATTACCGATCAAAGTATTTGTGAATGGTGTCATTTGGTTGCCGGTGGTTATGAGCAGAATCAAAGATGCCAAGCCTTGTCTAATTTGAGACTCGTCAGTCAGATGTGCCTGCACCTCAACGAGTGATACTGTTCCACTTAGACTCGAACTCATCATGCACAGTATCAAATACCAGGTCATTATGCACTTGGCTACTAAAATACGAGAGGCACCTCTTGTGCAATGGACATCAGTTGCCACCTACTGAAATTATTTTGAACTTACTGTTGAGGTTGGCATTCAAGTTTCTTGATGCTGCGTTCGAATCTCAGTGGGAACACTGCCATCCACTGGGATACAGGCACTTCTAGCTGACAAGTCCCGAACGGGACGAAACGAGCATCCTGAATTCCACTAGTAGTTACCACCAATCAAATGAGACCATGTTAACCTGAAGGCAACATCGAAACGTCCCTACTAAGATCTGACATGTTGACAGAGGCCGATCATTTTGGTCCAATAAAATCACTCGACGGGGAGTTTAATATAATCTGAATAAATACTTAGAAATGGATTTCACCCATTCCGATTGTTTTATGCTTATCATCACAAAATTTCTTGACAACACTAAAATGAGCTGAAAACACATTAACACATCACCAATAAAATTACTCACCGTTTTATTGAATAAATTATTCCATTACGACACGTCACTAAAATATGGTAATCAATATCATATGAACCCACTGCATTTATATGGACGGGAACAGATGGAAGCGAATTCTAAAATTGTACAAAGAATATATGAAACACTAAGACATCCACGAAAATCTCATCATTGTAGCTAACAAACAAAAAGCTGAACATTGGCGGATGGTGACTAGCGCATTTCGTTCTATATGGGACTCATCATCTGGATGTACCTGCATTCCCCAGTGAGGGATGATGTTCCCACCACTTCTAGTCACCATCCACCAATTAAATTCTAATTACATGCCCAGACATCGTCAAAGCATCTGCACAAGAAGCCGACATGTCAACCTGAGACCGAGCACTTCGGTCCAATCAATCGACGGGAAAATCTACAATTCAATTAAATAAAAAGCTGATCAATTTATAATCGAATTTAATTTTCCATAAATTTGTAAATGTAAACCTTAACAGAAGTAGAGGTAGGACTGTCAGAGTTAATGATGTTTAATCAATCAGGTAATATAGATATTATTGTTCTCTTGATTTCAGAGTGGAATATAGGGCTTCAACAACACATCTCCACTTTGTTCTATTTTCTGCTGTCCTCTTTAGCTGGGTCTACGATTGCTCTCATCTATTCTTCGCATGATCTCCTACATGCCAACCTCGGACGTTCCACTCGCCGCTTCCCACTCCAGGACCTGACGCGCGATGTAACTCAATTGTCTCTTCAGTGTGAGCCAAACTTATCGCCATTTTCTCCTATATTTTTGTTGGGAGATAGGTTCTTAATTAGTTTTTTCCCATAGTTTCCTGTTGGCGATTCTTTCTGGCCATTTAATCTTCAAACTGCCACAGGTAACATAGATGCTGTTCCTAAATCAAAGATCACATTTTGTTTTATTGTCTTGACACTGATTAAGGCATTGGCAAGATATATTACCAGCCTAGAGAAAAACTGGTTTAAATTACTTCTCCTATGAATTTATCTGTACTGAGGTGTGTCACCAAAATAGATTCAGTGTGTGGATGTATGTGATATCTTCATGATATTTCGAAGTTTACTACTGTCATTTTTTCACAACGTAAATACTGCACTAGTTAGTCAGGAATTGATTTATACCTTTATTGATGACCACTGACTATTTTCTATATTTACAGTCCCTGTTATTTATCTGTAAAAAGTGTTGAGCTATTGAGTGTAACTTGTACAAACCAAAACATTTAGTCTGGTCAAGATTATTTATCACCGAACTTTATCAAGCTTGAGCCACCGATTCCGGCTGCCTTAAACAGTGTAACCCACTGATTCAAGCACTCAGATTTGAAACAAGATTCAAGCTTCCCTTCACCTACATCAATGTTGCCTAGTGTTCAGTACCACAAACCTTGATAAATAGAAGGTACACGAAAGATCCGTTGGATGATTGATTCAAACCGTTGCTCTATCGCTTAATTGTCAGAATCATACTTTATTGGAAGGTAGAAAGAAAGTAGAAATTTTTTTAGATTTTTAATTGTGCTGTGTTAATCTGCATTTACATCAAGATAAAAGGAAGCAGCTATTTAGGGAACTGTACCATAAAATGTTTACTAAAGAGAACAACATCTAATTAATACTTTATCTTCATGATACAAACTTGTATTTTGTAGCGTGTGAACTAGGTTATCTCGAGTTTCAAAAAGTAGGTATTTTTCAAAGCAAGAAAGAATCCACATTTTCACGCGACCTTTTTCCCTAAAATGAGGTAAAGAACCGATATTATCTAATGCAAGACTGCTGAACACCATAAAGTGAGGAGCAACTACTATGTCTTACCAATCAAATTCTTAGGGTGAAAGTGGTGAACGTATTGAACACTGCCCTGGCTCTACAAAAACAAGACATTTCGATATTGTTACAAACATGTTATTACGAGGTTTTTGTATGGGAATCAAATGGTCAGTGTAATTCAACTGCGAAAGTGACTTGATTCATTAAAATTGATAAGTTAAGCAAACAAAAGTTATTTACCTGAGTTAAAATATTGTGAGATACGCAGTCGTAAATATAAATAAAAGACGATTCTGTGCCAACGATTAAACAATCCCAAGAATTAGGTCCACAGTGCTGCTTACTCATGCAAGATATACAAGTGGCAACTGTCTGCACAAATATGTAAAAATGAGAAATTATAAGTGAAAAATGGAGGCAGAATTGAAATGTATTATAATATATGTCACAGTGATGACTCGGAAACCAACTTTTTACACATCAAATCCATAGTAAAAGCAAGAAAACTTTCAAGTATATATATCAAGTTTATTTACCTGTTTTTCAAGTTTAGACACTCTGTGAGCATTGAAAAACTCATGCAAACAGTCTAAGGGCAACTGGAGATATCGTATAGATCTCGGACTAAGCTTAGACAAATTATGCCTGAAACATACAATAATAAGTTAGTCATTAGAAACTGTAATACAAGACACATTTTGTGCAAAAATGACTGTAAAATTTTTAGTCCTATAATAGTTCTGACCTGTTCCTGAGTATTATATTAGGACAGACAAACAGAGACATCAATTTTATCACACTATACAAAATTGAAGACTAAATATATTTATCCTTAGTATTCAGTACAAAATATTCAGTACAAAAGTTCCAGAAAAAAATCATGAAAAGCAACTGAGATTCCCCTGACAGTCGATATGAACTACACAACGACTGCGAACGCTAGAAACCACTGAACAGGTGTTTTCTCCCATTTTGAAGTTCTTCAGCAATTTGCTTCTGCGACTTGATGCAAGAGTGAGCCCAGGATTCATATTTGCCGAATCAGTCAGTCACTGGTGTTGCACAAGGTGGCACAACTATCGGCACATATCGGTTCTGAAAGCTAACCTAGTGTACTACATGAGTTTGTTGACGAATTCTCAGCATGAATATAAAAGTGTAAATGATGCCTTAGAGCTAAAATAGCTTTGTATTGTTTAGAAGAGGAAATGACGTAAATGTTTCCTAAGACAAACTGAATCAATGCACTCTTTCCTCTATCATTCGCTCAAGTTTCACTATTTTAACATATTATTATTATTACTTTAAATTGACTTGGATTTACTTTTAGCGAAAATTCAGAGACAAAATACAGCTTGAAACTAACTTCAGTTCTCCAAGTTTGGTACGTAACTCTTCGGCTGTTAGTTGACCCTATAAATAGAATATAAAGCCAATTGTAGGACAAAAGACTAAATACTTATATGAGAAATTGAATACGTTTGTGAAAATTATGCATAAATCATATCAACTGTACAGAATTTCTAACAACTGTATTTCTCAAAACCCGCATACAGCGTTACGGGAATTTCTATGGGACACCGGTCAGTCGAAACCACATTTCATAGTCTTTTCTCACAGAAACAAAGACATATGGCACTGAACTATTAATGACAAAAACAGTGTAAATCAACAATAATATTCACAGTCACTGTGTGGATACTGTAATTCTGTCTGAATATTGGTTAGTGGTCGGCTAGCAACAGCATCCCGGATACGTATTTGATACAACCTGAATATGCCTATATCTCCAAAAAGTGTGTCTCCAGCTTGACTTAAAGGCAGAATCCATCAGTTTAAACTGTAGAGTGTTACATAGTAGACTATTGAGTTTTGGTTGCTGTGGTGTGTAAAAAGACGATAAATAACTTCAAAATGCGATTTAAAGTTTATAAAGCATCATAGATCAATTCTATCTAATAAAATAAATAACGAAAAAAAACAACACCAGAATCAACAATTAATAGCTATGGTCAGTACTAACTACAGTTTTCAAATGGAACAGAATATTGCTGTGGACAAAACCAGTAGTTGTTATTATTCATCAAGACATTGACGACTTTTCGACATAAACAAATTAATTAGATTTATGAGTAAAGTCTCCCTGGATTAGTAGCATACATATAATGTAATCAAATAAGTCTTGGGTGAGAATATAGAAAAGTGAGGGACGATAAACAATGTTAACGAAATCTATCTATATGTGTGCATTTTTAATAAAGATACAGTTTCGATGAACAGACAAAATAAGACAAAAAGCCCTGTAAAACTTACCTCTCTAGCTTGTTCCCATAGCTGGAATTCATCTGATAGAGGCTGAGTTACAGGCAAATTGTATTTATAGAAAGGTGATAGTTTACGGTAAACATATATGTATGGTCCAGCAGCAACGGCCAAATCTTTAATATTAAATGAAAAGATGAAAATGAAAGGAGATAATTGTAGTTGAAAACCATTTTACAGTTAAATGACAATACATTCTGCAAACCTTTTTGAGATGAATAACTAGGCCTGGGACAAGATTTTCACCGGTTTAATTCTGTACTTATTTACAAATGGATATCCTACAATTGTTTCTTAAAAGGTTAAAATCTCTATGTGTAAAAATTTGTCACTGTGGGAGTATGTAATTCCATATTAATTTGCTTACTGAATGTAACACACAATAAAACTGGATGATTTTCCCAACACGATTTACTGCTCACAGTCATATCGATTAAATTAAACAACTTCGAAACCTAAGTTTTATACTTCTTATTATTCTTTCCCATTCGTCTGAAAACTTCTACTAGCCCTACAACCAATGAGAAACAGTAAAAAGAACTACAAAAACTGAAGTTTTGAAACTGTGTAGTTTAATTAATATGATTAAGAACAACAAAATGTGTTGGAAACATCATCCAGTACATAGTAATGAAGCACTGTGTGATATGTCTAATGAACAAATTAATATAGAGTATTTTGATATCAACCGGAAACATGAGTAGTAGGTATCACAGTATGACGAATGATACTAATCATCTCCTTTGTCACTTTCCATTTTACACAATCAGGACAGTACTTCCATATTAGTTTGTTTATTAGATGTATCACACAGTGAAACAGTATTATTTACTGGATGACGTTTCGAACAAAATTTATTCTTCATAATCATATCAATTGTAATCACACGACTTCGAACCTTGAGTTTTATAGTTTTCTTTGTTCTCTCCTTTTTATCGTCGTAGGGGTAGTAAAATTTTCCAGATATCGGGGACAGGTGTTGAATCATTCCTATTACATGTTTTTGCAGTTGATTCGATAAACAAAGCTTCTGTTATCAATCTCTCCCTCCATTCTGCAACATTAGACTTTAAAACTTTCATCTTATCCCATCCTATTGTATGGTTGTGTGTTATTGCATGTAGTGCTATAGCTGAACTATTCTCTAGATTTCTTATCTTATTCGGGTCAACTAATCTAGATTTTGCTAGGTTTTATGCTCGGCTAGTCTGACTGCCCCTGTTCTACTACTCTGACCTATGTATACAACTTGACAATCATTACAGCAGGATATTAGATAAACTAAATTGTTTTGTTTTAACGGCTCCACAGGATCCTTTAACCGACAAAGTTTGTTTCTAATTGAGTTTGTGGGTTTGAATGTAGTTTTTATTCCTGCCTTGTTAAGAATTCTGCGTAAGGTTTCCGAGGTTCCTTTCCTTGTATGGAATTACTACTGATGATTTACATTCCTTATTGCTGGTGTTGTCTTGCGCATGTTTGACATGCATTTCGTCATTATTATTACTATTATTATTATTATTATTATCACTATCACTACTATCATTATTGATTTTATTTTTACATTTCCATACATACTTTCTGACTAGTTTATCAGGGTAATTATTAAGTTTCAGAGCTTTTCTTATATGCCTTACTTCCTGTCTTAAATTTTCCTTGCTACTACTTAGGTTTTTTGCTCTATTATTTAAATATTTAAACACATTAACTCAAAGGTGGAGGCAGTTCAATTCACTTATGAATTGGAAAGTCAGGAAGGGGAGCTTATAATGTTAGGTTGTAGCGTAAAAAGTGAAGAAGATGGGAAGTTAAACACAATTTACAGGAAACCCACACATTCAAACAGATTTTTGGACTTCCGATCATCCCATCCTATATTAGTGATTACAATTGATATGATTACGAACAATAAATTTTATTCGAAACGTCATCCAGTAAATAATACTGTTTCACTGTGTGATATATCTAATAAACAAACGAATATGGAATTACTTACTACCACAGTGCCCAAATTTTGCACATATATTAATATGACTCATTTGTTGTGATTAAAATTAGTCAGTCTGTCTTTTATCTAACTCTTTCCTTTTCTTCTGTTTAATATATCCCTATTGATGTGGTTTACGATAAGCCTGAGAAAAAGACTGTACAACTAATTGTTGAGGATGTGATATTATATGTCTTATCCTAAACTTTGCCTGATTAACAAATCAGAGTACGACAAGTTGTATCGTCTCAAAGTCGTCACACTTCAAATCAAACATAAATAAGAAGATCCAACTTGAGGACGCTACAATTGGCAAATGTGTATATAGATGTGAGAATAATCAAATGAAGATTAGTGGGCAATTTTAGAATCTTGATGATGACAAGAAGTGAGTACATTTGTGTTATTGTAAACAACTTTCAGCCAGATCATGACGCGTTACCAAATGTTGACTTTTAGAGTCTTGAGGTTCTCATATAGACAATTTCTACCTCTCAAAATGACATCCATCAACAGTCAATGAATTCATTCTTTGCTATTTCCTAATCTGATTAGGCCTCAGTTAACATTACCTGTCCGGGAAGGTGGTGGTTTGTATCACTAGCGTAACACATGCCCTAACCAATTCAGTTTATCGAACTTCAAAACTTCATCAAATCATTTGTTAAAAGACGGAAAAAGATCAGTATACACAAAAACACCCCAACTTTAGCAAACCTTAATATTAATACTGCAATTAATTAAGGGACCATATTAGAAATTAAACTTAAACATCTATTCATAAACACACCTGAAACAATCTTATCTTTTTCCCTACACTTAAACGTAATGATTCCAGAAGGAGCTTCAGAATGTGCTATTTCACTGATGAGTTTAGTTCCTTTAAATGCTTTAACTTTAAATTCAGAATATCCCAGATTAGAGTGAATTTTTTCAAAGTATTGACTAAAATCAGCTAGAACCAGCTGGTTAGTAGACAAATCAAAAATATCCCCAAAACACATGCACTGTGAAAACGATGATAAATTTAAGGCGGATTCGTGTCTTGCTAGTAACCACTGGTTACTGATTTTTAATTGATACATTTTAGGAAGGTTGCTTTGTTTTTGTGTTTATCGGTTTGACTTGCGACGTACAATCTACAAAAGAATATAAAAGTAATGATTTAGATAAATCTGTTCAAGATAACATGTTACATCACTAAACCAAGAGGTTTCGTATTGTCAATATGTTGGAAAATATTTACAACTCAAATTGTAACTGTTGTTATTGTGGCGGTCATCTTGCTATTCATGCCTACTTTTATCGACAATAGCAAAGGAAAAATTTTTAGAACCTGTTAATCAAGAGTGGGAATTAAACTGAAATAGTAACTTTTTCCAGTAAAGCCGACGCACTCCTTTACCTCGCTAAGCCAGAAATAATGCTGGTGAAGAGGAAAGGTTGGGCATGAGGCTAGCAACTCCATCCCGTAAAAATAAACACCACTGCTACTGGAACTTCAAGCCATTAGCTTGAAGCCCTATGTTCCACTGGGGAACGTGAAGGAAAATGAAAGCTTGATGATCATCAAATTATTGGAAGGCTGATATGCATTTAAACCTATCTCAGTAATGTTCTATATGACCGACAGACAAATAAAACTTATTCCTATATAGTTCCTCTTAGTAAAATAGTTTGCTTGGGCTCACAAGTGCTTAGTAAATCATTCTCTACCAAATTCATTAGTCAGTCGTTAAATATACATACACAAAACAGAAGGTGGAATATCAGACTTTTTTATTCCTTTACGTCCTCAGTGGAACGTAGGGCTTCAAGTTAGAGGCTTGAGGTTCCAGTAGCAGTGGCGTTTGTTTTTACGGAATGGGGTTGTTAACCTCATGCCCAACCTTCCCTATTTACCAGTAATATTACTGGTTTAGCGAGGTAAGGGAGTGCGTCGGACGGGGATCGAACCCCGGACCTCATGCTTGGTCGGCGAGCATTCTACCGCAGTGCCACCAATGCATGGAATATCAGATTACTCAGTTATTATTCCTGTTATGTGTTCCCTACGTTGTGAGTAGAATATACGGCTTCTGTAACAAGTCTTCACCGCACACTGTTGTCTACTTGTAGCTGGCTCCACGTTCGCCCTCTAACGACCAACTCTCTGCCTGCCATACGGGTTCCACTCGACGGCCTGGTGTGTGATGTCAGTCAGTAGGCTTCTCAGAGTATGTCCAATCAACCTCCATTTCCTTCAGCGTATTTGTTAGGTAGTAGGTTATTGATCAATTCACTGCCCTCCAGAATTCCTTCTTGCTTTTGCTTTCCAGATGTCCATCTGATCTTCAGCTGGAGAATGCGACTGTCGATGAAAGTCTGCAATCTGTTGGAAATGTTTGTAGTGATACGCTAAGCCTCTGAAATATACAGACGCACCTATTTGATATTAGTGTTACAAATGCAGAGCTTTATTTTGCTGGTGAGTACTCTAAACCTCTATACTGATTTCAGAGTAATGCAGGTCTGTCTGGCTTTTACTACTGTGTTCTGGCTATATTTGACCTCCTCATCTCTACCGCTTATAGTTGGGTGGATGCTGCTCACGTTAGGGAAAGCGTAGACTTCATTTGGATTTATCCCGTTGGTTGTGACTGGTCTTTGCTGTTGGTTGGGTATCTTCACCGGCCCTGTCTTCAATATATTCAATATATAATAAAGTCTGCCCTTTCTCTTCTCCCAACTTGTCGGTTCTTACCTACGAGTTTGTGTGAAATTAGACATCAGCGAAATTCATTTCTTCTAGAGTCTTTTTGTTGGTCCGAAGTATGCCCGTTTTCTCACTGACCACACTGTTATATGATCCAGTACGCCACAACCAGGTACATCATCGGTGATGATAAAAGGCAATCTAACAAAGGCCCTGATGAAACAGGAGGCGACCTCGCCCAGGATAATGACCTCAATATTCAACTCCAAAGGAAGGAAATTGTCAGTTATACAATGCTATGCACCCACAAACAACACAGACCTCGGAAAGAAAAAAGAGTTCTACAGACAACTGCAGACAACAATGGACAATACTCCAGCTGGTGACATCAAAATACTAATGGGAGACATGAACGCCAAACTGGGATCAGATAACACAGGAAGGGAACTCATCATGGGTAGAGAAGCTCTCGGAGAAATGAATGAAAACGGAGAACTCTTCGCCGACTTCTGTGCCTTCAATGAACCAGTGATTGGTGGCAGCGTATACAAACAAAAGGATATCCACAAGGCTACATGGGTGTCACCAGACCGGCGAACCAAAAACCAAATTGACTTCATCTCAATGCTGCTCAAGGAAGTGGAGACGCAGCTTACTGGACACAAAAGTAAGAAGAGGAGCAGACGTTGGCTCAGATCACTATCTCGTACAAGGGACACTCCAAATCAAATTAAAAGCTTTCAGAGAATCAGGTACTGCAGATAGACCACAAGCCAAGTTCAACACTCAGAAACTGAAGGACCAGGATACAAAGGACATCTTCACTGTAATCATAAAGAAAAAGGCGGAGACACAAATCAACACTAGCGAAGAGACCAGCGTTGAAAGGCACTGGAACAGCCTGAAAGCGGTGTGGAGTCAAACCTGCATGAAAGTTCTGGGCAGGAAGAAGAGGCAGGGCAAGCAGTAGCTCATTACACACACATATACATGGAGACTAATATAAGAGAGAAGGATGTTGAAACAAAAGATTATCCAGTGCATCGACGAGCAACAAAAACAGTTGAATGCAAGCTACAATACACTGAACAAAAGAGAAAAGAAGAGTGCCAGGGAAGACAAAAGAAAATATTATGAAGCTATGGCAAGTGGCAAGGAAGAAATGGAGATGGATTGGCCATACTCTGAGAAAACCATCAAGTGACATCACTAGACAAGCGCCATTGCTCGAGTGGAACCCGAAAGGGAAGCGGCGAGTTGGTCGTCAGTGTAAAGGTGACTTGGAGGAGGTCATGTGAAGAGGAGATGAAAACTTGTGGGCAGACTTGAAGCCAGGTGAAGACTCTAGCAGAGACCCGAACGCAATGGAGACGCACGGCTGAAGCCCTATGTTCCTCTAGGAATTAAAGGAAACACTAATAACAACTCGTGTCTTCACTTAAAATGCCTTGCTGAGCTTTTTGCTGTGAATTCCCTGGAGTGTGGCATCAACATATAGCTGTTGAATGAGGTTTGGGGCACTCCATAATGTTGAAAGGTTTTGCAGATTACTTCATGACTGACGCTGTCAAAGGCCGTTTTCACGTCGATTAAGTTGAGGTAGACAGTTGATTGTTGTTCTAGGCTTCGTTAGATGATGATGACCAATGTGTCGCCTGATCGGGGTAATCATTTGCTTTCCTGAATCCAGCTTGTTGTGGGAGGAGCACTTTTGCATCTGGAGCATCATTTAGTCTTTCCGAGAGGTTGTGGAATAATATTTTGATAGTAGTGGGCATGAGAATAGTTACTCGCCAGAACTTTCCCTGACCTAAGTCGCCCATCTTTCACAGCTTGACAAGGTGTGTACCTCCCCTTCCTCCCACACCTCCTGTAGTATTGTCGTGAGTATATCCACTAAGGCCTAAAGTTCATTTCCACTGCATCTGGGAGGATTCCATCTAGCTCTGCTGCACTTTCGACCCTCCGTAACTTTATGGCCTTTAAGACTTCTGTTTCTTTTGGAAGCTTTGTATTTACTGGTAGTTTTGTGTTGTCTGGTGGTATTCCTGATGGAGTCGTTGGTGCTGGTTGGTTCAATAGTCCATTAAAGTTATTGGTTCAGAGTTCGCTCCGTCCCACCTCTTTGGTAATTGGGTTTCCTTCACTATCTTTCACCAGCTAAATTTGGGTTGGTCTCTTCCCGTATCCGGATGTTGCTATTTGATAAAGTGTTGTGAGGTCTCTTTTACCCTTAGCTTGTTCAGCTTCAGTCGCCAGTGTGTCGTGGAAGAATCCTTTGTACTTTCTATTACTCTTCTTCACTCCTTTGTCTAATGTGCTGTAGGTTGTACTCCGGTTCATCGCCCACTTTATAATCCGCCCCTCTATCAGCTTCCAGGTGTTCATAGTGAGCCATTCTTCGTCTCGCTTCGTCCTTTTGACTTGGATGTCTATGTAGGATTTCTTTTTATATCGCTTTCAGAAAGCCCTAGTGTTCTTGTATGCATGTTTCCCCCGTAATGTTGCTTAATACTTCCACCTTTATCTTAGAGACTCCAGTGGTGTCGTTTGTGGCTTCGTCCTTCACTTTCCGAGTGTTGAACTTAAGTTTTAGTTGTGGTCTATTTCTAGTTTCCTTGAATATATTCAACCTGATCTTGAAGTTTTCTTGTATTAAATAGAGGTCTATGCCTACACCTACTCTTTTTCTCGATCTTTTGTTTGTTTTGCCTCTCCACTTTCTTAAGATTGAGAAGTCTGTCTGGTTCTTGGTGTGTCTGTTTGGTAAGACTTGTGTCAGCTTATGAGTGTCCGTATGCTTGTTTATGCTGCCTGAATTCACCATATCAAGAAGTGCAAAGAGTTCCATGGTCTCACTAATTCCACCGGTTATTTCTGTAGTCATGATGAGTTCTCTTCCTGTGTTATCTGTCCCCACTTTGGTTTGTATTCACGTCATCCATTGTAATTTATATATTGCCACCTGGGGTTTCGCCCAATAATACCTGCAGTTGTCTCTAGAAGACCTCTTTTTCCCTTGGTCTATATCTTTGTAGGTGCGTAACATAGTCGTCACTTTTCTTTGCTTTGAACTGTATCTTGTAGCCATGATGCTGTAGAACATGAACATCTTTGATGCTCTTGGTGAATATCATGATGACCACACCACTTGTGTGCCTTCTAAGTGACGGGAGTAAACTTTTGGTTCTTTAATTGGCAATTTGAGGAGTCTAATTACGTTCTATGAGCCATCAAAGGTTCATAACACGGAAAGTACATGTCCCGATGCTTAATTTTGCTTTCACTGAAAGAGGAAGCATCAGTCCAATGGCCTACCAAAAGCTGTCGACAGCCAATGTCATCTACGATTCCAGATGATATTTATTTTATTTTTCTGTTCTTCTAAGACTCAGTAGAGATGGGTTTGTTTTTCTTGGAGGAGGTTGCTACCATCACACCTAACTTCCCCACTTCGCCCGGCCTAAAACTACTTAGTAAACTAGACGATATTGATTATGGATTTCAGCAGAAAGCAACAAACTCTGACCGCAGCTGGTAGATTATTATAACTACCCACTGAATGGAATTGTGAAAACAAAAACATGATTCCACTTGTTGACTCACTTAAAATTTAGTCTCTAAACAGTTTTCCGTCATTAGACTCGGTGTACAGTTGTCAACAAATTCTGGTATTTTAAACTAAATAAACCAACTTTTATTAAAAACGATCCATTTTATCAAAGGCTAATATATTGGCATCAAACTCTTCTGTAAGAAACATTATTTTTCATTTGTCTCATCTAGTACCTCTTGATCTTAAAAATAATACACCAGTCCAAAGGGATTTAATATACAAACCCTCTTCCTCGGAGAAAATAGCTATCTTACTGCCAGAATTCTGCTTTGACTGAAGTCAGATGGCAGCCACGAAATCAAGATCGTGAAATAATGACTATGTGGCTGAAGTCCAATCATCATGGCTTCAATGACTAATCTTATTAGAATCTACACGTCTACTCCACCTCTGTCTTTGCTTCCCCTGTCTTTTCCATAGAGTAGCATCTTATCTCTGACCGTTCTGTTGTCTTACACACTGGGTGATAGCCAAGATTATGAATGTTGATTCCTACAGAACTAAGTTTTTCTGTCGAGTATTTGACTTCCTAAAAAAATCCGTGCTATAGCTCAACAAAAACATACGTGTGTGTTTGCAAAGACAGTTTCCCCTATCGTTGCCATAAGTCTGTCGGTTTTCGGCTGCAGCAGCTGAGACGGTTAATCATGTCTTTCGTTTTATACCATGCCTGAAGGGTATTCTGGCAGCCAAATTTCATAGCCAGGTGCATACAGGTTTAATGATCAAGGTAACTAGTAGACGGCTGCCGATAAGATGCTGCTCAGACATCTAATGAAATCATTAGGCATCGTGCAGGTAACCTCGCATATCACGAACTGCCTATTCCATGACATCGTAATCGACCATAACTGTGCGTTTGACCTCATTTATTACTACATAAAAAGCCTTGCTTGTGATTCACAGTTAGTCAAGTTTCACTTTTATATCAGATTAGTGTTCGGCAACTGGAGCTCAAAATAACAGTAGAGTTTGTAGGCGAAAACGTCCTATCCTACCTGCCAAAATGGTCACTGAAACATAGTAAACATCGTCTGTCAATTACTTCATTATTAGATGTCTAAGATTTCTCCCCTCTCCACTGAAGTGCAAGCTATTTTTAAAAAATCTTTTCACCCATAGTCCCCATTCATTTTCTGATGCTGTAATAGAACACGGTTAAGCACCAAAAGCTTCGGCTGGTTCATCGGTTTTCGGTAGACCTCCCAGTTTAGCCATACTTCCAGCTGACAGCTTATGGTCCATTAGTCTTTGTCCTCTACCGATGTTGAGGTAGTGAGCTCGTTTAGCACTGATCAGTAGACGTATCAGGCCTCCCTTTGGTATTTTAACTAGCATGATAGGGCTCTTGTGGCATTTTGTGAACACACTAAGACTAGCGATGTGGATTATTTAAGATTAATTCACTGTATGCAGGCGGAACGAATTTACAGGAGATGCAATCGAAAAATACTTCTTTACAAGCATTGAAGTCATCTCCATGAGATGCACTTCTTTTCAAAGGCTACTTCTTAGATGGTGCACTACACAGATTGGCAAACAAGACTGTTTCCAGAGAGTTTTCAATTCTCGATGGCTGTTACAGTCATCAAAGAAGCTGGCTTTCTCTCGTTTTGTGAGGTTTTCATTTTAGATGTGAATGACGAACTATTTCTAATGAGCATATGCCTTAGTGAATACTCGTAAGGGAAAGGGATAAACATGAGCAGCCAGTGAATATCGGGAACCTCATTTAAAAGCTGTAACCACTGTTGTCCGCACAGTCTGCAGATGTTGTCGCAGAAGCCATAGCTGCATAACAATTTGGGTGAAGTGATACCACGTGTGCAGCACCACAGAATAAAAAAAGGATTGAAACAAGTAAACCTAGTATACTGTGGTTCGAATCGGATAAATCAGAGTGGTTCAAGTGAATTTAGCACGTTGCTTCAGCTACCTTGTTCCAAGAAAACAATCGTAAACCAACTGGAAAACCAAGATACTAGAAATATTAAGGGCCGAAAAGCCTCAAAAAAACCTTGGGAACAAATCGCAGTCTGGAATTAACTTGCTCTACTTTGTAGTGCAACATCAGTTTCTTAGGAAACAAGATATATCTATACCCAGTCAGAGAATGCACTTGGACAATGTGGCCAAAACGTGGGCTAAATGGGAAGTTTTGATGGGCAAATGCGTGAGCAAAAGATGGTGTAAATGCTATATAATTTGTCCATTTTACCCATAGATAATCTAAAGATAATGTAGTGACACTTTTAAGTCAAAAAGAAACAGCATTGTGAAATAATTACATATGGCCTGCTTAGAATGACACGGAGTAACTTCTGTTTTATGATTATATATGATGTATATAATGACACCAACTTCAAAACAAAAATAGACTTTTCTGAAAAATTGCAAAGCAAGCAAAACAAACAAGCGAAATAAAAGTATTTTACATACCATTCACATAGTGAAGACTTGAATAACCACAAACTCACATATCCAAGGTAAGTTGACATATTTGAAAAAATGCATCGACCTAAGCTTCATTTTAGCTCATTAAAACAAAACACAATTTGTGATAATAATGGTATAGACTTGTGAATTGAAAACGGGTTTTATAAAGAAACATAGATATAAATCTTTTTACGCTCCACTAACTTTACTCCTATGATTATATAATGCAATGTATGGGTATATGTATTCACTTAGATACATGCTTACCTGAAAAATGTTTGGCTTCTCTCCTGGAAAATTCTTCCTGTGTATTTTATTTTTAATTCAGTGTTACTCGCAACGCATTCAAGTTATTTACGAAGGACAGAACGTTGCATTTTTTTGTAATGCCACGGGTGGTATTGAATCAGAATATATTCATTACCAGTGGGAAGTTAATAACAAGGAATTGATAGCTACAGATGCCTATTTTCACATCAGGAACATTCAGAAAAGTGACGAAGGTGAATACAAATGTATTGCGACACAATATATCAACGGAACACCAATAGTAGCTACAGAATCTACGTTTATCAGTGTTCGTAAAGGTAAGTCATTCTGCTTCAGCGTTTCGGGCTGTATTTCGTAAGTTTATATGAGGTATTTTATGTGTGGATAAACATATTTTATCTCAATAACAATACAAGCAAGCATCTGAAAACTTTAATTTAAGATAGTATACTTATTATTTTGGTAGATTTCCAGAGGAATCATTTTATTACACATAATTTCCGTCGAAACAAATTCTTTTCGCTAAAGACCCTCCCAATGGTTTCAACACATCCGTGTATCAAGAGATAATGAAAATTCCGAAACTTTCTTATACACTGATAGTTAATGGTTTGCAGAATAATAACAAATTCTGAGTAAAATATAAGGATAAAACTAAAGTGCTGTGGTAGAGTATGATTCTATCACAGAATAAATTTATTTCATAGAAACACACAATAGTGTATTATTATTTATTTATAAGCAAAATACTTATTCAAAAAGCCTGGTGGGCATTAGTTATTTTTAATTTTGCATAACTTTTTATCAGTAAAAATCTTTATAAAATAATGCCAGTCAGCGTTAGAGTAATTATGAGATAGTTTTTCTTTAATCGTTGACTATTAATTCTGTGTACTTTGATTATAAATACGTGTTAATTTTTTGAAAATTAAGGCCAGAATATTTGTCAATAATAGTATTTATCAAGATAAATAATGCCTACCTTGTATTACAACTTATGTTTTGGGTTTTATATTCAGCTAAACACGTTATTTTTTAAATTATTTATTTTAGTCTTTATTTTGTGAATTTAAGTGCGATCAAATCATGTGTCAAAATTTTATCACCTCAGGAAAACTAATACTTACACGTTCGAAAAATACCAGTTGATAAGAATGACTAGTCATGGTTTTAAATTACATAGTGTTTAACATTGAAATACTGACTTATAATTTTTTATCTAGAATAAAAGTTGGGAAGAAAAAGTGGTCAAGGGTATACATGAAGGATGAATTACTTCGCACGAACAATATTACTTACAAAATGCTTATACTACTGTCTACATACGTATTAGTTTCAGACAGTGTATGACGACGTTTAACATTCTACAAAATAAACCTAGAAAGATTTCCATGCATTTGAAATTACAATGCTCATAATTTTCAGAATGAGGAGTCTACTGACTTGGATTCTTCTATGTCTAAGCTTTCCATGAAATCCAAGCCACCGTTTTATCAAGAATTAAATATGGGAACATTTCACACTATTACACCGTTTTGTCAAAAAAATACGTGCAAGTGATAGACGGAAATATGAATTCGAGATTATTTAAAGCAGCATGCCTCTTACCTCAAGCGAGTCAGGTATCAGTTTGAACATTCACTTCTTACCACTTATTAATATCACATATCGTAAAACTATAAAGGTGTCCATAAAAACATCTGATATTATATTAGACAGGAAATTAGGAAGTATGTCCAGTATACCGCACAGAAAATCGGAGCATAAATTAATTAACTGCATCAAAGCTAATATTTATCGCAATTAATAATAAGAATGTGTTAAGGTAAAAACATTCCGAAATAACTTATTCTCCAATGGTTTACACTTCATTTTTACTGATGAAAATGTTACACAATAGTAAATTTATGTTTTATTTGACGTTCAGTATGGAATTTCCGTTTTCTTAGAGAGCATTAATATTTATAGATAATCTATCTAGTTTGCCTGAACTTTCCGGGTGAGAATGTGAAAAAAAGAGATAACAAAATGAAACGTAATCGGCTGAATATTACATTCATAACACCTGCATGTTTGTGTGCCGCTTAAGACAGTGTAGCAATAGTGTTAAATCAAAATAACTAATTTTAAGAAACTAGTTGAAAAGTAGCACGAGCTATTTCTGTTAAGCTTCGAGTGGTCTCAGTGTTAAAACGTAATAATTCTTCATGGATTCCATTTACTTTAGACTTTGTATCAGTAACTGAAAATAAAATTTGTGTATCTCCAAGATGAACTACTCAAATCTGATTTATTCAAACAACCGATAGTATTTTCACTGGTTTGAGAAATACATTCCAAATAATGCACTTTCATACTCGAGAGTCTGATTAAATATGATTCAGGTAGAAAAATATATAATCAGTTTCTAAAACTTTTTCACCAAGTGGATGGATATTTCACAGTGTCATAATGCTGTGAATTCAGGAAAAAACAGTAGCTATAATAGTGGTTATTATCATAAGTAATACCTATAATCAATGGTCACTTTATAGCCTGGATCTCTTTATTTGTTAGCACTCAGTGTGACGGATATGAAACTTAATATAAATCTATTTCTTATATCTTTGTTTCTTTAACAGACTAACTTTTATTTGCTACTTAGTATTACTTAACACGTACACTGACACCAGTTATCCAGTATGTAACTGTCCGTAATAGCGAAATAAATAATACTTGTTTATTTTGCTTCAGGAATTCAGTAAAACACTAGCCATCTGAAAATTTATAATTCTCTTAGTATTAAACATAACCAAGAAACTTCAGCACATGTCTTACATTTACCAAAAACACATCCTTTCTTGTTACATGCAGTGAAAAATGAGAATAGGCAAACATCAGTAGTATCAAATCATTTCCAATCTTAAATTGTCCTGAGTCACTCGTATGAATTTGAAACACAATAAATGTTTACATCCAAATCTATTGCTAACTTATTATTATTATTAGGTGCACTTTTCGCATGATGTGACTATTGTTAAAAATATGGCTTATTTGGTACACATTTTCACCGACAATTCAGTTTTATTTATAAACAAAATGTGCAATCATATAGGCTTCACTCTATCATCATTAAGTGTCTTAGCGCGATTGATCTTTACAAGATAAAAGTTGTTTTCCTAAAACGGTTAACTTCGTCATTACAATTATGTTAAAAGTTTGAGGTGACCGGAGACATTTTGTGCACATTGTAAATAATGCCTATGAACTTTATTGTTATTGTGCACTTTTTGCGAAAAAACGATCTAATGTTTATATTATTTATTTTGTGACCGGCATCATTAAAGTTACACAATAACTACTACTACTACACAAACTATGAAGTATTCTTTTTGCTAAATGATAGTTTTACCAACCCACGTTTAGGCGAACAGTGTCGTCTTCACGTATCTCATAACTATGCTTAGATTACATTGAGATAAGGTGTTAATATAACAAAGAAAAAGGATGATTATATGCACGCTGAATTACTTGTTACACTTCTATAGTCATAAAGTGACGATATCATTACATGATAGTAAACGAAACATGATAATGTAAATAAATTTCTATCTAAACGCTAATTAAGTTATTGGGAGGAAAGAGTATAATAGAAATTATTCCTTTCTCTTGAATATGCAATAAAAGCAGACTGATTTTAGAAGAAAGAAAGCCGCTTAACTTTTAATTTCAACTTTTAACATCACTCCAGTTGTCATTTTTCGCTGCCATTGGTATTACAATTAGAAAAAAGAAAAGAAAATTCGACTCTGCTTGAAATTAAATTATTAACAGTTAGCTTATAAAGAATTTCTTCAGTATTTAACACATTACATCAAGAATGCTGTCTGACAAGATTGAGTGGAAAATCAACTATCAGGCATTAAGGAAAGTCTACATTCAATAACAGATGACTCAAAATTATCTGAATTAGTCCTTTTAAAATTTTAAAAAATACACATGAAAAAGTATACTACTCTTATACTATCAGTACTGGTAATGAAGTTGATGTCTGAACATAAGTTGTCAATTGTCAATAAGAGAGGTGGGACAGATTGGCGATGAAATGCTGTTATTTTATTCATTCACATTGTCAAAATAAATACAATATTCTGGGTTGAAACTTTTTGTCAGTTGATCAGAGAAATATCTTCACCACATGGTATCAGGGAGCATACTTACAAATTACTCTTTAATTGGAAGCATACTTTGCTGTACACAACTGAGGAACAAATCATGTCCTTCTCGAAGAATGAATGGCATTGGGAGGTACAGAATATTTTTCTTTTTACCTGATTCAGTCTCTTTCTTATTACATCTTTCCTTACTTTTTAGTTCTGCTTTCTTTGCGTCGATATCTTAATGTTTTTGATGCTCAATAATAAATTTGAAACTGTGAACTTTAACATTGCACAGTCTACTATTAATAAGTGAAATAGTTACGAAGTTAAATAACCGCCAATCGACAGTTTAACAACAACAATTTAAACTTATCATTGTAACAGTGAAAAATCCACTAGTATGTTCTTAGTAAATACTAACCAGATACTCAAAGAGTTAGCTTCGAAACCGATTTACAGTAAGTTCCAACATCAGAAAAATGTGTACGATGGTTCTGCGCAGTGATGGTCATTTTCTTAGTCTTTGTACTGTATCTACGGGGATTTCATGAACAACACAACATAGTAAACTGAAAACTCTATAACAGGTTAAAATGCTGAGTCATTTTCAACTTGCAGTCCATTTTTATTTGCACACATAATGTCACTTCAGACAATCTTTTTTGACTAACTAATGTTGTCTCACTGATAAAGTTTTCTTTAACACATTGCCTTCACTCTAATCATGCACTAGTCAGTAAATATTGGACTGATTTAGAACTGTTTCGTCTTTGAAGTTAGAAGAACAAACACTGTCAGTGAACACAGTCTTGAATGTATGAAAATCACATCATCTTAGCGAGTGCGTTTGTCTTTTTTAATAATGTACGACGTACTCAGCTGCTTAATGAGGCCAATGTAAGATCTCACTTAAAGCTGGATAAAATTGGATGTGTAATTCTATCGAAAATCCAACCATGTTTAGACGGTGGTGACGTAGTTCTGCATTTGGAGTAGAAAAACATTTAAGACACTTTGGGCCATTCATAAGTATAATTGTTTTGTGAAAGTTGATACTTATTAACAGTGTGTATCGACATTACTGAGGTAACCCCCTTTCCCTTCACCTTTCGAATCTAAGTTACACAGTGTCCAAGTCTATAACTTTACTACCAACTGGTTCTGGCGATAACTGAATTCCTGCATTACTGAATGATGTGTGCAGCATAGATTATCGGTTGATTATCAATGCAGTTGTTCAGCCTTGACTGTATGTACTATAGAGTGGCAATACCCTGTCTTTTATCTCAGTAACCACATTGTGAATTTAACAGATTAGGATTAAGATTAAACATCAGAACTTTTAACATTTAGTGACCAGGACTTTTGCATGTAATTAAAAGACAGGTTTCTAAACCACTTTTGCGTCACTATTCCAATTAAGTCTAATTGATATTCACCAGTGACCTTATCAGCTATCTCAGCCAGTAGATAGTGAATTAATTTCGAGACACATTTCATTTTAGAAAGATAGTCTGGGCAAAACATTTTTCAGCTATAGTCATCCGTCATTCGTTTTTATTTCCCTCTCCCCCCCCCACCATCCTATTTTCTTCATTTCTCTACATTTCCAAGAAGTCTCCGAGACTTCACTAATTGATTTACAAGGACTAACAATATGTGCATGAATCCTTTTGCAAACAATTGTTGTACAAAAATCAGCACCGAAAATACTAATGATTACAAAAACAAATTGCTTTTTCTTTTGGATTTACCTGGACAGGTGATTCTGTCTGGTAATTTTTTTTTCATATTTCAGTTGTTACTTGCAGGGATTTTACTTTGTCATTTTCTATTTCACGTCATGTTTATAGATGTACTTTAGTATAGCACAAGTTATATGCATTTTAAGTATTTCCTCAGCAGAATTTTTCCTTCAGTGTTTATTTTAACTTCTGAACAATTTTAAACTTCAGTCTCACTTTCATGCATATTTTATGTGAAAGAATTTAATTAATATTTGCAAACTCTATGTGAAAATAGGTAACTAGCAGTAGATATGCAAAATTCTTCTTCGGCTTCAGTCCTAGAGGTTAAAGTAATAAAAGCTCAGAAACGCCTATTGTCCACTTGTAAATGTGATAAACTCAACGCAAGTGTAAGGTAATTCAGCTATCTGGTTGTTATATACGTATTTCACTTCTTATGCAGCAGGCAGTATGAAAGTATTGAGTTTTTAGGCATTAACACGGAATTCAACAATGATACACTATTTCTAGTCAGTTTTGGAAATATTCCAGGCTTTTATTTTCCAGTGATAAAGTCAACGATTACTGTTCGATATTATGAACAATTCTGTGACTAAATTATGCCCAGCAGTTAGCTGTCGAACATTAAGAAGTATAACTTTATACTCTTAGGTTCTATTTGAGGTCTGTTGATTCAGTGAGTGTTCAAGTCAATACGATATATAAAACTCCATTTCAGCACACTTTGTTAAGTATCAAATGGTTACCATTAGGCTCAAGGATATCCCAGTAATGGGGCTATATGCATGAAATGAGATTTATAATATTGTGTACTTAATTATCTGAATGACTATAAATAACACTTAATTTTCGCTTTATCACAGGTTGCATATAAGAGTGTATGCCTGACTTCTATATAGGACTAAATTTCGCGACAGTATATTTAATTTTTGGGTATTCGCTCCTTTTGAGACAGCTTCTAAATCTCACTTGATTTTGTTAAATAAAGAAGGACCAAAGATTTGCAAATCTGCTCTTGCTTTCTTCATCAAAATGTATCAAAGGAACCAAATACGTCATACGTATTTCTGTTATACTGTCTTCTGCTAAATTATTAAACCCTACATGGGTATTGGGCGTCGGTGGCATAGTGAATAGGACGCTTGCCGACCATGCACATGGTCCGGGATTCGATCCCCGGCCGGCGCACTCCTTTACCTAGCTAAGCCAGAACTAAAGCTGGTGAATAGGAAGGGTTTGGCATGAGGCTAGCAACCTCATCCTGTGAAAATTAACACTGCTACAGAAACTTCAAGCTTCTAGCTTGAAGCCCTATGTTCCACTAGGAACGTGAAGGAATAAAAAAAACATGGGTATTCAAGTCCGTTTGCATGGTTCGTGCAGTAGCGATTGAAATGTAAACCTTATGATGACTATAACTAACGGCCTCGAAACTATATGCATGACTAAGTCAAGCTACCTACAGACAGACATTTTATTTCTGTAACTTATCTCAGTATTCTTTGTGCAGCTGAAGCAACTTAAGCTTTTTCTAACCTCAGCTATTGTTACACGTCAACACGATATCATATAATCTTTACAAAAATGATGGTGAATATATTTTTTTTTCTTCGATATTTCTATTCAGCTGATTCCATCATAACTCAAGATGTTGAAGAAGGTATTTTAGTTAGAATACTATGTAATGTAAGCGGAGATGATAAACCTGATGGAGCTGGTCCGTTTCGATATGAATGGCGTAATCCGAATGGAACACTGGTCGGAACTCAGTGGAAATTGGAACTGGGTCAAATTAAAATGCACGAGTCGGGTATATATGTGTGTCGTGTATCTTATGAATATGATGAGCGTCAAATGTCAACAAGTTCAGCCACTAAACTCAACGTTATTCCACGTGAGTTATTTCTTTTTTACTGCGAGTTGTGAAGTATCAGTTGAGTCTATTGTTGAAATCATCGCAACTTTTAATACTTAAAAAATATGTTCTTCAGATTTTCATTTCTTTATCTGGTATCTTCAGAGTGTCCACAGTTTTCTAAAACCATGAAACCACTAGAAGCACAAGGGTAGAATTTTCCAGTATTACATTCTTGCAAAACAGACATTTCCTACCAAGAGTGTGTCCCTGGTACTAACTATGCATGGATGTAGCTTCAAAATCGACCGAATACATGCGATTACTGTAACTTAGGAGATTTGTAAGGACACCAGCATAATTCTGCATGCTTTTCGTCTAAAGCAATGAAAACTTTACGGATTAAATATATATTCGCATTTCTATGAATGAGCATATCTGTAAGTGACTTTGTATCGAGTGGTTTTGCTGTTAGCATATTTTATAATTCCACTTGTAGCGTCATCGAACAATAACGAATTTCTCACACAATTCTATGAACTCAGCTGACTGTTAAGATAGAATATTATACTGATGTATATTCTTGAACTTAGTTGACTATTGAGAGAGAGTTTGTGCCTGTGTGTTCTGTGAAATAAAAGCAACATGCTTAGCTTAACACTTGTCTTAGGCTGGTCCAGGTAACTTAATATAATCCAGCCCTCATTCAATTCTAATCTGTTATCTAATATTTGAAGGAAGGTTTTCTGCCATAATACAATAAAATCAAAGCATCATGCTAAACTACAAGCTGTTACAGTATCTATAGCGAATAAAACTGTATTTGTGTTTATGAAAGTGTAAAGAACCAATAGTTTGAAACCGTCCTTAACTCACTGACCAACCAAATGATAAGGAAACCGAATAAATAGAGCAATGAAGAGAAAATGACTTGATCTTCTTGATCCACCTCACTAATGACAGTCACTAATAATGTCAATCGATCCACATTCACTTAAGTGTGCCTTTGATGAAAGTATTCTGTAGTAAATTGATAGAACTTTATTATACAAGGTGGTTCTAATAAAGGTCAAGAGAAATGGTTAAACTGATTATATTAAATTGTTCAAATGTTTGTCAAACATTATGAAAGCCATGGGTCTCATTAAATGACAAATTTAATAAACAAACAAATTATGGAAGATTGGAAGTCAGTATTCAATAATTGCTAATTAAGATGCAAATAAACAGATGAATATGATCACATAGTATTAAAAAAGTGAAAATCCATGTTTCTCATTCACACAAACTTTGGATGAACTATAAAAATTGATAATGAAGTGTAATCCTGGGAAAGATCATTTAATACTGGTAGTAGAGCACTAATATTAACAGCTAGAATCAGGAATCCGGATTTCGTCAAATATCAGGGTAAAAATGAGACGGTATTGTAAAATACTGTTATTTGTTGATCAACTTGTTTGCTAAGTATATCACAAAATGACGTAGTTTTACTTAACGGATATTTCAAACATGATTTTTGTTTGTAGTCATATGAAGGTAAATTTTATTTTGGTTGTCACTGTTATATCTGTGTTGAAGGGAGTTAAGTTTGAATTATACTTGTACTTTTTTAAGGTTATAATCAGGGTAGAACCTTTCCAACAAATAATTACATATTACCTAGACAGACTATACACTAATTTTTATGATACATGTAAGTTACTCCCGGTCACCATATTTTAGCTTTTCATATGAAATGCTAACATAAACAGTATGACGGACAAAGTGAATTGGATAGTGCAAGTAAAGCGAAGTATTTAAATTCCGCAATATAGAGTACTTTATTATTTAACACAGAACTTTCAAAACCATTAAAGCAAATCAGAATCACGTAAGAATAATCAAAATTGGGTTGGGTAGCTGTTTTAGCATGTAATACCAATACCAAAAATAGGTATTAAAAATATATTCCTTAGGACAAAGTGCAGTTTATCGGCTGACAATCAGCAAATAGAAAAGCTTATACCATGAAGTTCAAAACTATCTCGCTTACTGCCAGGTATTATTGCATTAGATTCAGTTGTTATTGTGTCATTTCAATGCTTCATGAGATGAAACTACATGCATTTCCATTTTGCTAATGTAACCGCCTCTATTACATTAGCTTTCTAAATTAGTTGGTGCGATAATACTACTTAAAATAAACAAAAATGGTTATTCGAATGCGCACTTAAATTATTCAGAGATACATTTTCTGACTAGAAATGTGATTCATTAAAAATATGTAGGTGTTTTGGTAAAATAACTTTTTATTTGTCTAGCATTTTGTCCTGGTGGCTTTAGTCCCCTAAAACTAGAATTCATTGTTCTTTTTAATAATAATGTTCTGAATCTGGAAGTCGAATTTCTCAAGTGCAGAAAATTATTTCCTAACTGCTATCAAATGTCTGCTTCATAGATATCGACCTTTTCCAGGTTTTAGTGAAAAATTATGTTTTCTCGAGCTTCCTATATTGCGTAGGAAATTATTATTTATGTGGATGATTATATTAGAAAAATTTGTGCATGAATTTCGCATATGTTCATTTGTGGAATGAACAGATGTTCCATATAAACAAGATTTTTAAAAGAAATTATACAGCTGGTAAAGATTATATCACACTTAGATAGACTACGTCTGATTTTGCGTACTAAAATATTCCTTTAGTGCACCACATTTATTTGGTTCGCATTTGCATATTTCTGTAAAATGATTATCTGCTTAGTAGATCAGCAATAAAGATTACCTGTGAACTGTATTCAAGTTATAATAAGGGTAATCTACAAATGGGTATTTTTATGAAAGAATGAATATATTGCTAGTATGAATCAAATGTTTTCCTATTTACATTGGAACAGGTGCCGGCGTCATATTCCCTGGGGTTCGTGGAAATGTTTTGGAAGTTCGAGAAACAGGTGATATCTTACAGGAATGTCAGGTGATCAGTGCAAAACCAGCCCAATATACTTTCCAATGGTTTGGTCCAGATGGTCGATTAGTATCAAATTCTGCTTTACTTCAAAGAGATTATGTAACTAGACCACGTGATGAAGGCATTTATCGTTGTGTTGCTACTCCAGTTGAAGAGGGACGATTACAAGTTGAAAATCACCTCATAGTAACATTGATACGTAAGATGACGTAAATATTTATTTTTTGTTCTACTATCATTTTTGCACTACTCCAAAGACGCAGAATACAGTTGGATGTATATATATATATTTCAGTTACTGAACAGATAATATGAAGCTATTAACGATGTGTAATACCGATTTTAAACCACATTAGTGACTGTTTTGATCAAATCTTTAGAAAACTAAGGAATTATGTCTCACGGGTGAATTGAGAAAGTAGTGTCTCGTAAAAAATGCCTCGAAAACAGGAATGGATTTGATTTTGTAAAATGAAGGTGAAGATAAAATAATTCGTCCATTTATTCACTTTGCAATATTTTAAAAGCTTTCAGCAAATAATGAACGCTGAACAGCTGTTGTGTTGTATTTTGGGTCTCCTAAGCAGAGTCCATCCATTCCTTTAACTGGAAAAGAGGCCAGGACAGTGGTGTGTCATTATGGATACTTTATGATTTTACCACCAGACTACTTTATTTAAAACAAAGCTTCAAAATTACACAAGTCATTGAATCTCAAACATTTAAACAGACAGTAAGATATTTACTCTAAAACTTGGCAGTTGTGCATTTGACTTCACTTAAGAAAACGACTGAATGACACTGGAGAATACAATAACATAAGAAAACCAACTTTTTCCTGTTATCAATGAAGTCTGTGTTACTCGATCAATCCGTATTCATTATTTAGGACAAAGTTCTGTTTGTATTGATGTGTTTATTTTAACAAGTAGTGACTACCTATTCGCATTTTATTATCTGATTAGCTGAGTCAGTCACCATGATTACCACACATTTGATAAGATCAATTATATTCTATATTTATTTCACCTTATGACTAATAATTTCGTAATCATTAAACTTAGATTTACATGATGGAAGTGAAAACATCCGTTACCACTGTGAAATAAACAGATAGTTTGAATAGAATATTCAAACAATATTAGTTCACACTAGACCATTCATGCACAGTTAATTTACCGACTAGCATATTTTGTATAATAATGTTCTGTATGTACCAATTCGAACGTGCATTTTGACCAGTGGAAAAATTCTGCATAATGTTAAAATAGGCTTAATTAAACATCAGTGACAGAATTGACTGATTTATTTGTCTTACAATATGAAAAGTGAATTCAACCAGAATACTCAGTTTTGGCTAATGTTGACGATTATATGAGGGCACTATCTTAAATGCATCATTTCATCCCTTTTGAAATGAGACGAAATGATGAATTTAAGATCATAGCTTCATCTTCATATATTCGCGTAGAAAATAATCGGAAAATTGTTCACTATCTTGACAACTAAAACGCCTTACACTGTATAATGATATCTAATAAAAAATAACTGAATAGTTGTTTTGTCTCGTCATAGTGGTGCGCAACCATGAATATTTGTGGGTTTGAATCCAGAAATGTTAGGTTTTTTGTTGTGGAAGTTTATTGGAACTCAACTTAAGAATAACTTAAATAATATCACTTTACATGACACAACAGATCAGTTTTTTTCTTATTTACTTATTTTTATCAGCTACAATACGGGCGTTATTTCTTATGTTATTGAGAAATAGCACTTAACATGAGTCTTACGGTAACTGTGTTGTAAATAAACTACTTAGATCGAATATAGTAGCATATAGTAGCACTTATCAATAGTTATTGGCGCAAAAATGTCACTTCAAAGAAACCTCAGAAAAAAACTTGTTGAGAAATATTCCTTTCTAAATGCCACAGACGTTTCCAACTGTTATTCCACATAGTTAAAATTGTCTACTTTTGGAAACAAAGCAAACATTTACAGAAATTATTATTGCTACAGTATGACAACACCTCCCTGACATGTCCAAATTTCATTTTACTAACAAGAAATTTTCTTCATGAATCTTATACACCTATTAATTCGCAGCCTTTTTCATTATATTCCATCAATACAGCCATCATAAATTAATGGTTATCATTTTGAATAAGTACATAAGCTATCGCCAAAACAAATTTACCTCCGTTTCTTTTCCGCCTACTTGAGTGGATGGAACAGGGATGATCAAATGTGATTTGAATTTCCTCAGGTAGATGATGTTATGTGATTTTGTATCACATGCTTATAAGAATGCTGTAATCATACCAGATGTTACGTTTGGCCAGTTTTTTTACACACCTGGAATATCTGTAGTGGTGTTTTGTATACTATATGGATAAACACCTTGCGATCACTTTTATCCCCATCCCATTGCTTTTTCAAACACATTTGAAAACTAGATATTTACACATTTTCAAATATTTTTTCCAGCTCTGCGTTTCCAAATAACAACTCTGTCAGAAGATTTAAGTATTGGAGGTTATACACATCGTCGTATTACACTAGTTGAACCGTCCCAGCCTAATCTTTCTACTCGTGAGACATTCACATATCAGTGGTTTGATCCTGCGATGAGGCCAATTGTTGATTCCATGACACCAGATTTACGTGTCAACTTCCGTACTCCTTCGGATTTCGGGAGATATTCAGTTCGTATTACGGGTTTGAATTCTGGTTATCAAAGGAATCTTAGTACATATATAACTCCAGAAGGTAAGCATTGAATGTTATACATGATTTAATGTTACTCTCAACAATGTTTCTTTGCTGAAAGTTTCTGCTGAACATTGACCACCTGAATGCCTGTGTATTATTTTATTTTCCAATTAAAGTGGTATAAAAATATAGATTGTAGCAGAAAAACACTGCCTTAGCTTAAATCAGTATGTGCAATTAACAGATACTCTTATTAGGTAAAGTTTTGGAATAGTAATGTTAACTGTTTTAAAATGAAACTGAAATATAGACAGAAACAACTCGTGTCAAGTGGAAATTTAGTCCAATGCAATGAGAAAGAAGGCACATGATAGGGAAAATGATGAAATTATAAACGGAGATTTTACTTTCGATAAAAATCGACTGCTAAGTCAGTTTAAAACTGAAAGCAATGTCACTTTGAACGTATAAGATGTTTGCTTCTCACTAAAATTCATCCTTCTTGCAAATGTTACTATCCAATTTGATTTCTAACTTTAAATTCAGGTCCAAATGGTGAAGTGGAACCAACTTACTCAGTTGTCATTCGAGAAGTTTCTGGCCCTCTTTATTTAAATGCACGGCTAGAATTGGAATGTTCACCGAGACCGCCAAATTTAGCAGCCAGAATAAATTGGCTCGGTCCTGATGGAATGGTAGTTTCAGATTCTAGCAACATTGTATTTGAACGATTTCAACCTCATCATCAAGGAAGATACACCTGTCAGATTTTATTGCCTAATCAAGTTATTTTACGCCAGGTATACTTATGTTTATTCGTTTATTTTTACTGTTTAATGCTAACTGGGATATACTTATATGCAAATGCGAGTAAATTAGAATTTTTGTTAACTACAGGATTCTAACCAAACACCACTGGTTCGATGCTTATTGGTAAATCAAGTATGTTTGTTGCTGCTACACTGTTGATATTGCTATAAACTGGAATTCTGTTGTACAGAAACTTATTACTGCATTTACTTGAGATTGAAAGCAATTTTTAGCGTCTAATGATGACAAACTAGAATAGCTGTCACTCAAAATTCTGATAAAAATATTGAATTTGCAGCACAGGGTCATGTGATGTCCTGCTTAAGAAACTTCATTTATCCACAGTTTACATACAAGAAGTAAGTTACATATTTTAGCCAGGTCAGCCTGGTTTTTGTTTTGTCGGTTACACAGATGTACGTAAAAAGCAATATGTACACCGATATATGGTGGTGTACAGACAGTAATAATCATCGGTTATACCACGAAACTATTGAGTGCTATCTTCTGAAGGTACAAGCTCAGTAAAATTGCTACTAGTTGGCTACACTGTATTCAGGCTGTCTACCGATGTTAACTTTCAGTTAATATTTGGATCCGGTACATGGTTGTAAGTGAAGGCTGGACATCACTACTGAATAAACAAAACTATCCGGAGGAATTTCATTTGGGCTGGTGGACTTGTGAACATATAAATTTACAAAACAGTTTGTCTAAACAAAATTCTTCACTTGTTACTTTTCTTTTTAATTGTCGATACATGTAGCAAACACAAAAGACGTTTACAAAGTTAATGTAATTTGATTTAAATATGCATTAAAAGGAATCAAAATGACATTCATAAGATATGAACACTAGAAAAGAGGTGCACACTAAACTTCAAATTAGCAACGTCAATTATTCAACATAATATAGCACTCTTAGGTAAACAATATCATTGTGATCAATTAATTGAGTTCCTGGTAGGACAGAGAAAAAGCGGCACATTTCAATTACACTCGGTCCCCTACCATCACTTTCACCTGTTTCCACGACTACCTACAAGCTTTCATTTTCCCTAAACATTATCTTCACATCAATGTCAAACGCCCATAAACAGAGTGAAGTTTATTAGGTAATCTTTTGCCATTTTTAAATGTTTTAAAATGAAATTGTATAGGTGTACGTTTACAAGTAATTGTCTTATGTTTCTTCTCAATTCTTTAGAGCGTAGAGCTGGTTGTCTCTGGTACATCTACTGAAGTTCCTGAGCCTGACAGACGTTATACGATAAGAATAATTCAGTCGCCTACATATTTCAGATATAATGATGCCGTACATTTACAGTGTGTTGTTTCTCCTACACCTCCATTAGTAACTTATGAATGGTTTAAAGATGGTGTTCTAATTGGAAGGCAGCCAGATATTCATATACCACGATTTACTACAGAAGACGTTGGTCGATATCAGTGCGTCGCTCGGCTTGACAGCACAGTTCTTACTTTTAACAGTACTATATCTATAGATGACGGCACAGGTAAGTAAATTTAAGTGCTGTGATGTATGACCAAAAGAAGTTGTGTTGCAAATTATGATACTAATAGAAATGTGAATTAATTTCCTTCCTTTAAATTTCATCACAATTTTGAAAGCACAATAGACATCCTAAGTTGTCCTCATTATAACATTTTAATAGGTTCATACCAAAAAGCCATCTGAGTTAGTAATCAAATTACTGTTATAGTGAAGATTTTAAGTTTTTACACTTAGCATTCAGTTGAGTCACTGTTTAATTACGTAGTCACAAAAACAAAACAAAGAAATACTTGATGCACTTAACAAACTGTGATTTGATGTTACCGTGTGACGAAATGTGGAAAAACACAATTAGCTCAAGTGATTTCTGAAGCTGTGGCTATTAGTTTCATTCATAAATCTGTGAAATTTTGTTATGCATAGCGAAAATCGCAGAACATAACTGAAATTCATTGTGAAAAATATTCAGTAACTATTATCTCATGTCAAATAAGTTTTGAATTCAAAGTAATTAATGCCTATGTTTTTATAAATTTATTCAAAACAGGGGTGGATCTGATAATGAGACCAAATGTTATATATATACCGGCTTTTCACCCATTTGAGATTGAATGTGTATCCACACGTGCCGGTTTATCACCTGTTGCCGTATTTGGAAACGGTGCAGCTATTGAATCAGATAATCAATTCACAGTTACAAAACCTGATAATCAACGATTGGTTATTAGTGCCACAGATGGTTTATCAAATGTTTATAACGGTTTACGAATTCGGTATGTGAATTTTAATACTTAATACAGTAAATTTTTGAAAACAAGTTTTAATAAACAAGTGTACGTGTATACATCTTGACACGTGTCCTGACAATCTGAACAAAATTAAATTAAAATGTTCCTGGTATAGTAGGATTCATTTTGAACTGATATTATTTGCCGAATCCTTGAAACAGAGTACCCATTTTGTTTTCTTACCCCACTTTCAAACATTGTCCAAAAATACAGTGACGTCTTCATTTACTGACTTAATAGCTATTCACTCAGTGTATGACGTAATACCACCAATGTTTAATGTTACTGGTGTGCAATTTAAAAATCCCCATAGCTGCATTTAAACCGGCTGACTCTCTCACAGAGATAAACTCTGTCGGCTTAAGGACACATTAAATCCAGTTAAGAAAAATAATATAATTAACCAAATACCATGTAGTGACTGTGAGGTCAATTACATAGGTCAGACAAGTAGATCGGGACAGTTAGATTACTGGAACATAAAGATTTCTTAGATGATTTCATAATAAACTGACATCGGTTAAAGAAACATTGGACAACCTGTAGGGAGTACTGGACATCTGTTTCGCCCTAGTTTGGGACTCTTCATCAGTACGCATCCACTGGGGGTTCGAACTCATGACCTTCTGGTTACAAGGTGAACTCGTAGGCACCGTTAAGGTTTTCCAGTGGTTTTCTAATCGATGTCAGGTCATGACGAAATCCTTCAAGCAATCAAACAAAATCCCTGCAAACTAATACTTGAAAATCAATGACATGCTCACTAGCGATTAGCCCTATTCAGGCAGCTACCTAGGGTTCTGGGGGGAAGCTGTGACGGTTAGCGTACAGCACATAGAAGATGAGGACAGTTACTCGTCGAAGAAGACATTGAGAAGTGGTCACGCTATGTCATGAATTGGCAAAAGTTAGAATTCATGGGCAGTTAGATCGGGTCCCAATGTCTTAATAGTCTACGAGCTCGCCTAGTAAGCAGAAGGTCCTGAATTCGAATCCTGGCGGTGGGTGCGTACTGATGAAGACTCCCAGACTAGGACGAGGCAGTTATCCAGTACTTCCAGGTTTTCCAGTGGTCCTCTAACTGATGTCGGTTCATGATGAAATCCCTCAAGCAATCAAACAAAATCCCTACAAACCAATACATAACAGTTTAGCTAAACCTAGAAAAAAGCTCAGCCACTGCATTACATTCATTTGCATTTAATCACAAAATAGGATGGGACAAGATGAGAGGATTAAAGAGTAATATAGTTAGGTGGAGAGACAGGTTATTCACTGAAGTTTTGTTTATCGATTCAATATCACACACATACAATCGGAATGACTCAATGCCTATACAGGAGATATGGAAAGTGGCAACAAGCAACAAGGGGAATATGGAAAGACAGAAAATATACATAAGACAAATTGTGAAAATGTGTGACTAAACTGATATGATTATGAGCAGTAATCTATACTCGAAACCTTGTCATTCAGTTATTAATACTGCATTACTGATATTTAAAATGAAGTGATATTTAAAATAAACTTACCTAATATGGAATTACATTCTACCACAGTGCCCAAGTTCTACACGTACATTAGTATCCCCAATAGCAATTGAAGAACAAGGAGGATTTGAGTGCACAACTGTTTCCAGTAACGTCCTCTTCTAGCTCCACACTAATGGATTTATAACTCTGGAGTCTGAAGATGTTGAAAACAGTTGTTTGCTCAAAATATTTCTTGTTCCTTTCATATTTGATTAACTCTATTAGTCACATTTTTAGTACAACCGGAATAATGGCGTCATGTGAGAAACCAGTACTTTGCAAATCAAGGATTTCATTTAAATATTTAAGTCAAATTGAAAATAAGTTATCTGAGGTCATTCTTCTGAAATGAGCTGATGCGAGGCTGTGTAATTATGGGAAGTTAGTTTCGTAGATAAAGTTGGGCTCGTCATAAATATTTCCTCAATTAACATCCATAAGACCACTTGTAGACAAGCAAAAACAGACTAAAATTTATCGTTCAGAACTATAATAGAAAACCGTAGGAATCGTTACTTCTCATATATGAACAGCAATACTTAAAGGATCATAGGGACTAATGTTACGTTAATAGCGTCTCTAATTCATCATAGTCAAATATCATAATAACTTCTTGCATTCTACTTTACGAGGGGTCAACCAGTAGGCGTCCTTTTGTGCACGTTAACTAATCTGTTAATAGTAGGATGTCAGCTCAAGTTAGCTGTATCATTTCAAGCCATTTTGAAACTCTTGTCATTTATTGACGCAGTTAAGACCATTTTTAGACTAAGAAAGTTCTACTTACTAAGTAAATGCACTTATTATGAGTGCTTCTTTTTGATGCATTGTGAAACTAGAAAGGTTTATTTAACAGTACTGATCCTATAATGTATTTTATTTGTCTTCAGGTAACGTCATGATAGTTTTACACTAAAGTACGTTGCACATGAACTGTTTGGTAACTTGTAAGGGAGATAACATATGAATTAGTAACTGTGACAGTTTATTTAAGTTATTACCTTCCAGTTCTTTGCATAATATATATTCGAACAAAGAGAGAAGAAACATTGGCTCAGAATAATCTGGATCCATTTTATTTCGTTGGTTCTCATCAGCTGCGTACAACCTGGATTTTTGTTATTAAAAATAAATGGTGTACAATTTTTAACAAACCTTTGTCCATTAGCAAGCATAGCGTCAGAGTGTCATAGTAAAATAAGGCATTGAGATTTACAGGGTGTCTAAAGTGTCACGACATGTATATGTATATATATATATATACATATATATGTCTTGGTAGAGAGAAGTTTCTTGAAAAAAATTAGTTAACAGTTGTGTTGTTAGGGTGGTAACAAAAGACAATTAGCAATAGTTACGTAATTAGATAAGAGAAGATCAAAATTTTTAATAATAATAGTAATTAACAGTACCTCAAGTCTTCTCAGGTTTGCTGAAGCTATAGCAATAAAACGATTGAAGCCTGACTTATGTGTCTAAAAAGAATCCGTTGTTTGACTTCACTTACCCTAGTGACTCACTTCTTAGTAACTCTTTGTTTTCTAACTTTGTTAACTTATCTTTTCACTCCACCCCTCCTCTTTATGTTTCGTTTGACTCTCTTAAGAGATAATTTTTCTTGATCTTCTGAGTTCTACTCACTGTATTACATCATCAACTTCTCATCTGACCTCATGTGCACCGTAATTTAAAAAAATTTTGATCTTCTCTTATCTAATTACGTAACTATTGCTAATTGTCTTTTGTTACCACCCTAACAACACAACTGTTAACTAATTTTTTCAAGAAACTTCTCTCTACCAAGACATATATATATGTATATATATATATATACATATACATGTCGTGACACTTTAGACACCCTGTAAATCTCAATGCCTTATTTTACTATGACACTCTGACGCTATGCTTGCTAATGGACAAAGGTTTGTTAAAAATTGTACACCATTTATTTTTAATAACAAAAATCCAGGTTGTACGCAGCTGATGAGAACCAACGAAATAAAATGGATCCAGATTATTCTGAGCCAATGTTTCTTCTCTCTTTTTTCGAATTTATAAAAGGGAATCATTGTATGTAATATATATTCGATGAACATGACTTCCAAGAACCATACGGATTATTAACATCATCCTATGTTGGAAGTATGATGTTCACATGTATGTTATCTGGAAAGTCATGTCTACTTGAATAAAGCATTTATCATTTGCTTGAACAGATGGGTACTGGGTTCTAGTCTCCGTGGGAATACCAATCTGTCGCTGGGGAATGCAAATACATTAAGATGACAGGTCCCAAATAGGACGAAATACTCATTGTGGACTCCACTGCTATTCACCATCCTTTAAATTACTTAAAGTATCCATCAGTTGTCACATTATATTATTCGATTTACCCTGATCAACAGAAAATCTACACTGAATTCTCACTAAGTTGGGAATAAATAAAAGTGACGAGTATTTACAATTTTCATAGTTACTAGTTATTTGCATTAACTGTTGTATGTTAACTTTCCCCACAGTGCGAAATTATTCACCAACATATTCCTTGTTTTTGGTGCCTTTTAATTTTCTGTAACCTAGTATAATATTTTGATCATGCAAATAACTGTTTTGTAGAATACAAAGCAGAATCTATTGAGTTCAGTTAATGAGGTTTGACTTTGACCATAATTACTGACTTCTTAAGTCTTACGTATTTTGTAAGCTTTAAAAAATAACATTATCTGTTCATAATGGAGGTAATGAACGACTTACTAGTTTCGTTACCTTCAAACATTCAAAACTTGCTGACAGACCTATTACAGAAAAATCCGGATGACATTAATAGATTGCTGTATCATCAGTAGTCCGAATTAAAAAGAGGCATCATTATTTCATAAGTTTAATTAGTATTTTCCAATCATTCAGCGGATAATGGAATTCACCTACACATGATTAAGAAATCCGAGTGACTTACTGACATTTTAGTACAGTCGGAGACTCCTAGCCGCGTCACAGTTCATTTATATTCCATTTTTCCCCTCTAATTACAGATCAAGAATCCTGTTGTGGCTTTCTTATAGTCACGAAGGGTTTTGTAATTAATTATCAAGTTTACCACGCATCCTGTAAAAATACACTCACTAATATTTGGCCGAGTAGAATAACAACAAGGTTAAACTATGTGCACGATACAGAGATACTCTAGGATATACAGTCTTTAGCATATTTTGAATGTTGGAGACAAAATAATTCGAATATGCTTTTAACTAACTAGACGACCTTTGATGCATGAGAACTGGTTTCCATTGACTGTCTTTCAAACACTTCAAAGCAGAGTGTTTGAAAATAGTGACATAAAATGTTGGGTAGATCTTTGTTGGCTGGCAACCAATGGAATCTTATGACAGTTGCAGAGATTTCTATCAAATCTAATCATATTGTGCCACACAAAATATAATGATTACCCTATGGAAGTAATCTAAATATGTCACTGAGCAATGCTCTTTGTCTTAAAATATCTCTCTTGAAAGTGAAGGTTTCAGTTGGTTCTTATTTGCACCTTCAGCGTGTAGTAAAACCACTATTTCAGCATTGTCAAGGCCAGACAGAAAAGTTTGAGAAAATAATATGCAACAAGTGGTAGGTTTATGCGGTTCTTTTGAAATGAGTAACAAGAATTGACAATGAAAAAGCACATACCTTCATAATTTGAAAATTTGGGAAGATAAATGATAAAGAAATGATAGTTTTTAGTGAATGCATTTATTTAACAGATTAAATCATTGTCATTTAATAACTTAAAATATATTTCTTAATTCTGATAACAAAATTAGAATGTATACATGGAAATTTATTGCAATTATTCTCACGTACTTATAAGTAATATAAATCAGTTGGACATATAAACATCTGCAGTCTTAATAGTTTGTCACTACTTAAAACAAAAGCACAAAATGTATTTCCATAGAAATCCATCAACCTTAAGATGTAGAAAACTGTGCACTTTATTACGCCTGCATAATCTCAAAATAAGTTGGCACGATTATGTAAAAGCTGTTGATGAAGATAGCTAAAACGAATAGTTGGTTCCAAGCTAGGGACCATATCCAACAGTGTATTGACAAAACATTATGTGTGAGATCCTAGTGGTGTACTATGTTTGAGTGCCATGTTCATTTCCATTCCATAAGGTATCGTAACTAGAGCTTCCTACCAAAGCAGAAGGCAAAGAGCTCACGTATGTTAGCAACTGTTATAATATTCATTTCTCCATATAACTAAATGGATAGATAATATTCTAAATTATACTCTTACCTACTGCATATTTTAACCTACTGATTAGCATGTGATCGCTGTAAGAATCTGGAACACGATTAAATATAAACGGAAATAGTGTGTCATATGATAAAAGTGAATGACCAAACGTATACCTAAATATGTCTTAATTCTCACATTTACACATGTACCGGCCGAACAAATAAAGTTAATTAAGAACATATAGCACCCTGAATTAAAATGATTTTCGCATTCATTAAACGACAACATATCTGAGTTACGTACTCTAGAACACACTCTCACATGACTTCTCGTCATATTTGGGAGATTGAATATAAACCGATGTTTTTCAACAGTGTTTATAACATTGAAGTGAAATAGAAAACTGTGATGCTAAAAGATCGAACGTGAGGGTTTGGCTGTTTATTCACTTACAGAGGACTCATCAAATTACAAATTATCCTAACATAATTACATGAATGTAGCTTCATCACATGAATTTTACAAATATCTAGACTTCTCAAGATTGATTAGAAATCCTCTAAACTTATTTGGTGTCTTTCATTGCCAATGAATCTAAATTTTGTATTGTTGAAATGAGCCTGTACACATTGCCTAGTTTTGTAAATATTCACACACTGTGAAACGCCCACAATCATGTGACGAAGATGCAGATAAATAATGACTATATACCCCAGTAAAATGTCACCTGTATAGAAAAAACTGATACCCTCTGTAGAAATTCGCAGTAGCTCTTCAGCTGCATCGTAGCAGTTACTTTTATTATGCAACTCTTGAGTAATGAACGACGATAGGTTTTGGTCAGATTAAAATAAACGTACGTATCACATAACAAAATCACGGAGGCATTCCACTGTTAAAATTGCAGAATGACCACTGGATTCGCGTGAGTATTAATGTTCTGTTAAAACCTTGGAAAACTGTGATCTTTTACCTGAAGGTTGACATGAAAATATTCATTCATAACTGATTTTCTGACATATTCTATTATGTAGACAAGATTATTTCACTATACCAAAAGTTATGGTGGAAATATGAATAAACCAACGATTATGTACATTATATTTAATACAGCATACAATGACACAATTTTAGATAACAGATGCTCATCTGTCACAACCTATTGTGACCTTAATCCCATTTAGCTAATTTTGCATCTATGATACTGTGCATAGTTCTACTATTTTTTAATTAATTCACGAAGCTTTCTCCGTATTCGGATTTAGCATTAAATAAAGAGAAAATGAATTCATCAAATTAAACGCTCATTATGATGGTAAGATATAACGTTTTCCATTTGGTCTATTTACCCAGAAGGCAAGACGGATTATCACTGAGGAGAGATGAAATCCTTATTCAACAGTTAAATATTTTGAGAAGACAGTATCCCCTGCGACCGCTTTCTGCCGCTCTATTCACATTTATAGAGTTATGGGTGGTAGACTGCATTCAAGTCTTCATTCAACAAATATTAGTGTATCTTATGTTGGATAACCAAACTATCATACAGATACATTGATGCATTTAAAATGCCGATAAAATTATTTTCGAGATATACATCAGTTCCCGTCTAACGCTAATATTACAGATGGTTTCATGCTTTCCTACCACATGATTTTTATTATGAAAACATTCCTTGTTTGTTCTCGCACACGTAATAAATTTTTATAAATCACTTACCCTATGTTAATGCGTGTGAAAATGCCATCAACAGTAAGCAAATTCAGGAGTATGCCTTATTTGATGTCAATATATGCTTTTTATTCATTCACACAATAAACCTTTATTGAAAGTGCCACTCAGATAAATGAAGTGCCTTTGTTGACAATGTAACTACATTCTTATCTTTGATGATTTTAGTTGTATGTTGCCAGGTATGAATTATAAAGAGGTTACACTATACATAATGGATACGTGTCCGGCTAGTCAGTCACAATGTAGAACGCGACAATGTATTCAAACTTCTCAAGTATGTGATGGGAAAGCTGACTGTTCTGATAAGTCAGATGAAAGTAGCAGTTTTTGCAGTAAGTATTTACCTTGTTATAGCATATTCTAGGCTCTTTTAATTCTAACACTTTCTGGTAATCAAACACTCACCATTTTCATTCTTCTCTATCCACTGATAATTAATGCTTCTTGAATTAGCAAATGCATAGTGAACGTAAGGAAATATCCACATATTGTGAGTTAATATATATGTGTCAGACAATGAAGATAGTAATTAGTTTGTCTATGGTACATACCTTCCGTAAGTAGCAAAATTGATGAATTAGTTCAGAAGTAAAAGCGATGCTCATTACTCTGAGAAATGGAAAGAAATTATAAGGATCATACACAATCCACCACTTGATAATAAGAAATGTTGTGTTAAGCACTATACATTTACAAACGTATTGCATAATCTGAGTTTTCAGTACAACTGCCGAATCAAAAATCTTATTGTTACAAAACATCTTGTTCACTTTTGGTCGCTTACCTACTGCAGAGCTTAAGACCGCCACCTACAGTCTATATTGTCTAGTGTTGTGTCAGTTTAAGGGTTCGCAGTATTATGAAGGAAAATCAGAGGTTCAATAAAATTTTAAAAAATGGAAGTTCATTTTATCCCTAATGTCCATATCTTTGTGCCAATTTTTTTCGCAATTTAAGATGCCAGACTTACTGTGAGCCCAACGCGCATTGTAGTCAGACCTTCGGAACCATTTTCATTGAAATGTCAAGCTATGCCACCAGTAACCCAAGCTCCACATGCACGATTTGTACATAGTGGGATGGATGTGGAAACAGATCCTCGATTCGTTGTTGAGCGTCCATCTGCGGGGATTTTGCTTATTAAAGCACCACGAGGTCTGTCAGAGGAAGCAAATGATACTAGAATTGAGTAAGTTAAGAAGTTTCATTTATCTTATGAATTTTACTATTCTGTTATCTGTTGAACTATATAGAAACTTATTCTTAAAACCTAATTTTTAGATGCTATTTTCCTGAGGAAAGTCCCAGAACAGCAATAATCAACGTGGTTGCTGATAGATGTGGACCAGAATACTACATGTGTTACGAAGGATCTTGCATACCATTATCTCAACGGTGTGATAGGCAACCACAATGCCCAGATGGTTCTGACGAAATTAACTGTGGTACGTTGTGTTAGGTAGTTTTACGTTCCATGAACTTTTTAAAAAGTATACTTAATAGATATTCATCGTACTTGAAACCGAAATTTAGATAGATTGAAAATCCCCATTGAGTCATATGAAAAAGAGAAGACATTCAGCGAAGAGACTCTTTTCGGCGAATTCATTCACATAGCTGTACAATCGCATTTATATATAAATATTTGTGTGTGTGTGTGTACATGAGGTTTGTCAAGTTTAGATAATTGATTAGTTAATACAAGAATGATGTAGTATAGAGACAAAGTTAATCAGACAGCAACTAAAAAAGACTGAGTTAAAAAACTAGATGACGTAATATAATTGGCTAAAATGTTACAACTTAGGTCAGGATAGCAACAGAGGTAATTACAGGTAGAGATTAGGTAGAAGTGAAATTGAGTGAATAAGTTGGATGACGTAACATGAATGACTAGAAACTGAGCGTTGTTCAGGTCAGTAACAGTGGTAGTGGGGTGTAGAGATTGAATCGGGTGGGGGTAGAGAACAAGAAAGTTGAAAATGTAAAATGTTACAATTGAGAAGGCAAAATAATACTAATGAAGAGACAGAAGAAAAGATTAGGTAGAATTTACATGTCGGCTAATAAGATAGATTACGTCCATTGCAAGTGTAGTGATTGAACGAACTTCTTCTGTATGCAGAGTTCAGGACTTAGCAAGTGGATCGCCATTGCTTCTGCAGTTTGAAGAAGTCTGATTCGTACACCTTTAGGGAGACTACTTCTTACTCTGTAGACGACTTTGAAGTTTGTTTGCGGTGTAGCTTGGTGTCCGGATTCGATCAGATGTTCTAAGATGGAACTGCGGGGGCATCGATTTTCTCCTTTATAAAACCATGCTGGTAAGTGCTCGGTGATACGTTTGGAAAGCGAGCGCTGGGTACGGCCAACATACCTGGCTCCACACGAGCAGGTGAATTGATAAATGCACATTGATGAGGCCAGCAGCAGTAGCTTATCCTTCACGTTCACATGAATCATAGGTTTTGTGGAGAAGGTTAGTCGTAGTTCACCTGCGAAGAAGGTCTTCTTAAGTGAACGCGACAGTCGATTTTTCAGTGTTTCCGCAGATAGATCTCCATTGAATTGGAGGTTCATGTAGAGTAGTTTTTTCTTGACGCTAAGTATGGGCTGCTTTTCTGGTCTAGGATTCATAGATTTCGCAATAAATCTTTCTGGATAGCAGTTCTCGACGAGGATTCTCTTGAGGTTGTCCAGTTCATCTTCTATGGTGTCCGGGGTGCAAATTCTGCGAACTCTGTAGCTGAGTGAACGGATCAGGTTTCGTTTGGTATATAGTGGTACCCAACTGTGAAAGTTAGTAAGCTGTCCGTTCCACGTCGATTTTCTGTGGATAGATCTTCTCAGTGTTCTCCTGTTCTCTTCTGGTTAGTTGGACGTCAAGAAAAGATATTGTGGAGTTGGACTCTTTCTCCATCGTGAACTGAATTGCAGGGTGGCAGTTGTTAAACGACTTTAAGATGTCGTCTAGATTTTCTTCGTTGTTGACGATAATGAAGGTGTCGTCGACGTATCTTTTATAGATTTCGAAGGTATGATCGTTTTCTTCAGGCATGTGTTTTCGAGTTTTGCCATGAAGAAATCTGCAAGCAAAGGGCCTAGTGGTGAGCCCATAGCTATACCATCCTTTTGGCGATATATTTCGTTGTTGAAAGAGAATGAACATTCAGCTAATACTATGCAATGGACGATCTATCTTATTAGCCGACATGTAAATTCTACCTAATCTTTTCTTCTGTCTCTTCATTAGTATTATTTTGCCTTCTCAATTGTAACATTTTACATTTTCAACTTTCTTGTTCTCTACCCCCACCCGATTCAATCTCTACACCCCACTACCACTGTTACTGACCTGAACACCTCATCTATCATTATGTATGATATTTGTCTCTATACTACATCATTCTTGTATTAACTAATCAATTATCTAAACTTGACAAACCTCATGTACACACACACACACAAATATTTATATATAAATGCGATTGTACAGCTATGTGAATATGCGAAAGAGTTTGCGAAATTTAGATGACTGATAAACCACATTTGGAAGAGGAAAGTTAGAGCTCTGTGTTATACTTAACAACATATATTTAACAATGGGTATTTCATCCAAATATCTTTCTCTCCTTAAAAAAGTATTTCTAGGAAATATCAACTTACCGCTGGTTTACACATATTTTCACAATTTTTGAAGCGTTTTTATATTTTGGAGTAGCGTGCAGGATTTTCAGTCTACGCGTTTAGACGGATTATTTAACTGGGATCAAAATAAATCTGACCTTAAAGTTAGAGCCATTCCCACAGAACGAGATCTTTAAGCATAACCATAAATGTCAGTCTGTAACTCACTAATGTAGAATATAGTACACTGGACATATAGATTATAAATATGAGATACTTGGAAAATGCACGACTGTATACACAAGAAAAGTTCAGCTGAGTTAATGGAGATGATTCGTAGCTTAATAAAAGTAAGCTATGATAAAGTTGTTGCTTCTGACTTCTCCAAATCATTTCTCGCTGTGACTGAGTTTTTGTAAACTTTTTATGATGTTATTAAATGCAGTTTCATATTACTGTTATAAATCTATTCATAATTAGATGCAGTACGTCAGTATAACTGATCATATTCCTTCGTTCATTATGAGGTATAAATTTACCAACTTTCTGAGTTTGTTTATCACAACTCAACAAAGTATTACACAAAACCTAGATTTAAAACTTCCATTGAATGACTGACAATTTAAGAAGGAATATAAGGAGTGAGTTTTCGCTTTCACCTATCATTCTATTCATGCTAATTCAAAGATTACCCAATGTAGCACACACCTAAGCGTTTAATTTGTACTAAGCTTTTGTTAAATATCCAGTTTTACTCACTGAACACTAGACATTTTCTTTTCCTTAATTTATTTTAGAATAGACTGCACTTTTTAAATCATATTGTTCATTAAGTGTTAATATTTTCACTGGTCAAAACATTACTGTGAAGCTGCTTTTTGTTTGTAGAAGAAAGAATAACAATTCGCGTGGAACCAGATATTATTCAAGTTAGACCATATGAGAAGTGGTCATTTGAATGTTCTGTAAGAGGTAGAGATGTACAACCGATTGTTAGTTTTCAAGACGGTAGACTTGTGGAATCAGATCCTCGTTTTCGAGTAACACGCATAGATCCTAACACTGTAAGAGTTGAAGCTGTTTACGGGTTAACAGAAAAAGAAGATCGTATGAAATTAATGTAAGAATTTTACATTGCGTTTTTATTGGAATTCTGTTAATTTTTCACTCTTGACCGTTTTCCAGCAGAAAAACTGCATTTTATGAAGGTTATAATTTTAAGGGTTATTTTTTAATTTTATTCAGACAAAACAATATGCTACTGATTGTCGTGTCACCAATCTAAGTCGTCATTCGAAAGTTGTGCGTAGTTTCAAATGATTGTTCAAATGTATAACTTTTGGACTATTTTATTGGGTATATACGTTTTATTGATTTATCTGGTTAGTTGAGTGACATTTATAAAAAAACTATGTCATTCCATTGTTAACTCAGGAGGTAGTATATCTTTAGCCATTCGATTCTAGATGCTTTGTGTCACACTGATCCATTTCATACTCCTCAACAGGCTTTTCATCCACAGTCACATTACTGAACGCCTACCTGAATCAAAACCAGTTAAATATACCGTCAAATGAATCTCCGCACCAAGCAGCTCCGAGTTATTTTGCAAAGTTCAGATGTGTAGTAATGCAAATTAAAAGCGTACCAAAATAAAAGACCTTACAACATTCTGCTGTAATAAACTGTGTAACACATAGATCACTAAAGAACAAACATCCTGCATTAGTGAATATGTTTATTTTTTGTGTTCAGACTGCAGAATATTATAGAGAAGGAGATTAATCCATAAAGCTTATTTCATTCTCTTGTAGCCTGAAATATGGGAGGTAATTGAAGTTTCCTTCGACAATTTACTGGCATACATTAAATGGTTTGATAAAAACTGGTAGCAGAAAATAACGTGTTAAATTTGAAATATTATCGAAGTATAGTTTGGTTAAAATGGATACTCTGCTGTGCAAATTAACATTTCAATGTAATGTTGTTGACTTAGGCTTCTAAGATTGAAAACATTAGCAATTTGTAGGCTTTATAAAGCCTACAGTTTTGCGTTTCTTGATCATTTTCAAACGAATGAATCTACAACTGACAGTTAAAATGACGCGTAGAATGGGGGTAGCTGTCACTGCAGTATTTAGTGGGACATTTTAACGTTAAATTTAAAAAATCACCTTCGTTGCTCCCATTACTGTTTATAGTGTTTTTAAATCTGTTCAAAACGTAATGTCCTAATCACTAGACCACAGCGACATGTGAGTCGGTGGCATTCTCTCCGACCACGCAGATGGTTAGGAGTTCGGTTCCCGGCCGACGCACTCCTTTACCTCCCTAAGCCATTAATAAGACTTGTAAAGAGGGAAGGTTAGGCATGAGGTTAGCAACCCCATTTCGTAAAAATAAACACCACTGCTACCGGAACTTCAAAGCTCTAACTCAAATTCCTATGTTACACCGGGAGCGTAAAGCAATTAAAACGTCTGCGCATATTTAAACAATAAAACTAATAACTTTCTCATTCACTGTCACAATGAATAACAAGAAACAAGTTGTTTTGGTATCCCAGGGTGAAAAATATACGCGCCTAAAAAAAATATACGCCTAAATTGTAGTTAGAATGGCTATTATATTTTTATGCAAGCAAGAGTGAAGTAAAAAAACGGTTTAGCCGCACTTTATATGTCTTACTAGTCCATTTTATCACAGTGGTGAAAATTAAATATCATAAATGTAATGGTATATACCTCATGACTCATTCAAAATGTTTGAAATGTAATCGATTAGGTAAAGCGATCCATCCATCGTTTATAAGACCATTTTATACCAAATAATAAATATTCTAGCCTCGAATTACAGCTCATTTTACCGTTTAAAACTTCATAGATGTTCATTTCCGGGTGGGCCTCAAGGTGAAACTGAAATTATTGTTCAACGGTTTTGTCCACGTGGTCAGCTTATGTGTATGGATGGAAGTTGTCGTCCAGAAACTGATTTCTGCAATCGTCAAATAGATTGTCCAGATGGTTCAGATGAGCGACCTCCTCACTGCAGTAAGTTCGAGTAGAAAATAATTACCTTCAATATATGACTTTTGTTTAGAGTAATTAAAATTATATTATTCTACCATCTTTCTAGACAGTACTACTATACGGATCAGAGACTTGGCGTGTCACAAAGAGCACCTCAAACAAGCTACAGACCTTCATTAACAGATGTCTTCGCTCAATACTCAAGATCAGATGGCCGGAAAGGATCAGCAACAAAGATCTCTGGGAGCGAACCAACCAGGAACCCATTGTGAAACAAATAGGCAGGAAAAAATGGAGATGGATTGGCCACACTCTGAGGAAACCAGCAAGTGACATCACTAGACAAGCCCTCGAGTGGAACCCGAAAGGGAAGCGGCGAGTTGGTCGTCAGTGCAAGGGTGACCTGGAGGAGATCATGTGAAGAGGAGATGAAAACATGTGGGCAGACCTGGAGCCAGGTGAAAACACTAGCAGAGAATCGAACGCAATGGAGACGCATGGCTGAAGCCCTATGTTCCTCTAGGAACTAAAGGAAATAATAATAATAATCTTTCTAGATTCTGACTGCTCATCCTAAGGTGTTTACATTTTGAACCAGACTCAGTTAAAAAATCTTGGCAGGTTAATGAGCACAGAACAGGATGACTCGTTCAAATTAAGGACATCCCAGAGATGCATGCCTGTGAACTCACACGAGATTGTATCTACGACCATTATTCAATTTTTCATAAGTGTAATAACTAAAATTAGTAAAACAAAGGTAGATCTTGCTCATGTTTTGAGTGTTTCATATTTAAGGCCCAAGCGCGACTTTTTGTAATGACACTTTGAAATAATAAAACTAATTTAAGAGAATTAATTTTTTTATAAATGTAACATTTTGTTTTACTTACGCAGGAGAAAGCATAAAAGTCGAAGTCAAGCCAAGTATTGTCCATGTCAAACCTTATCGGAGCTTTCAGTTTGAGTGCATTTCATATGAACCTGGTGTTAGACCAGAGGCAAGATTACCGAGTGGTTTGCTGGTGACTCAGGATCGTCGTTTTAGTGTGGAATATCTTTCGCCAACTCACCTTCGAGTAAATGCAATATATGGTTTAACAGACCGAGATCATCCTTTTCAAATTTAGTAAGTTCTTGGTTCACATACTTTTTTCATTCCTTTTCGGTTGGAAGACAGGGTTTCAGCCTTGAAGCCTTGCAGTTTCATTAGTAGTGAGATTGTTTATACCGGGTGGGTTGCCATCCTCACACCGAAATATCCCTCCTTACCAGATTTACTGTTGGTTTTTAATCTTGGTGAAGTTTAGGAGTACGCTGGCATGCAACCGAACGCCAGACCACATGCATGGATAGAGATCATTCTACCATGGAAGCATTATATATATATATATATATTCACGATGATCCTCTGGTGACTAGATCACTACCTGTATTCTGAAACCATTCGTTAAAAGTCTAATCCCAACTTCATGCTACTGGGTTCAAACTAACCTAATTACATTTTTTGCCCATACCACTATCTGAATAATTTCAGTAATATAATACAGATGCCTATTCCTCTATAGTACATGACAATTCTTCAGTTTATGTTAGTTGATGAAAATGAAATTTGAAAACTTGGCTTTTAATTTTCATTAGTAACCATCATGTACAACATCAAATTCGAACTGAATAAACTTTATCTATAAATCATTTTTTATCCAGTCACACTCAACTCAATTATTATTGAATAATTATCATTCTAGCTGTGTATTTCCTGGATTGGAAAATAGAACAGCTGTTATCGAAATCGAAAGACCGTGTCCAAGTGGACAATTTCAGTGTAGAGATGGTCGGTGTTTACCACGTGAAGCCTTTTGTGACGGGAAACCAGACTGTTCAGACAGTTCAGATGAGAGTGAACGCTACTGTGGTAAGAAATTCCTGAATAACACATTACTATGCTTTTACTGTTCGATAAATTTAAGAATAATACACGCATGGAAGATTTATGTCCTCCGTATTTCTCTGACAACACTTTTTAAAATTTCCTTTTTAGTAATGTTTGCTACGTTTCGCAGCAAAAAGGAAAGCAACAATACCGATGGCGAGGAAAGCTTGTAGATCTCACAGTTACTTGTCAATAACAAGTAGACACTATTCATATTTTAAATTTGATAGAAATAAGCAGACATGGAGTCCTTTGAAAGCTGAAGCCAAAACTAGAAGTTTCGTTCTACTCAAACCTGAACTGAATTCTTACACCGCAAATCAGTGAGCCTTTGGTTACACCAAGATCAGTAGTGAATTCTATTGGCACACCTGAAGAAAAGGACTTACCTTCATCATTTAAAGTCTTCTATAGTCTCTTAAAATACGAATTCGGTCAACTATACATCTGACTACTTAATAAATTCAGAATCCCCCACACAGAATAATTTAGACTCCTCCCTTCGCAACTTAATTAAACTTAAACACCGCAAGCCTTCGTTTACTGTTGATACAAGAGGTGACTAATTCAGTCGTGTAAATGGACAGCAAAAGAAATTCTCATAATGTATATATACTCGTTGAAACAACAGGCCGATTGTATATCACTGATCAAGTGGATAATGATCTAGTTTTTCTTTTGTTAATAAATTCTGCATTCGATTATTATAATACCAACATTCTTTTGTGTACTTAATAATTTCATGTACTAAATTCTACTGTTAGACTTAATAAGATTTATTATGACCATCTGACTATAGGTAGTTCCGTGTTAGCCATAGAAGAGCGTTCATAATCTGAAACAGTATTATCAACTAACTACAATGGTCCTGATTCTGTCTTACCTCTTTCTTCTTTGTTTGTCTGCTTCTTAATTGCATTATTTTCTACCCCCACCCTCTATTAAATCTCTACCCTCATGACGACTGTTGCTAACTCCATTTTCGTTTATTTTTAAGTGAATTCTACTCAGATTATTAACTTGACTCTCATTCATTTTTCATTTAACCCTATCAAATAGATTACGTCACCCAACCTACTTTTGTAACTTTATTTTAGTTTCTAACCGATTAACGCCTTCTAAATTACGTAATTTGTTGTCAAAAAAAAATTAACAATTGCATTAACACATCTTTGGAAATATTCCTTTTGTTGCCAAGAAAAACTACTATAAATTTGCGGTTTGTACAGCTTGAGAATAATATCGCCGAAAAGAGTAACTCTTTGCTGAACGCCTTTTCTTTTCTAAGTCATATAAATCCACAACAGAAAAAGCAAGATCTTATAGTGATCTCCGTTCACTTTATATTTACCCCAAAGTGTGAAGTGTAGAATAATTTAGCCAGCTTATTTACCTACCTGATAAAACAAGGAAATAATTTTATGTTAAGTGTATTACAAATACTTTAAGCATTTCAAAAATAAATTAAGGATCATACTTATCAGTAGTTACTTTACTAGAATTATTAAGAAGTTTTATTTCTACTTGCTTCGAAGTAGGGAGAATGCCTCACTGAGTGGTACAATGTAGGGTGTTATCAGTTTCTGTTAACTTTCAGGACATATATGTTACTCCAAGCCTACATACCAAGTTGGCAAACAGGCTTGAAATTACTTTACTCAGTTAAGCAAACAATCTGCATTAGGAAATAATTTATTTCACTGTCACCATTCTAAAGATTATTCCACTTTTCAGTTTATTCTAATAGATTTTACTGCACCTATTACAAAAACAAAATGTCAACTAGCAGAAACACCAAATCAGACTGTTAAATCTGGTCTACAGAAGTTAAAATGTGCTATAAACAAAACAGTTAGGATTAATGCATTTACCTGGTCTAAATGACAAGGAAAACTAGAAATAATCTCTACAAATCAGCAGATGCATTTCCAGAGTGCCGCAAGATTATATTAATTTAGGTATTAATGTAATTATTTACTTCTACCAGCGGTGTTTCTTCTCTGAACGATCTTCTTAAAAGAAATATTAAACGTACTATTTTATTGGTGAATGATGGAAAACTCACCACAAAAGAAAAATCATTCTGTAGCTTTTTAGAGAGGTTTGGCTTTGCAAGTATTTAAACTAATTACGAAATAACATCCACTCTTTTCGTGCAAAAGGTTTAGAAAGACATTTTTAGTATTTGATCAGGTGAATGTTCACTTTATTCTCTTTATTGAACAATATTTAAATTAATTTTTATAAACTACATAATTAAAGCTTAAAAATTCTAGTTCTTATAAATATCTGTTAACCTCTCTTCTTATTTTAGCTATAGACATAACAGTAACTCCAAGTTCAATTCGTGTAATTCCAAATCAGCAGTTCGAATTTGAATGCTCAACATCAATTCCAAATGAAACTCCCCAAGTCACTTTCGATGACCGTCCTGTAGAACAGGACAATCGTTTTATTGTTTCACGTCCAAGACTACAAACGATTGTTGTGAGAGCACCATATGGTTTAAGAGATTCTGGAGAGCACAGATTCAAGTAAGAATTGGCCTTGTGTTTCTAAGTAGGATGATTCGTCAGAGATATACACTGAGTTCTCATAGATATATATCTTTATACTTGCGTGGTATATTTGAACATGTCGGTAATGAAATAGTGTAAATTATGAAATTTAGGCTTTAACCACTACAATGTTGGAAATGCATTTATAGCAGACAAAATTAACCTGTGTCACAGATAAGTTGTATTTCCAGTGAATTAACTGAATAAATATTTTCAAAATTTAATTGGTATTTCCTATGGAAGATCAAAGTAACTTTTATCATTGGATGCTACCTCTGTCATATTATAATCAGAATTTTCAAGTCATCAATTGGCTAAACGCCTTCCTATTTTTATTTCTAATACTCATATGTTCCCTACCCAGGTGAACGAAAATTGATTCCACTGTGAATAATTTCTGACTGCCACATCAAATATTTTCAAAACCTGTAGCCTATTCCGTCCCTAAGAGAGACGTCTTCATCAGATCACCAGAAAACAGCGAAGTAAGTGGTAGGGATTTAAGACATAGAATGAACTCGGACATCCACAGAACCTACTACGCAGCTAGGCTCATATATTATTGAAAAAGCCAAAAACATGCTCCACTACAAATCTCCAGAGTGCACAAGTGCTTATGTTACATATCCTACAACTTATCAGTTTGTGTGTGTGTATGTTTGGTCACACATACATAGGGAGAAGTAATCAGGCTTTACATATGAGGGTGAGAGAGCATATTCCCAAATGGTTAGAAAAACAAATGAACTGTGAAAAATAGACAGACGCAGTTGGTAGACTACCAACTTTGTCTATAGCTAAACACCTAATCGATATAAGTCGGAAGATTGATGTCAAAACAGGTGTAAGGTTATTTATAGGAACGGTCAAGAACACTTATTCAAATACGCAGAGGAGGTAGTTAATCATAAACTTAAGCCCCCCACCCACTCCCCTGTATGTACAAAAATAATTAATCCTAATCTGATTAGACAACCAAACTCAGTGCTAACTATTCTTTAATCCTCTTTTGTCACTGCATTCTTTAATTGGCCTTCATTTTTCAAATAAAATGACTTGGCAGATAAATATTTTCAAGTGTTGGTTTGCAGGGATTTGATTGGCTTCAGGATTTCATCATGAACTGACATCGGTTAGAGGACTACTGGAAGACATAGAAGTACAGGACAGCTGTTTCGTCCTAGTTTGGAACTCTTCAGTAATACGCGTCTACTGAGGTTCGAACCCAGGACTTCCCGGTTATTTTTATTTTATTTTTGGTTACAGCTTGATTCCACACCGTATTTTTGGTACAAATATGGAATTTTTAGCATGTGATATCAGTAGCCCAAATTTTGCAGGCCGACCAATTGATATCAGGTGTGCGTCGGCAGGGGATCGAACTCCGGACCATGTGCATGGTCGGCGAGAATCCTAACCACCATGCCACCGACAAGGCGAGCTCGTAGACCATTAAGCCACTAGTATCCGATCCAATGGTCCTCTAACCTGTGTCAGTTCATAATGAAATCCTGAAATAAATATGTGATCAAACTGTTAGAAATGTACTGCGCAAACGTATCACATTTTTCAGATAATTTCCGTCTTTTCATAACCCAATGCAAATTTATTGAAGGGACTAATTGTTTTGAAGAGTAATTCACGATTAAAATGAACTGGGGGCCTGCAAAGGTAAATATTTGTAGTACGTGTTATGTCATTATAAGTAATTATAAAAGGCATGTCAAAAAACTCACTACTTTAGTTAAAACCAAAACATGTAAGTCAAAAACAGTAATTGTTGAAGGTATTATACACTGCAGTTTTCATTTAAATCAACTGAAATATTTTACTTTTTCTTTTAGATGCATTGTTTCGGGGGCTGTTTCTCGAGAAGTTAGCGTTGAGGTTACAACAGGTTGTCCACCTGGTCAGTCTAGATGTAAATCGGGTGAATGTCTACCAAGAAGAGTATTTTGTGATCGAAAACGTGATTGCCAAGATGGCTCTGATGAAGATCCGAGATCTTGTAGTGAGTGAAATGTTGTTAAGTTTGAAACCAGTGAACTGAATTTAAAAAGATATGAAAGCTAATAAATGAGTTTGAAAGATAAGAATTTAAGGGATTCTCTATTTTATTCTCAGCTCCAAATAATTAATTATCCGGGACATTGATATAAGTACCGTGTTTATGTTAAAAGTCCTTTAAATTACTTCTGTTAGCAAGTTTATACACTATTCTTAAGTACCAAATATCCACTCATACATCTTCAAAGTAATTCTAACTTCTGCACATTTGTTCTGAATCAGTCATCAAATTACTGGTCTCAGAAAATCACATGTTTTATGTTTTCGCCTAACTTGCTATCACGTATCATTCAAGGAATAGACAAATTCAACTGTATTGCATTTTGTGTATATTCGACGAGAATCATTCAAAATTATAAGAAATTGTTTACAATAATCAGAACGTTTCAAAGGTGTTATAATTGTTTCAAGAATTATGTGGTGTTTATATCTGCTTATGCCTTATTTTCCAATGGCGATGAAGGTGTTGATATGAATGATACTATTGACTTTGAATTAACTTCACATGTTCAAATCAGTTTTACCATGTCAGCGGTTGGAAACAAAAAAGAGACACGAATATGATCTTTTATGCAGTTTACTGCAAAATTAGTAACTTAGGTGTAGACACTCTCTCACTACATTCTATTTATGTACTGATTAAGACTAGATACATTTTTTCATATTTCTGAATTACAACTCTGAACGCAATGCAGTATGTAGTAAAAGTTGTTAGATCATAGGTGTTGAAATATTTCAAACGTTACTTATATTTTTATTGTAATGGAATAAACTCTGTTTTCTTGCTGTCTTTATCTTCTGTAGTTCCATCGGTTACAATTACACCATCCACAATTCAGACAAGAATATATGAATCTTTCCAGTTCGAGTGTAGATCATCTGTGCCAGGAAGTGAACCTCAAGTTTCTTTTGAAGGTTATCCAGTTGAAGGTGATCACAGATTTACAATTCTCCGTCCAAGCCGTGAACATGTCATTGTCCGGGCTCATGGTGGTATTGCTGATCCTGGAAGATATTCTTTCAGGTACGCAGATTAATGCATGACGCTTATGCCAGTTTTTAATACAGGAGTTAAATCAGAATCTTTACTACATGCGTAATGTTTTCACTGTAAGATGTTTTTACACTGAAAGTAGTCTAGTTCTAAAGTTTGCAGAGATCAGTCTTTATGAGAAAGAAAGAAAGAAGTGGGATAAAAAGTCTGTAGGTAATACGTGGTGAATCTCAATGTTGCACACAGGATGTTAGTCAAAAATGTTGACGCATATCTCGACAATTTTCAAAATGCAATTTTTATCACATTTTTATTGAAAACTGTAGTTTCTTTAACATTTTTATGGTAAATAATCATGATTATGTTTACTTGCAACAGGTAAAGTAACAGAATATAGGAATTAAAGAGAACTCTAAATAGTTTTATGCGTAGACTATGATGACTCCCTCCAGAAATCCGAATTCGTATCATCAATGCGATAGTTGAAATAGAAAGTACTGTGTCACCTGCTCCACGATTAACTATTCTTTAAGTTGATTGCCTGTTCATTCCAAAGAAACAGATATTTCTTTTTACTGTCGAACAGTACACCATTACTATCAATGCTGAAAAATTTCTGGTCGATCGTTTTCAGTGACTGACATGATCTATACTGTTAATTTTCTAAGCACAGCAAAGCAGTCACACTACCATTCGTCTTCATACTTCACTGGAACTTGTTGCATAAAACTGTCACTAATGCATACTATTGAAAAACCAATAGCTTATTAATCACTGTTTTGAATAAATTCTCAATATATATTAGAGCTTTATATTCACATGTCGTTACGGCTCGTGTAACTTCTTTCACAAAGATTGTTTAAACCTCCTTGGTCATTTTAAGAATTATTTATTAGAAGCCTTTGAAAAGTTATGAAAATAAATACTCAGAGTTTGTTAAGCCACTACTAAGCAAGCAGCATACTCCTAAACTCTCACTCAGTCTTCTCTTTGCGTTTCACTTGTTTGAGATTATCAGAATTCTGTAGATAAAGACATAATTTACTTCAGAATAAAATCCTTTTGACCTATGGATTACTTACGAGATATATTTCTTCCTCTAGATAGCTTAGCTTCTATGAATAATAATAATAACAGCAACAACCTGACTTCATAAGTAAAATTTAACTTTTTTCTTTTCGAAATTTAATTTTAAACTATGCTTTATTAAAGGTGTTCCTTTAAGACTACGTATATTGCTTTAAACGTGACTTCACTCGTCTTTATCCTTTATATCTAGCTGTACCGTTTTAAGTGGAATGCCTGGAGAAATTGTAGTACAAGTTGATTCAGTATGTCCGCCTGGTTATGCCAGATGCAGAGATGGAACATGCATCCCAGAACAACAGTTTTGCGACAGAATACCACACTGTCCAGATAGTTCAGATGAAGATAGGCTACGCTGTCGTGAGTAAAACTTTTTTCACATAGTTGCTTTTATACCATATTTCACTGTTATCTAAGTTTAGTAAATTAAGCATTGGTTATCACATCATATAGAATTTCATTTGAAAAAAAGTTTGATCGCCTCAGTTTTACTGTTTTCAGTCCTTAGAATTGCTAGTGAATAAGTTTAATTATATATCTATAGATAAATATCATTCGCTGTACCAGGTTAATAGTATGATATACGTCTAGCTTGTCAGATGAAGTTTTATGTCATTTTTTAGGGATGGAGCTGTAAATAAGATTAATATTTTAGAAATAAGATACCTGAAGTAAATGCTCTATTTTCATGAACTGCTTCAAAATTTCTTGTAGTGATACACTTAGCAAAGAGAACTTTCTTGTTTCGTAACTCCATCATAGTACAGAGTCTCACTCCGCATTCAGTTGAATGCTTCATCTAATTGGCTGGATAATTTTGGTTATACTTCAGAGTTGAGTATTATCCTAGGCATGGATTTATTTTTTCTAGAAGCAGGAAATGTATCCTGCTGTTTATAAAGAAAGATATCTGGCGGACATTTGAAAATTGCAAAAATATATGCAGACAATTGTTGTGTGAGTAGAGTTAGGACTATAAGTGTCATCATATTAATATATATTTCTTATTTTAGTTAACATCATGACTGAAAAGTTTGGAGAAACCTGTATTTCATAAAAACAGATTACTTAATTTAATGTGCAGCTCCGAAAACAAAGTATTTAATGATTTTCTTTGAGTAATTAAAAACTTCAAAAGTGATATTTCTCATTTCTATTAATAGCTGAAGTAACTGTTGATGTAAGAGTACACTTTACTCCTGGTGAAATACGAGTCCAACCTGGCAGATCTTTCCGCTTAGAGTGTGTGACTGATCAACCAGGTACATCTCCAGTCGTACAGTTTGCCGATGGAAGACCAATAACAAGTGATCGACGATTTATAATTTCTAGGCCTTCAACTGAACGTGCCATTATAGAAGTTCCTGCAGGTCTAGACGCTAGAGAAAGACAAGTGATACTCGAGTAAGTAAAAGTTTTGCAGCTATCTATAGCAATTCTAACATTATATAACAAAGGCATTTCCTGACTGCTACAAATGACTGAAGTTACTCCCAACTTTTCTAAGCATTTGATCAACACAGACAAGCAAATTTAAAAGAAATATTTGCTTTATTATAAGTCATCCGAAGAGTTTGAGATATATATATATATATCAATTCTGTGTGCTTAGAATGTGAGTAAGTTAATATGCATTTTGTGACTTAGATGTCAGTTAAATATTTAACTAAAGAATATAAAACCAGTACAACAACTAATCATTAAACTTTTCCCCCGTAAGTTTCCGTTAGCCTTCTATTCGTAGCCTATCTCACGGCTAAGTTTCTGCGTGCGAGAAATTACGATATTTTACATCACAAAAAGAGTACTTTTCAAATATTAATTTTATATTCAGAAATTGTTATTTAACTACTGGAAAGAATATGATTGATCAACATACACAATTGTTTTAAAGCAAACAGAAGTCAACACCTATCGGGAAGTTTTTTAATTTGGAAAAAAGACTATTTTGTCAATATCTTCAAACATTTCTTGGCTGAAATTCCTTTACCTCACTTATTTTCACTAGTATTTCTGGAGTTTTTACTCGATTATATGTGCTTTATCAGACTCCTTTTAAATTTAATTAGTTTACTTTCATAAGGATTAGTTATTCAGTAAATCAGCTTCAATGGGAGTAAAGTATCATTATCCACTTTTTATGTTGGTTTTTTTAATTTTAGATGCATATCTCCCAGTGGAGATAGAAAGTCATCCACTATATTTGTGGAACTAGGATGTCAGCCAGGACAGCGAAGGTGTCCAAGTGGTGAATGTATATTTGTTGGTCAATTCTGTGATGGTAAACCTGATTGTGACGATGGATTTGACGAAAGACCTGAAAACTGCGGTAAATTTTATTTGTATAACTTAAATGTTAGCGTTTATTGTCTTCCAATATGTCATTGAAAACGATCTTCCAGAGGGTTGTTTTCTTATTTGTGAAATCAAAGTCATATGTACAACTAAGCACCTTCTGCATGAGACAATTTAAAATATGGAAAGGTCTGAGGCACTCTAAAGTAAATGAGACGCTGACCAGTGTACCTTGGTTTTCAATTTTTTCTCGTTGTGATTGATCCTTGAGGAAGAAACATTTATAGCTAACAGTTAACATATGTTTTCACCATGCATACTTGACCTAATATGAACAAAAGCTTCAAGTTCTAGTCATGCATTCGCAATCATTAGAAAATTATATTACAACAGGACAGTTACAACTTATATCACGAAATTAATGTTAGGAGCTACTTTTTAATATTTAAAGTTAAAAACGATTAATTTCAACTGATTTTATTGACAGTTTAATGTAAAAATCTTGAAAACTTGATCAAACTCACTTGTTGAAGGCAAAATGAGTTTTAAGACTGTATTTTATAAATGCAACTTTGAATGCCATATAACTGAAATTCTAAAAATTTTCATTTGTAATAGTTTACTGTGACCCAATAACTAAACCATGTCAAGTTGTAAACGGTGTACCTCCAAGAGAAGCTACTTATGAATTACACTGGAAATGCGATGGTGAAAATGATTGTGGCAATGGATTCGATGAACTGAATTGTATGAACGGTAAGCAACACAATGCAATGCATATGTGTCTAATTGCATATTGAATGCTGTGGATTTTTAATGACCTGCAGACTATTTATTTTATAGAAACATGGATATATATATATGTATATATGAAGAGAGGGAATTTATTTCCTTCAAAGCGTATTCAATCAACTACACATTAATTTCTTATGAAATATTATGTACTTTAAATCCTATGATTATTTCAGTTTCCTGCATAAACGACAGATCTACTCTTCATTTTTAGACACTCGAGTACCTGATAAAGAATGTGGCACCACTCATTTCAGATGTCGTACAGATCCATATCAATACTTACCATTTGCTTACTGGTGCGACGGTGGTCGTGACTGTCGTGGTGGTGAGGACGAAGCTGATTGCTGTAAGATATATAATGTCATGACATTTTGTTTTTCTCATATTTATCAACATCTTATATACATAATATATACTAGAGACCAAGTGCGTCGGTGGCACAGCGGTTAGGACGTTCGCCGACCATGCACATGGTCCGGGGTTCGATCCCCGGCCAACGCACACCCGATATCAACGGTCGGCCTGCAAAATTTGGGCTTAATTTGTAAAAATAAGTCTATTTCACGCGCAATTTTATTACACGCCATAATTGGCTGTTTATGAAAGTTTTTTAGAAAAGGCAAATTTGAAACAGCTCAACACTAGAAGAAACAAAAGATGCTGAAACGTATATGGTCGTTGGGCGAAAGTGCAGTTTATGAACTATGGACGAGTGAATTTCTTTATTATGCATTTAAAGATAATATTCAAAATAGCATAATTATGAAAAATCGTTCATATGAGACCTAATTAATGAAATAATATTAGCGAAACCAAATTTCTTGGTCATTGTCTTATACAGACTGCATTTAACTGATTCGACCTTCACTTTAAAATCTCCCGAAAGAGGTTTCCAGAAAATTAGAAATGCTGTTCTGAGGACTTAAAATTTGATGCAGTATAGTAAACAAAATGGTCATACTATTTTGTTAAATAAAACTTTAGTGACATGTCAGAAAATATTTTGATTTATTGTTATTTGACTTGATTCTTTTATTAATCTTCTGTAACAGTAGCCTAGTTTTGTAATTAATATTTCCATATTGTGTTCTTCCTATCAATCACAACAGACGGATCATTCTGTACCCAAACTCCACCTTGATTTAACACATTAATTTAGAAAAGCACTTACAATTGTAGGATGACTAAAGTATTATTTGCAATCTACTCTTAATTGAATAAAAGTACAATTACAGTTTAACGATTATCGGTATTACATTTTTTCAAACGCTTTTGAATCTTGAGGTTCAGCCAGAATAGACAAATAATGAAGGCACAAAGAGGAAATATCATTTTCTCAAAGACTAAATACATTCAGACAATCAGCTGAAATATTATAATTTTGGTGGATAACTATTTGCTGTTGATATGATCGAGGAAATGCTTCAGTCAAGCGTGGAAACTGTTCGTGAAGTAAAAGAAAACCTAATAATTTTAAACTGAGGAACTATTGTACATACTGAATTTACTACTAGACTCTCCCTCTCTGTGTTTGCCATTTTAGCTCCACCTACGATAATTCAATCACAGCGTCAAGAGACCCATAGAGTTCGACCAGGTGGAAGATTAGTTTTAGAATGTGAAGCGTCCGGTGTTCCACCTCCTATGATCATTTGGCGTTTCAACTGGAGATGTCTTCGTGATGAAACACGTATGCATTCTCAAGCTGTTCCTAGTTCCCTTGGATGCAAAGGTTCAAAAAGTCGTCTGATCATTGAAAACTTTAGAGAAGGAGATGATGGTATTTACAATTGTGAAGCGGTGACTTCAAAAGACAGAGCTATGTCACAGGATATATTCGTTCTTTTATCACCTTAGCCGTGTTTACACTTTCATTTGGTACGATAGAATTTTAATTAAATAACTAGTTATATTATTTAGCCATTTCATTATATGGTTTTCAAATTACTATTTTAATTTCTCACCTCAAAATAGTAATATTTTGAATTTTGCAATAGTATATATTTAAATCACTTTGAAAACAGCATCTTCATTTATTTTAAAATTCAGTTTTTAATCGTGTTTGTGCACTTATTTACAGGAATATCAATATAGTAATTATTTACAAAGTTGTTTTCAGTATATATTTTGATGGGTTTCAATGTGGAGACATGCTGATATTTATATGCCATCACATAATTTATAAAATAACTAAACTAGACATATGCAGTTCATGTAAGCTGTGATCAATATTTGACCGAATAGTTCCAAAACAATTGAGTGCCGATTATGTGCATCTTTTATTATTGCATTAATCAAAGAACGTTGGGAAGTAATGCTCTTAAAAGAGCTATTTCTCTGCAGTGATGTCAGCTCATATAACGCAGTGTTTGTTCACGAATAAATCTCAGAAATATATCTAATTTCCTTGAATACTTTCCTCCACGCGAACCAAAAATATGAAGTGTTTGTTGGAGCGAAATTTCAGGTCGCTAATTTTTAGGCCAGTGAATTAAGAGAAATTTCATAACAAATATTGTTGGTTCACTTCAACTATGTTCACTTCGGATCTGAATATACCGGTGATTCCGTATAAAGAAGTGAATACATTTTGAAGATACGCCCTCAAGCAGTACAAAGCAAGCCTATGCAACTACCTACCTTTTCGAAGGCTTAGAGTTTGGTACTCATATTAAAAAAGTGAAGTGTAATTATTATAATAAAAATCGTGAGTTTTGTAACACAGTAGAGAAAACCTCACATAAAGTTTCTAAATCACTTATATTTGTGGCAAAAACATAGATTGAGACAGGAATATGTACTTTCAGATGGAATAGAGGATGGGACATTTGGCGTAAGAAGTCAAAATGTGACCTTTCAACACCAGTTTTAAAAATGGATTTACCTCATTTCTTAGCGGAGAACTTTATATTGGCTGGACTCACTCATTCTTAACATATTTGTGAGCCTTCCTGAGTTGACTGCCACACTGATGACACCAATTTTGTTAAGGATGCCTATGATATGACTTTCTCCGTGCCGGTTACTTCCTAATCAGACTGTTCTAAAATGAATAGTGTTTCTTCAGAAATTAGTCAGAGGTCTTTGTCGAATAGTTTTAAGATAAATTCCTCCAAATGTCAGATTACTTATTTTACTTTCAGATACACGCTAGATTTACATGAACTGGTTCGTTCCCATGATTCTTGTATCAAAGAAGGCACTTAGTGATAGTTTATTTGACACGCGTTGTGTGATGAGAAAATTTTTAGGCAGGAAACTACTAACTTTCTGCGAAACAGAAAATACACGGCACTTTCCGTTTTATCATTGATACTTTGTTTACACTAGGTTGAAGATCAGGCAAACAAAACTTCTTCTCAACGTCCTAATATCAAGGATAACGTGTGATCTACTTACGAGTGATAAAAAAACCTCAGGACCATGCAACTAAAGTAGGCGATGTTTTATCGACATAATAGTTAGAGATGAAGGTAGTTAAACCTGAGGCAATAAAAACAGTGTGCCGCAACACTTTATTTTCTGCTGATCACGAAACGCGCAATGAATACTTATTATAAATATTGTGAACTTAAATAATTTTGAATTGTAATTTAACATGACTTCCACCAGAAATTTTTAGCTTTTACAAGCCATAAAACTACCAGAAAATTCATTATCCACTTTTTAAACAATGGCAACCATATAAGCAGTTACAATATACCTTGGTTTTAGAAGTAAAATAATTTAAACTAATAAGATATCCAAAAATATCCAGTACATTAACAAGCATTGATAAAGCTTGGCTCAAGATTCTTGACGAGGAAGACATGTTATGAATCTTCATAGACTGCACCACATCAGCCTCTATACAATAACGGGTAGAATGTGAAGCCTCTGAAGAAAAAGGTGATTGTTGGCACAACAAAATATAAATACACCTTATGAAATCACTGACAGCTGTTATGAGATATGTGGATATTTTATCTGTGATTTTCCAAACGTCAGAAATATTTGGTTAGTGAACTGAAGTGATGCATTCGAAAATCAGTTAGTGAAATCGTGATTTTCATTTTTGAAATACAAAACTGTTGACACTGCTCCTACCTGACAGTATTTCCTTTGTTTCATAATCTTCCTGCAGTGTGAAAAGTAACTGAATCTAACTAGGTGTATCCAGTTCTGAGGTTGTATAGTTTCGTATCCATCTGTTAAACTAAAATCTCCGATAAACTTTACTTCATGCTGGTTACCTGCTCTCCACCTGCTTACTACATTACATAAAGCCAAACTATATTAAAACTAACAAGATATTCAGCTGAATAATTAGGGCATTATAAAGTGTCGTGACGACGGCTGCAAAAGATAGGTAAGTGGATTTCTACCTAACCCCTTTAAATGCAATGAATAAAATGAAAATTAAATTACCAAAGGGAGTTTGAAAACACTATAATAGCTGACATATTTGTGAATATTTCATCTGCATTCAAAATTACAAGGTGTAGCGGTAAATAATTCCCCAAAATTATTGACCACAGCAATCATCACTCAACATCGGATGCTGACCATCACTGTTTAAGTCGACTTGTTTAGCTGAAGGCTTACGGTCAAGCATCCCCGCAATTTTGTCCCGAAATATACTACGTACTTTGGACGACAAAATCTGGTCTTTTGCTTTATCTTTGGTACTCGAAGAACGAACACTATAGAAGTTGTTGGTATAAGATCTTGCGTTAGTATAATCCGTACAACTCGCGAACGTCGATACCCGCAACCTCTAAAAAGGTATTTCTGTACTGAAAATATAGAGGAAGTTTTATTAGTTCTAGTCATATTGTGGTGGTGTGCTACAGATAATGTGTGTCAACAAAATATTATTCTCACATATTCCCACAGTTCATTTCAGTATTAGTAATAGAATACTATGTATATTTGAACATTCTATTTCATGTCGTTTGATGTAAGCCGAAATCACACGCTCAGCGATTGGTTGACGAATATAAACGGTTTTATTAATGAAAAATATACCTTGGCTTCCGTGTCTTGCCTTCTGCTGTTACAATATGAATGTGATAAAATTGGAGATATTTCTAGCAGTGATAAGCATGCTTACCTAAGCTAATGTTAAACGTGTTATGACTATAAGAAATTTATCATTTTTAACAGAACACAGATGTTTCGATATATAGTCCAGTTTATAGGAAGTGTCCATCACTTGAGTCATGTGAATATTAATTTCATAATCTTAATATTGTCGTAAAATTGTTACACATAACATTTATCATTTAAAGGTAAAATCTTGTTGACAGCCAACAGAAATTCAGAAAATATGTCTTTTTGTAGGTCAACAACCCCATGATAAGTGTTCTGTTCTTTTCACTTATCCTTCCCCCGGCCAGCTATCCGATCCCCATAATCTAACCAACGATGGCACCTGTCGGTGAAAGCCTGCAGGAGTCTGATGGTGGCGCATGTGCGAAATCTCTGGATTATTTGACGCGTTAACTGGCACTGTTGTTGATAACTCGGATCTTTGTCTGTGTTCTGAGTGCTGTAGCTCTCCACACCGTTTTCACAGTAATCTGCTATTGTTTCTGTTTACCGATTCAATGGTTCCCACGGCGCCTGTAGTTGGAAGTTAAAGTTGGGGTTGTGAAAATGGAGGATAAGGAGACTTCCTTGAGATTCGTCCTACTGGTAGAAATCAGTGTTTGTTTTGTATGATTAGGTAACTTCATTACCTCTGTCTTCTCTATGTCCTGTTTTCTCTTATTCTTCTCCCAAACTGTTGGTTTCCACCTGTAGATCTTCAAGTTTGAGTGACATGAAGCATAAATCATTTGCGAAGTCCAGGTCTTCTAGAGTGTTCTTGCTGATCCAACACATGTCCATTTTCTCCCTCTCCACGCTCTGTTGCATGATCTAGTCTATCACAATTTGGAATACAATTTGTGATAGTTGGTAGTCTTGTCGTATTCATGTCTCTCCTTCAAACGCTTCTATGAGCGTTCTGTTGTGAATTACTTAGAGTGTAACATCAGGATATAGCTGTTGAATATGAATTATAAAGGTTCTCAGCACTGTATTCCGTACTGTTGACGCAGTTTCGAAGTTACTTCACCCAAAGTTGTTGAAGTTGAGGTGGAAAGCTGAGTGACACTCTATTCTGTGTCTAGTGGTGATGCACTGAGCTGAAACTTGATAAGGTCATGTCTTACCAAACACGCTCGGTATACCAAATAATTATCCTGTAAAACACGTTAGAATCCTGCCACACAAGCCATGCATTCGGACCTAGAAACGATGTCCAGCAAAGATTCCTAAATAAGTCATTCCAGTAAAAGTCAAAGAAACTTCAAAATCACGTCGATTACAGTTGCCTGGATCAAAGGAACCAAATAAGATTGGCTTAAACCATAAATATCCACCAGATAAAGCCTGCGGTGCCTCTTCAAACGAGGAACATGCCGCATAATCTCCCTAGAGGGTTGACTGCTACTCCAGGCTCCTGTTTCACCACTAAATCTTCAGATGTGTAGCACTCTAACTTTCCCTCACTTGCACTGAATATTGCTTCTGTGTGTAAAATTATCGTTGCCACATTGCCAGCGTGCTATCGGTTATTGGCTGGGTGACCGGGATAAATTACGAATTGTGTAGCCAACACTTCGAAGAGTCTACCTTCATTGCACCTGCTGTCACAGATTTCTAACACTTCTGTACAACATCGCATTTGTTCTGCAGTTTGAAGAGACTTGCCAGCCATTTTGATATGCCTACTTTCGCTTCCATCGAAGGAGCACACATAGGACGACTTGCATTCCGAGATTTTTCAGCAGTTACCTTCATCCGTTCTCCCCTATTTTGGACACCATACCTAACCTTTCCCCTTTAGGTGGGACCGGGACCGGCTAGTGGACTGAACATGGTCATCCTATGATGTAGTACTACTCTAATTTCTCCAGAAGTAATCCTTAGCATAACAGAGCAATGAAACTCCTGTTCATAAAATCACGCAGTAGTACCCTCACTGATTTTGAATGTGACAGGAATCCTTTTCGACAATAAAGTGATTGAGATTCATAAAAAAACTCTAACTCTGTAGTAAAGATAAACACACTGAAAGACTACTGTGGGTGTATGGCGACTTGATTGTTTCAACAGATATGGCATTGCGATTTTCCGTCGTCTTGATTGCTGTGCTGCTTCAATAGTCAAGGCATTTGGGTAGTGCTTACTCATCCTGTGGTTCATGAATTACAGCTACGCAAGCGACTTTTTAATTAAAGTCAGCTGTATTCTATGAAACTTGACAGAGTCGACCCTTAGAATGTTTCGACAGCCATAATATTTTTGTCATTTCCGGTCAGCTGCAGTTTACTTCAAGGACATGAAACCGATGAATATGTGAGGCGACCTTTGAATTCTGATATGTAGTTTCTGCTTTCGTACCGTAAAATTTCTTGATAGTGAGCCTCTTACTACCACTGCTGTAACATTACACTTCTGTTTAGTAAGTAAATCTGGTTGGAACCTCTGTTGGCGCTGCTTTTGTGTCACTGCCTCCTCCAATCTATTGAGTGAATAGGACCAGTGAGTCATTTACCTGCATGCAGAAAAAGGAAGCGGCTGCACGGTTTAGGGTAAATTTGACTGTATGTTCTTTTGATTTGGATAAACAAGTGATCGCCGCTCCTCTTTTTTAGGGTGAGCTATTTGTGCCAACGCTAACAGCAACACTACTGCTTCTGCTAGGAGGACACTGAATTATTACAGTGTGTCATCGTTCCACACATTTTCTCGACTAATTCCACAGCTAAAATCTATAAAAGAACAGTTTTCGGTACTAGAAGAAATATCTGAGAAAACAGAAACACCCAAAACAAATAATTTAGTCCGGATTATTATGTCACAGCCATTCGTTTCTGAGATCAAGTTATTGCAAGGTCTCTGTCCAACCAGCGATCCGCGATGAAGAATGTGGTAGGATCACGACAGTCAGGCTAACTGGTGAAGTTTGTAAAATAGTTGCCAATACCCTTTTTATTATTTAATATTAGAGGAGAGAGGTCTACAGACAAGTAGTGGTTATGGAACACAGCGTGAAAAATGAGTGGTGATGTAGGGACTACACCTTTGTTCTTTGCAAGGCCGGTACCACATTAACTTTACTGAGCTGTAAATAACTTGTGTCTTAGTTATTTCGTACTCCCCTCTGATTGATATAGGTCTAACAGAGCTACTTAGTCTACCCTGACAGATAAAAGCTCACCACACAAGGAGAGCATTTATGATCCCGATGGTCTATATGATGACTGTTTGGATTTCGAGACGGTGGGTAATGCATTTGAGACCCAGTGGAAAAACAGTTGCTCACCAAGACACAGGTAGATCCGTCTGGCAAGTTCCGAACAGGAAAAATCTTGCACCTTAGAGTTCAGTGCTGGCTGTCAATAACCAAGCATCCCCGTTTTAACTGTTGGCTAGTGTGCTAGGGAAATGCACGTTCGCTCCAAACCTCTGTCCTCTTGCTTAAGGATTCGGGAATGCGTGACTAGCTGGCACTCATAACAGGATCCAGAAAACAGACAAAATTTCATAAGTTCCAAACAAAAATACTAAGCAAACTAGGGGAACTGATTTCAGCGATTTACTGTGATGTTGATCGTAGCCAAGGAGTAAATTCAAGACTCGCTAAGATGTGCGGGTTATATAATCGTATTATTGGGCTAAGAGATAAACTACCTACACTAAGAAAAAAGTTAGACGCTTACAAGGAAGCCGAGAATGTTCTCGCGACCGCTCAGGTTCAAGCGATGGAGAGATCCGCTAAGATGCTAATCAGACTTCTCAGACCACTGACTGTTCGGCAAATGTAAATGCAATAAGCTGGCGTTAATTTGGTCTCAAGTTGCAGATTGTTGATCCCTCCACCCCAAAGAAACGTCTCCAAGACCTTTAGCAGAGGGAAAGACTGCTGTCTTAGAAGGACTAATTGAGTCTGACAGATTGAGCATATGCAGGCTTTCTCTTCTACTCGCCCAACACAATTCGCTCATCAACGTTTTTCGTAGGTCTCCCGAACTTTTGACTGAACCTCTTCACTGGTGGTGCGGATTCAAAGATAATGCTGGTGGAAACAAGCCTTCCTGTAGCGAACAGAATTGAATCTTGAGAAGCAACTCAGCCTAGATCATCGTGAATCTTCAGAGATCAATGATACTATAGGAGTGTCACACTGAGATGATATGTAATTATGACAATGGAAGTGTCTAGATAACCGTAGAGAGTGCGGTAGTAGACTGGTTTCAGCCGATTAGCTCCAGTATATGTTCTTCACTTGTTAGATTTGACTCCACCAACCACCTAGAGACAGTAAAAGTGATTACTCTCATCGACAACTGTTGACGCGAAACCTATTGGGAAATGAGTGGGAGTCCGAACATAAGTGACTGGATACCATGATAACTAGGAAGACGACAAAATGATTGACTCCGCCTGACGTCGAAAACGAAGTGAATATATACAAGATGTTTGTGCCCAGTCTGGACAAGAATTATAAGTAGGCTGAGCTGTGACATTCGTTGGTGACTTACTTGACCTAGAGCTGGAAACCACATACGCACACAACCCTTCGAACAAACCTTTTACAAGAAATCAAAAGATTCAGTGAAAGGATATCAAAACTGGACGCCTTTTTTACTGGCAGAAGACGCTTAAATCACTCCCTTGGATATTGGTGACGGTCCCATCATAACGCTTCACTTGATACTTCGTGAGCGTTTACAGTGGGATAGCTTTCATCCATGCCAGCTTTGGCCACTACTAAACATCCTTAACTCGGACGTTTTCCGCTTGGTCCATGACCCATGGGTTTGATATCACTGTCAGTCAACGGACACTGGATAAAAGTGGTGGAAAATTTTCATAAAGACACTGAGAACGCAGCTCTTCTGGATACGATGAAAGTGAAGAAATAATCCCTCTGATGGAAGTGAGACCACCGGTTTACTGAGAACCCAATGGAGAGCTCTGCGTGAATGGAGAATTTCCAGAAAACAAACTAACTACATAACTCACGCAGAAACTTCAAGGTTACGACTGACAGAGGGACATTTCAAGCCAGATACTTCCAAAACCTCCAGGCGGATCCCAAGGATGTACAATGACGCACGTATAAAAGAATATCAACCATGGGACACACTGTATAAAGCCGTCACAAACAGTACTTCACCTTTACTTCCATCTTTGACTGACAGGAAAGTCAACCACATCTATTCAGTGATACGTAGCTCCAGATGAAGCCTTTTTGGACCTTACACAAATAAATAGTCGTGATGTCTAATTTGTTTGACCTTAATCAATACAAAAACACTTGCGGAATCATGAGTAATGAGACTAATCTATTTCAGTGGCCGACTTCTATCAGAATAATCACTCAGGTTGCATACTAATAGTTCGTATAATGCACTCGTGTAGTTTCAACATTTATTTGGAAAACGCACTGGTGAGAAAGTGAAGCCTGAAAACTTAATCAAACGCAGGGCGTTCATCATTCAGTATCGTTCAGCAGATAAAGAGACCCTTACAGATCATATATGTGGTTCTTACTTGGCTATCCTTACGAATTTCATAATCGCTTACTGCCTCTGAATGACCACAGCGTCCTATAGTGCGGTGACCCTACACCATCAAAATTCAGGTATACCTGAGGATGCAGGAAGATGACAAATCTTTATGTCTTCTATGCTCAAAAACTGCTACTCTTTCCATTCAGAACCCCAACACCACAAAATGGACTGTTACTGTGTCCTGTCCTGAGCGAATATACAGCGTGAACTAACTATCATCAGATAAAATTCTGATTTGGGTTAAATTTTTAGGTGATGTACAGATGTTAATATTTGCGCAAGGTTAGCTATATACAAACGCAAGCTGTTATCCTCCAACTCCTATGGTAATTTTACTGTCCAAACCAGAGAAAATCATAGTATCAAAATGACCTGTCAAAATACGAGATAAATTTCGAGATGAGGATGGTACAGTGATGGTGAATACTTGGCTGGCAAGAGACTGAAATTAACAGGACAGAGTGCCAAATGGAAAAGATGCTTGATCGCGAACCTTTGGCTTGACAAGCAAACTTATTGAGTATGGGTCAGAATTTAATATTCGATGACGGATGTCCCGTGCTAATAATTTCGTGAAATTATTTACCGCTACATATGCATTTATCGCAGATTAGAAGAGATTTTTTCAGGTTAATGGTTATACCAACATTTCTTAGTCTTCATTAATAGAATGGTGACCCGTTCATCGGCGCGTTTTTCAATGCTTGTGCGCATCTGTTGAAGACAATTCAAGCGCCTAAGTTTTCTTGGGAAATGTCTAACAGCTCTTGCAAAGGTTGTTGTCCAGTTTCTTTTTTCATTTATACAGGTGATGTTTTGAGTTTTTTTGAGAAGGAGAACAGACCATTCAGTATTGTTGATGTTTGTGGCGTGTTGAAGAATCATGGGAAGACTGTAGCTTATATATTTCAAACGACTGAGTTGCTTAGGCTATTTCCAAAGCATTGGATGAGCTTGTCTCGGAAAGCTTAATTAAAGAGAAGGCTTACGGCAAACAAAAAGTCTATGTGTATGACCAGGTTATCGCAATGGTTACAGTTTTATCGTTTCTTACAGACGAAGTTGCCTTCTTTCGATGAAAGTGAGATTAAGAAAATGGAGGCTGAATGTGCAAACCTTTCATCTGTGCTGGCGGAGGAACAAAAAAAGCTTAAAAATGCTGCTGACGGTAATGGGCATTAATACCTATATTCTTCTTAGAACTGAAAAAAGTGACTTCTGGTCTCACAAAAGAGGAAGCAGAAGCAGAGCTAATTGAAGTAAATGACCAGGCAAGTGTGTTTTGGAAATAATTTGTCATTTCGAACCGTTCTTAAACTCGAGCTTCTGTTTCACTTTTCCAGCGTTCCATCCAGCGCCTGAATTTTCTTGTAATAACTAAGCTGCAGGTCATTTAGCTTCCCGTAGGATTTTATGAACACTAAGTGGCTTTTTTACGTTAGGAGTGCATCACCCGTATACGTCGCTACTACTTTGTGCCTGTAATTCTAGTGGTGTTGAAGCCGATAGTGTATTTCCTAGACAGTTTGGGCTTGTAACGTCTTTTCAGTAGTCATAATGTAAACTATTTTGGCTGTAACCCTTAAGTCCTGGTTCAGCCACATTGAGACAGTTTGATTTGCTTCAAGAACGAGTCATATTTAGGTACAGATATATTTTCTATCGCATTTTTGTTGTTGCGGATAAACTACTTCAAAGTAAATGATGAATTGTTTTGCGTGCCGTATACCAACCCGAATAATCAACTGATGTGTAAAAGCTCTCTCTATACTAAGTATTTTCTGTAGTTTTTCCATGACTGCACTGTGCGTTTAATATGTCAGTGATTTTTGATTGATTCTCTTCACTCATTTTCTTGTCTACCTTTGTGTGCTCTTTGGAACGTGGCAACTCGAACTGCTGCACTTCGGTGCTTAGTTCTATGTTGAATCCAGCCATGTCAGTGATTTTTAATCAGTCTACGTTTCATTCGCTCGCTAAAGTAGCAAATATAATTAGCTGTTATTTTTGAGTTTGCAGCTTTTGCATTTTTAATTAAAATGTTTCACAAAGTTGATCGCCAAGGTTTGTCACCACTGCCTCACTTCTCATTAATAATACTCAGTGACTAAATGGTAATTAACTGCGAATTTTAAGGAATTAGTTCTACCTGGAGTGTTATAATCATTTATCAACTTTTATATTCTGTTGAATGAGCAATAATTAGAATATCCTAACGGCGTTATTTCACCCCCTGCTAAAGTCTCTGTAGTGATTCTTCAACCCACAAAAAGCCAGAGCTTCCTATTGAGTAGTAGTAATTCAGGAAATCATTTTACATTATTTTTGAATGATTTTTGAAATCATACTCCGATAGTCGTTGAACTTTTTCAGTAATAAGTGCGCAGTATTTAGTATTCGGAATAAATAATACAGTGGCATCTATATTTTCAAGCATTTTCTCAACATTAATGCTTGTTCTTCAGAGACATACAGCGCCGGTATTCTGTATCCAACGTAGAAACTAACACTTATTTAGATTATAAAAGTTTTGCCAATTTTTTGTATCTGATTTTCAACTTTTCCTTACAGCTTGACAAAATAAAAGCTGAAGTAAACACTCTAAAATCCAAGGGACCACGTATTACGGAATCTGATTTAAAATCGGTGAGTCTTCAAACAACTTTTATCCATTCTCATAAAGTATGTTTTGGTGTCTCATTGAAGTTGCGTTTTTATTATTTTGTGAATGTCCGACTTCTCAACATAGAAATGTGCTGCATCTGCGCTACTAAGGATGTCTTTGGGTCATATCACTAAAAGTTTCCAGCCATCTTCACCTTTCTACGTGGCTCAAATCAGCAGGCAGAAACTTCAAAATTTGATGCCACTTTGATTTGACTCCTAACTTCTACATCAGATAACACTGCTCATGGTATGCACAACCATACCAGACTGCTTAACAGAGGAAATAAGCTGTTGCACTGCTGATAAAGTTTAATTACATTGATTAATACAGTACACTTTCTCGGAAACTCCTTCATAGCTAGATATTGCCACAGCTACTCTCGATCGACGGAGTCAGGAAACAGGATAAGTGTTGGATACTGGTGGGTATGCCTATTTTCCAGGATCTGCCGAAGGGTGAAGTGTGATCCAAACACCCTCGTATGAGCCTAAAGCCTACTTGGTTTTCACAGATTTGTTTCTCTTGGGAACCGCTTGGTAAACGCAAGATTATAAAACCTAGCATTTTAGATACTGTGTGAGTCATGCTGATCGCCCTATGCTTATCACAGGATTTTATGTACTAAAGTCATCATTGATATGCACTAGTTCAGCGGGACTATCTCGAAACCTCACACATTACTTAATATCTTAGGTAACCTAGTTCATAATTCATCACTACGATCCTTAAACACCTCTAATCATACTATTAGACCAGGCTGCTTTGTCTCGTTTTAGCTTAGAGACAACTTTTACAACCTCAGTTACAGTTCGAGGACCGATGCTACATCCCATTCAGATAGGTATAGGGTGCTGGGTAAATTTACCGTGTGTGTAGGCCAGTCTGATTAATCCTCACGGTGTTCCATCCAACCTTCCAGTCTTTTATCTTGAGAGGTAAAGTACTGTTCATATTTCTACAGTTGGTTCCCCAAATGAGCCTGAATAGTTGTCTGGAATTACCAATCGCTAGTGTATTTTCCATCCCTCACTTTTTCGCCCACTAATTGAATCGGTAACTGATATGAAATTCACTTGGCTTATCTTTTATTTAATGCACAGACTTAGATCCGACTAAATATTTCCACGTTATTTTTAAGTGGAAAGGTCTGCATCCACACTTTTAGATAACTAGACTTTTTCATTCCTTTGGCTACCAGTCAATTGTCACTTATATTTTGTCTAATGTGAAAAGCGTATTTTACTTAGAATCAAACACTTGTCTCCTAAATTCCACCATTTCTTTTATTGAATGTTCGTTGGTTAAAAGCAATATTCAAACTTGCCTGTTTGATGTCATTTGTTGTCTGGATTCATTCAGCTAAAGTTTCAATGACGAGTTTGAAATGCGAATAATACCTGATTTATTTTGGGGCTCAAGCAAAAGCTAGACTGGGAATTATATGTAGCAGGTAAATGTGAATAGGAAGTATATGTTGCAGCATTTACACAAACATCTATTTAATGATTGTTTTACTATTCCTTTGGTACTAATTGGTCATCAACCAGAGGGTTATTTTTGTCATCGTGAATTGTAGAATATTACATACTGACCACTTTTCAACAGTCGTTCTCTTCATGTGTTTGTTTTGTCTGTGAGGCTACACATGATTGACCATTCTTATTTATCATTGCTTTTGAAATGATTGATACTTTAACAAATTGTGAATGCAAGGAATCCCTAGTTCTCATTGCATCATCCATTTGGTAAACTCATCACTTCTCTTTCTTTTATAATCATTAGTCTTGATTTTCAGGTAAAATAGTTTTCTTCACTGATTTGCATTTGTTTCGATACTTTTGTGACTTTTGTAAATGTAACATTTTCGCAATGCTGTAAGTACAGGCTACAACAATATTAATATTTTGCTATGATGTACATGTTTAATTGTCAGATTTCCGAAGGTCATAGCAAAGTGGTCAGTGAATGGAGAAAACGCAAACGTATTGTAAGTTTCTATTTTCAAAAGAATTTTATTCCTATTGATTTTTAGAATAAACTGACTGACTGGTTTCAGCATAGAACTTTGCACCAATGTGCAGCAGTTCGAGTTGCCACACTCCATGTAGCACACAAAGCAAGGGAAGAAAGTAAAAATGGTGACAGTAAACAGAGATATGAGGCTAAAAGAATAGTAATGTTGAGTATTACAAGTCAAAAGGAGTGGATACATCTGCGCCAGCCATTGAGAACGATTTTGAGCCATATCACCAATTGTCTCCAACCATTAGTGTTTGCGGTCCCAAGGACCCCAACCAGGAAGTCTACATCTTCCTACCTGGCTTAAACTGACTGTTGTGGGTTTCATTGACTGATGACATGCTTTGGTTTGACCACTACTGGCTCTTTTCCTACCGGATCCTATGTCAGCTAACATTGCACGTGGAGGAAGGCGATGGCTAGGCATGCGTAAAAAATGTCCTAACCATCTCAGTCGATGTAGCTTCACAGCCTCGTCTATTGATTTCCCCTCTTTACCTAGCACTCGATCGATGCCTAACCTCAACATTGCTCACCCTATTATAGCATTTCACTTGGGAGATAGAACGCAGGCACCTATGATCAAAGACAGATAGTCTTTTCGTGTCTTCCACCCTCAATGGCCAGGTTTCACAGCCACCAAGGAAAACGGAGCGTACTGCTGAGCAGTACACGTGTGCCTTGGTCGCTAGCCGGATATCACGTCTACGCCAGAGAGGGGGTAAACGGCATATGCGAAACTAGCCTTCTGTATCCGTGCTGAAATTTCGTCAGAGGTCAACCCGCTGGCACTGGCTGATGCAACTTCCCAAATAAGTAAAGTGATCAACATGCTCAGCCACCACTTCACTTCCTATTTCTAAGCTAGGAGTCAATGTAGTCCAAACTAGTCCTGTAGCATCATCTTACATTTGGCGGGAGCGAATCACATGCCGAACATTCGTAGATTGCAGCTCAAGGTGTTCAGAAGACTGTATTTTGTCAGCACCTTCAGCCAGAAGGACTATATCATCTGCATATTCTTAGTCAACGAGATTATTCCCTGGTAACAAGTCAATCCCTGAGTCTCTGAAGTGAGTTAGGGTTAAGTCGATTAGTACATCTGTGATGAAATTGAATAGAAATGGGGATACTGGGCATCCCTGACGGCCACCACTGGTTGTTATCACTTCAGATGACAACTCACCGTAAGCTCTCATCTGGCGGAGTGCTTTGATTAGTGCAATGTATTTTCTCGGCATTCTTTTCACAGCCAAACATTGCCATAGTAACTCTCGGTCGACAGAATCGAATGTCGCCTAGGTACGGAGAAATATTTTTCAGAGGAATTCTTGCCTGTAAACCTTTCACTTTTGAATTCTCTTAATGTTGCCAAATATTCATTCAAAAAATGATTAGTAACAGTGTAGTTACCTTATTTGTATACATAAAGCCTAGTGAAGGTAGTATAAGAAGAAACTATTGTCTGTCTGGAGAAATTCGTAATCAGTAACCAATGGAAATAATTCAATTTGTGTACAATTTGTGTAAATTATAATAAGTAAGCATCTAGAAGTCGACTTACGATAGAAATGTAGTAGCAGAAATGGAGTAGTTACCAGTAGCAGAGTTCACTATGCTTTACTTCACTTCACTTTATTTACACCTCGATGGTTAAATGTATCTTAAAATATGAGTCTATGCTATGGGAATTATCAAACCTGACTCTGTCGTTAAGATATCCGTCGAAATGAATCAAGACTTCAGAAGCTACTAGGTCTCTTTGATTTTATGTAAATGCTAAAGTAGTATATTTTGTTTACAAACCACTTAATTCTAGTTCTTGTTTAGCTTTCCATTCTTAGCCATTGACTAATCAGTTTAAGTAAACTCTCACGCATACCCATTGATTGGAAACTTGGGTTGTTAAAGTAGGTGTTATGTGTGTATACCAAAATCTCAGTATAATGTGTTCTAACCACTCAGTCCGATGGAGTACGGAAACGATAACAGTGATGCTTCCTCTCTCCGTATATATATATAGTTCATGCATAGTAATTTTCTGTGTAGGCTTCGGACAAACTCATCAAATTCCTACTTAACTAATCGACTGGGGAATTTCCTAAACACTGCAATGAAGCGTGGTCATTAGGTTGTTTGTATTTTTCATTTTACTCAAATATATGTTTCACATCGTGTCATTGGTTCATGAATTTTTATCTGTTAGGATTAAACCTACGTAGAGACCGTATTCAAACGTAGCTATGTTTTCTCACTCAATATCTTAATAGAATATGCACTCATTAGATGCAAGTCTTTTTTAACCCTATACAAGCTGGAAAAGTAATCTGTTTCTTCGTGCATTATCCAGTTTCCAGACCAAGGTTTTGATGTGTTTTGTGCTTTGTTTTTCGGTTAGATAGATAATCAATATTTTGTTGCATCCCAGTGGATTCCCTTACTCAGATAGAGTATTGTATTTCAGCGTGCAGTCTTAAAGTATTGATACCTTACAAAATGTTGATGTCGTAAACTTTGTTTTTATCTACGACCAACTCAATTAGAGATTCCAATACCAATAGTCGAAAATAGCTAACTGGGCATAGAGAAGTTTTGTACGCCTCTTAGCAGCTACACTCATGTTGATACATTTAATAATATACAGAAATTGATGATGGTCTTGCTAGAAGAATTCTCTAGTGCGGTTAAGTTGGTTTCGAACTCGCAGGCTATCTTCCAAAGTCAAATGCCTAGACCTATGGACCATGTTTCCACGTTGATTAATCCAGAGGCAACCTGAAAAAACAAGGCTTTTTGTCAGTTTTTATTGAACTTCTCAACTATGGTCCAGGTGAAAGCACCATACATTTTGGGGATGAGGGATAATATTAATTACTGGGAAGCTCATATTATCCTGTCTCCGGAATTCCCGAGATGTTAGTCACTCATTTTACAGAGGCGAATAAAATAGTGTTTACATCCTTACATACTATGCAACTATGATCATTAGCATCAAGATAGGGAATTCTTTTACTAAAGCATTCATTTCTAAGAAGGGGGAATGTTAGAAATATTTTTAAAGTACCTAATTCACTTTATGCTGATAAGCAAACGCTAAAATTCGTATATTTCGATTTACTTTTAGGCAATGAATATTATCGATGCTGTGGCTGAGGGATATCCGTCAAGCAAGAAACAGTTAATGGTAGGTTGTACTTACCTGTAGTAGGTCTTATAGTGATAGCTTACAGAGACAAGATCACGTCATCGACTTTAAGTGTTTTACTCAGGTTGTATTTATTTTATGTTAAGAGTAGACAGTTATAATAACTTCCAAAGATTCGGATAACTGATAAATCACAAGGTGCTATATTGATTGCTACTAAAATTGACTTCAGCCTTAGAATATAAAATTATTAAAGGATGGTCGAGTGCCTTTTTCAAAAATCGTGTTTTCACCATAAAATAAGGTGCTATCATTTTTCGTCTTCAAGGGATTTAATTGGAACTTTAGGTAATATGTAGACAGTTGTGGAGCATACTAAGGACGACGTCAGAAAGCCGAGTGCAGTGGAGATGTACTGCTGAAGCTATATGTTTCTTTGTGAACGAAAGAGACGAATAATAGATAATACCAAGAATTTATTATGAGATGCTGCTAATTGTCTTAATACTGATATAGTGGTATAATGGGGTGTATATGTCTTACAAGGCGTTACTTCACCGTTACACCTCGAAGGCTTTCCAGCGTCTCACATGCAGAATGATATGGTTTTAAACAGTATCTCTATTTTAGAAACATCCAGTATCTTGAATAACACCTGGAGCTTATCGATACACTCAACCGTTTGTGAGGAGCAAAACAGAAATCCCAGCTATTTTTAAAAGTTGCAAAATATTTAAGTCGCCTTGGTCGATGCAAAAATGTTCCATATTAGTGTGATATTGTAGAAGGATACACACCGGAAAAGTTGATTGGATAGTCTACCACCATTGATGTTCATAAGAGTTAAGGCACTATGTTCAGTGTGTACGAGTATAGCTGTTCTTCCAAAGCTTTTCTGAAATGAAGATAAAGGCAGATGCAATAAACAACTATAGTTATGTATTATGACCATTTATCTGAATATCAAGCTACTTGCCTTCGATTGGTATTATAACATGACTTCAGCTCCTGATTTCGCTCAGGGTCCACATACATTTTTGCGTGGCTGGCAGTGTCCTTCTTTAAGACAGACTGAGTTACACTGTTGACAACGGTACTTTCTGTACTAATAGTATTTTATGATATGCTCAGCTCTGCAACGCCTATATAATGAAGGGGGAGTTTCCGAAATCCTTTCATTTGTTTGACTAGAACAGGATAATCAGTAGATGCATTAAGAGTACTTGGGTCAGAGCTCAAGTGATATGGAGTGCCTTTTAATCTGCTATAATATATGAATATCACAACCCTCTAAACTCAATGATCGGACTAGACTGGTATCCTGCTCTAAGTCATTTAACGGTTGGTATTTATGAGCATATGTGGTTGACTTAAGATATTGTCCTAGCCCTTGAAGTAGTCGTGTGCGGATATCTCCGTATTAGAGTAAAGGCTTTGAATTCATCATCTGTCAAAATCGCTCACTATCTCTGTTAACGACACCCACATGTGTTAGGAAATCGTCATATTCATTCTTTACTAGCTTCAGTCTCAGTCCACCTTGAAAAAAGTAGTCACAAAAGAAACGTTTCTGTGTAGGATTGCAGGTATTGAGCAATACGGGTCGTTATTTTTTGGAAAGCTTTTTTGAATTTCGCTTCGTATTTGTTTAAATCATTGTTTTTATTGTTTCAGTCTGATATAGGCATTGCAACAGATGAAGACTGGGGAGCTAAACTACCTACATGATGTTGTGTGGTCGTACTTACACTGTCCTTTTATGTTTGCATTTGATTTATTTTTGATATAAATACTTCCATTCACTACTTTTACGTCGTTTCATTTGCTCCAAAAGACCGTTCAGTTTTCTTTTTTCTAGACAGCTTCACTGTCGCTGTTGAGTTTAATTTGGTTAAAATAATGTCATTTATTAGTTAAATTGTTCATTTTCTCCATTTTACTGTTGGCAAACATGGCGTATGAGAGCAGAGAATATAAAAAAATATACTTTTTCGACAGAAGATACCTTCGGTTGTTTACGTTAAGTGGTGTGACGTATCAAGTAGTGTTGTGACTAAACGTGGAGTTTTCGGCTGGGGAAGGTGAGTTAGTCAGTTGATGAGGTTGTTAACCCTCATTTGTTTAAGTGTCTGAAACATGCGTTACTTTAAAACAAGCAACAAAGGTTAATAAAGCAAGATTTGATGATTTCATCGCATTTCTGTAGAAGTCTAGCTGAATACTCTACATACAGGGATATATATATATATATACCATTAGAATTACATTGGGAGAGATAAAACTGATAAGCAAAGAAACTACATTAATCATGTAAAACGACAGGTGTGAACGTGTTACTCATGACGAGGCACCTCAAATAGCAAAGTTGCCTGAACTAAAATTAAGTTGGAAAAGGGGTTAGACTAAAATGTGAAATCATTGACTGTTGTTAGTCTGAGGCATGTAGAAAGACGGATCGCCTGTCTGGGGTTTATTAGTTGAAGATTGTTGACGAGTGAAATTACTCAGTGAATCGATTGCACATTCAACACTTATTAGGAAATGACGCAATAGGTGGAAGTAGAAATGCATAAAGGAAGTTGGGGAATCGTGTGTGTTTGTGTTGTAGGGATGAATTTCTGGGAGACATTTGAATGAACCTTGGTGCTTAAGGTGTTTGTTTCTGCCTTCCACAAAAGTTTTGCATTATTGTAGTAAAGACGTGACTTGTGTGGACGTTCACTTTTTATTCAGACTTGGTTTTGTAGGGATTAGGATCATTTTCATCATGGGTTACGTCACAAACCAACACTATTTAGAAAATCATTGAAAACCAGGGAGCTTTGGATATCTGTTTCATTTTGGCTGGCCTTGTAACTTGAAGGATCCTGGTGTGGCCGTGGGTATTCATTGTCAAGGAGTCCTAAACTAGGACGAAGTAGGTATAACGTTCTTCTTTTTTTTCAATGATTCTCTAACCCATCTTGGTACTTGATGAGATCGACTTTCAACTTCCAGCACAAGCTTCTATTGACCGTCACTAAAGAGCATAAGGTGGCCAATGCCAAAATGGATTTTGTAGCAGTTATGAGGCTAACTCTGCTTACCTCAGATCTTTTCGGCGTACGAATCATTCTATGGTTATGTGAAGTCAAATATTATAGCTTCTATTGTTATCGGTCTAATAAAGGTGAATACTATGTTACTGGAAGGAACGGCTAGTTATGAGAGTAGAATGTAGGTGCTATTTCAGAACATCATTGCATAAAATATAAATTTGGTATAACACACAGTAATACAATATAATTAACTGGATGGACTATTCGAGCACAATTTATTGCTCATAATCACACGAATGTATTCATACGACTTCCGAACCTGCTTTTTGAATAAAGCGGTGATAGCCTGTGCAGAATGAGGTGATACCATCATTTATTTCGTCGGCTTCTCAACTACCGCTTACAACCTACGAAATAAGATTTTGTAGAGTGGAGTTTTAACGTGCTTCCAAAGGTGACTTGATTTCAGTTAGCAGCGGACTCGAAAATAATGAATAGGGTCCAAAAATCACAGCTTCATAGCTTACACACAGAAAGTTTAAGCTTAAACAAAACCAGATAGGTTTGGGTACAATGAAAGAGGAATTGGGTAATAAAGATGAGAGGTGGATAAGTAACCAATAAGTTGCGTATTAGTGTGGTCAGTTCAACTGAAATCATAAAAACAAGCAAACAGAATTGCGTTATAGTTAAAGGGGAGGAGGTTAGAGCCAAATATTACGTAGTCTAATAAAGGGAAGAGTAAAGACCAAATTGCTAGTGGTTCTTGTGATCGTATCCCCTCTTCTTTTTATTGCGATTTCCAATATACTCTCAACAGGAGTTGCGCCATTCCGGTTGCAGATGTTTGGTGACGATTCGGTGATTAATCTCTCAATTCGCCCGACCATGTTAACTTGTTTATACATTTACCCTATCTGGTTGTGAGCTTTTCCTTTGAGAAACTATTATTATTATTCCCTTGGGTTCTTAGAAGAAGAAAAGGGCTTCGACCTCTCATCTCCATTTTACCCCTTTTTTCTCCAATCTTCTTTAGCTAGCTCCATGATTGCCCGTATGATTTCATCTCCTACTCACACTATTTCCTCCATGACACCCGACCAGTCATTTTCTACCTAAGGGCCTGGCACGTGATGTCACTAAATGGCCTCCCCAGCGTATGCTCAATCCATCTCCTTTCGTATAATTGCTTGACAGTAGGTTCGTTGTTAGTTCGCTACCGGAATTCTTTGTTGCTAATACCTTTTGGACTTGTGATCTTCATTATGGAGTTATCAAATACAGCTGTTGATGAAAGTCCTCCGCCTATTTGAAACACTTATCCTGACGCTCGCATCAAGTGTCTGATTCGTGTAGAAGGATTCTCTGAGTTGGCATTAGTGTTGAAGATTTGAATCTTGTTCCCTAATGTTAAGTGCAGTACATTTCCACACTGATTTCAGATTAATAAGAGTCTGTCCCGCTTTTCCGATTTTGGTCGGATTCGACATTCTCATCTGCACCGTCTGCAGTTCAGACTATTCTGCCTACGTAAGTGAAGGAATTGACTTCTTTTAGAAAACTCCCTTTTTGTAGTGATTGGAACTTGTTGTTGTGTTTTTTTTAGGCACCCTAATAATCTATCTTTCCTATTTTCACTTGGAGTCCGCCTCTTATATCCCCTTGTTGGTTTTTGACTGTAGATCTTCGAGTTTGTATGACATAACACAAATAATCCGTTCTCCATGGTTTGTTGCATGGTCCAGTCCAGTCCATTCAGGATGATCACATTAATTCATAGTAGTCATCACTGTCTTACTCCTGTTTTCACTTCAAACACTTCGGTGAGCTCTCCCTTGTAAGTCACTGGGCATGTGATATCATTATAAAGCTGTTGATTGAGGATGGTAAAGGTGTGAGTCACTCCAAAATGTTGAGGTAGTTTCCACACTATCCAAGGTCTTTTCAAAGTCGATGAAGTGGAGGTAAACGTTTGATTAACATTCTATGTTCTGTTTGACAATGATACGTAGCGTTACGATTTGTTCCACACATAATTTAGTTTTGCACAATCTAGCTTTTTCCAAGGGGAGTTTTGCATTCAAAGCATCTCAGTCTTCCCAGGATGATACGACTTAGTATTTCGCTAGGTGTGGACAGTCATGATTCCCCGCCAGCTTTTGCAAACGCTAAAGTCGCCATTTTTGGTAGTTTGACAAAATAACCCTTCTAATCAGTAGGTACCTTTCCTTCCACACTCTCTGCAATAACGGTGTAAGCATATCTGCTGAAATCTCTGGAACAGTTTTCAGCGCTTCCGGAGAAATTCCATCTGGTCTTGTTGCCTTCCTGACTTTTGGTAACTTTGTGACATTCAAGAATTCTTCTTTGGTCAAACGATTTGTGGCCACTGGCAGTTTCGTGGCTGTTAGTGGTATTTCCAGACTAGTTGAAGGTGGTGACCGAGTGAATAGTCCTTTGAGGTGGTATATCTCCTTTGTTCCTCCGTTTATTAATTGAATTTCCTACACTATCTTTCACTAACCTCACCTGTGTTGACCTGGCTATGTGGCAAAGAGTTCTGAGGTCCCTTTTACTTGCAGCCTGTCGTGCTTCGATTGCTAGTCTGTCAAGGGAGAATCCTTTTTGTTTTCTACCACTCTCCCTCACTTCTGTGTTCAGAGCGCTGTAGACTGAACTCAGCTTCTCTTTTCGTCGTTCATCTTTTCACTGGTTCATCTGTTTCACTAGCCCTCTCTCCTCTATTAGTTTCCAAGTGTCTGTAGAGAGCTATTCCGAATCTTGCTTCTTCTTCCTTCTTAAAATGGCTCTATATGTTTTCTCTATTATCACTTAAGCAGAGTCCAAGTGTTCTTCCCCACAGGCTTCCTCGGTAATGCTACATAATGTCTCCGACTTCGGTCTAGATGAATGAAAGTTTCCATCTGCTCTTCTTCTCGAAACAAAGCCGTATCAGCGTTGATTTGAGTCATTCACTTTTACAGGACTTCCTAACATACTGCGTCAAAGAAGAATACTTCAGATATACTCATTGGGCCGATATAATGAATACTTCGCTCTACCCACTATCCGGACAAGAATATATCTCATAATGAAGGTCAGTATGAGACATCTACGTTTATCTATAAAACCCGATTTAACTCTATCTATATCCTGTCAGTTGCCTATCTTCCAGTTATTTTAAGATAACTAAATTATGTACGCAGAACTTTGCATAACTTGAAGCTGTCACATCTCATAAAAGAATACAAAGAAAAAGAAATGCGAAGAAAATAATTCTGTATTAGATTAGCTCATTTGATACAACACAGTGATACAGTTTTAATGGCTGGATGACGTTTCGAGCACAATTCACGTAGATCAAACTAGTAGTTTGGTGTCACTTAGGTTATGGAAACATAAGAATTTAGCTACATCTCAATAGATTAAACCTGCTCTGTTAAATCCCGATAAAAAGCTCGGCTGTTGCTATAGATTCACTTACGTGAATTCAGATAACAGTGTAGATGAGATGAAGTAGTAAATAGTAATATACACCTGGTTGGAGACAGAGGTTTACCACTGAATCTTTGTTCATTGAATCAACACTAAATACGAGCATTCAGAATGATGCAACACCAATGCCGAATATATGAAAAATTGTAATAACAAAACTGGAGGAAGTAAGGATAATATTAGGAGATTAGGCAGTGGTTTGAATACATTGATATGATCATGAGCAGTAAGTTGTTCTGGAGAAGTAATTCTACTATACCACTGTGGTAGATCAAATGAACTTACCTAATATGAAAATATGTTCTAAAACAATGTCCAAATTCTTCTCCAGCATTAATTCAAAGAAAATATGATAATCAGAAAGGTGAGTGAGAAAGATAAATTACTTAGAGCATGACGATAACTGAATGAATCTAGAAGCTTAGAAGGGGTGAATAGACACAAGCCATTGAGCACCATCTTCAG